GGAAAAATAAAAAGGAGAAAAAGGGGAAAAAAAATAGGGTTTTTTTAAAAAAGGGGAAAAAAAAAAACCAAAAAAATTAATTTTTTTTGGGTTTTTTGGGGGGGAAAAAAGGGGAAAAAAAAAAGAAAAAAAAAAAACAGAAAAGATAAAGTTTTGGGGAATTTTAGGCAAAACCCGGTAATAAATAAAAAAAAAATTTTCCCTTTAAAAAAAATAAAAAATTTTTTATTGGGCAAAACCCAAATTTTTTTTAAATAAAAAAATTATTAATTTTTATTAGAAAAATTTCCCTTTTAAAAAATATGGGAAAAAAAATTTTTTTTAAAAAAAAAAGTTTTTTTTGGGGAATTGGTTAAATTAAAAAATTTTTTGCCCTTTTTTAAAAAAATTAAAAATTTTTTTAAAATAAATTCCCAAACATCCCTAAAAAAATTTTATTTTTTCTTCCCAAAATTAATTTTTAAAAAATTTTTTTTTTTTCCCCCCAATCTTTATTTTCCAAATTCCCCGGGTTAAATTACCCAAAAAAAACTTTTGGGTTAAATTTCCTAAAAAATAAAATTTCCCAAGTTTCCAAATTTTCCCCTTTTTTATTTTAAAAATTTTTTTATCCCCTTTCCCCCAAACTTGAAAACGTTTTTGAAATTTAAATTAATAAAAAAGTAAAAATATTCCCATGAAATTAAATTCCCCCTTTTTTATTTAAAGGCCCCCCTTTAAATTTTTTTTATTAAAAAAAAGGGGGGGGAAAAAAAATTTAAATTTTTATTTTTTAAAAAAACCCGATTAAAAATTAAAAATTTTTTTTTCCCATTTCCACTTTAAAAAAAAAGAAGGAAAAAAAAAACCCCCCGGGTAAAATTTAAAAATGATAAAAAATTTTTTTTAAAAAAAAAGTTTAAAAATTTTGGGGGGAATTTGGGGTGCCTTAGTTTGGAAAGGGGGTTTATTTTAAATGTTGGGGTGGAAAAGAGAATTTTTTTTTTTCAATTTCCCTTTTCAATAAAAATAAAAAAAACCTTTTTTAAAAAAATTTTTTCCCGGTTTAATTATTCCTTAAAAAATTTGTGTAAATGAGGGGTTTCCCTTTTTAAAATTTTTGCCCAAAATTTTTTGTAAATTTTTAAGGGAAAATCTTTAAAAATTTAAAAAAATTTTTTTTTAAAAAAAAAATTGGTTTTTTTTTAAAAAAAAAAAAAATTAGCCCAAAATTTTAAAAAAAAAATAAAAAAAATAACCCAAATAATCCAAAAATTTTTTAAAAAAATTTGGGAAAAAATTTGTGATTTATATGGGGGGTTTTTTTTTTTAAAAAAAGGGAAAAAGGGGGGGAAAAAATTAAACCCTAAATTTTGCCGATATTTAATACCCCTATTTTGAAAAAAATAAAAGGGGAAAAAGGCAAGAAATTTAGCCCAAAGGTGGTTCCCCCCAAAAAAATGTGCCAACCCCTTAAAACCCAAAAAAATAACCCCCCCTTTTTTTTAAAAAATTAAAATAAATTTTTTAAAACCTATTTTAATATATTTTAAAATTTTCCTTTAAAAAAAAAAAATTTAATAAATTCCCCTAAATAAAATAAAAATTTAAAAATCCCCAAAAAAAAAAATACCAAAATTTCCCCAAAAATTAAATAAAAAAAACCCCCTTTTTTCCCCCAAAATTTGATTAAATTTTGGGGGGCCCCCCCTTTTCTTTTCCACCTCAAAGCCTTTTATCCCTCCCCCTCCCATTTCCCTTAACCTTTTAAACCCCCCCCCCCCAAAAAACCCCCCTTTTCCCCCAAAAAAAACCCCTTCCCCAACCCAAACCCTTCCCCCCAACCCCCCCTCCCCAAAAACCCCTCCTCCCCCACCCCCCTCCAATACAAATTCCCATCCCATACCCCCCCATCCTCCCCCATCCATCCCCCACCCCTTTTTCCCCCAATCAAACACCCCTCCTCCTCCCTTTCCTCCCATCCCAAACCTAACCATCCTCCATCCCCACCCCCCTCCCCTCCTTCCATCCCCCAAACCCCCCCCCCCCCCCCCCATCCAACCCCCTTTCCCCCCCTCATCCTTTTCCCCCCCCAAACCCCCTCCACCTCCTCCATCCTATTTTTACCAATTTTCCCTCCCCCATCATCCCCCCATCCAAACCACCCCAAACCCCCCATCCCCAAAACCCCCCCCCCCATCCAAACCCCCCCCCCCATTCCCCCCCCCCATCCCCCCCATCCTTCCCCAAACCCCCTCCCTCCCCCCACCCTTCCCCCCATCCCATCCATCCACCATCCACCATCATCATTTTCCATCCCTCCCCCTCCTTTTCCCTCATCCATCCCCATCCTCACCTCCCTCCATCCAAACCCCCCCCCCCCAACCTCATCCCCTTTATCCATTTTTAAACCCCATCCATCCACCACATCCATCCCCCCCTTTTTCCCCCACATCCCTCCCTCCCATCCATCCCAAAACCCAAAAATCCATCCATTCCCCCATCATCCCTTCCATCATCCCTCCCATCCCCCATCCCTCCACCCCCCCATCATATCCCCTCCCTCCTACCTCCCCCAAACCCCTTTTTCCCCCAAATCCATCACCCACTAATTTCCCTCTTCCCTCCACCATCCCCCCCCTTTCCCTCCCCCTTTTTCCCTCCCCCAAAACCTTCCCCCCCATCCCCAAACACCTCCATCCATCCCCTCCCCCCCATCCCAAACCCTCATCCCCTCTTTCCCCCCATCCACCCCCACCCACCCCTTTTCCCATCCACCACCCCCTCCCACCCCCTACCCCCCCCCATCCCTATCATCCACATCCATCTCCATCCCCCTCCATTCCCCCCCACCATATTCATTTCCCCCCTCATTTCCTTCCCCATCATATCCCTCCCCCCTTATCCATCCTCCTTTTACCATAAACCCCCCCAAAACCCTCCATCTCCATCCAATCCCTCCCCCACCTTCTCCCCACCCCTCCTTTCCCCCCCCCACCCTCCCCCTTTCCCAACCCTATCTCCATCCCCTTTTATCATATCCATCCATCCCTCATCCCCCCATATCCCCCATCCATCCATCATCTCCCCCTTATCCATCCCTCATCCCCCCCCCTTCCTCCATCCCCACATCCATTCCCCCATTTCCCCCACCACCCTCCATCCCTTTTTTAACCCTCTCAAATTTTCCCCCCCACCCCATCCCTCCACCCCTTCCCCCCCATCATCCCCATCCTTTCCCTTCCCCATCCCCACCCCCAAACCACCATTATTAAAACCCCCCCACCATACCACCATTCCCTTTTTTGCCCCTTCCTATTATAATTAATCCCCCTTCCCCCCCTTTTTTTCCCCTTATAACTTTTCTTCCATCATTCCATCCAAAAAAACCTCCTTTACCCAAAGCTCCCCTTTCCTTAAAACCACCATATATTTTCCTTACAAAACTTTTATTAAACCCGTTTCCCCTTTAACCCCCCCCTATTTACCAAACCCCCACCCCCAAAACCATTTTTCCTAAACCCCCCCCCAAAAAAAATTATTTTTAAAAATTCCTTATCCCTTTTCCCCCCCCTTTCTTTCCCCCAAAACCCTCCAAACCCCCTTTTTCATCCATCCATCCATCATCCATCATCCATCCATCCATCCATCATTCATCCATCATCCATCCATCCATCCATCATCCATCCATCTATGATCCATCCATCCACCCATCCATGAATCCATCCATCATCCTTCCATCCATCATCCATCCATCCATCATCCATCCATCCATCCATCCATCATCCATCCATCCATCATCCATCCATCCATCCATCCATCATCCATCCATCCATCCATCCATCCATCATCCATCCATCTTCCATCCATCCATCATCCATCCATCCATCCATCCATCCATCATCCATCCATCATCCATCCATCATCCATCCATCCATCATCCATCCATCCATCATCCATCATCCATACATCATCCATCCATCCATCCATCATCCATCCATCATCCATCCATCCATCCATCCATCCATCCATCCATCCATCCATCCATCCATCCATCCACCAAAGTATGCAGATGAGAATGTTTGGGACTATGCGCATTTTGAACAAAGCCAATAAAGTCTTCTGCATGAAGTCTTTCATAGAATTCTTAGAATTAAAAAAATGAAGTGTTAAATACATTTTTCTCTCTTGGATGGTGATTAAACAATTTCAGGTAAAACACAATTTTTCTCTGTCTCTATGGCAAATCATCCCAGAAGGAAACATCTGACTGTGCTTTGGACCAAGAGAGGAGAAAGAGGGCCCTCTGCTGGTGTAATTTATACCTACAATCAGAAACCATAGTTCTATTTATCCTGAGGTATTCAGATTAAAGCTGTTTTTCAGTTGTAGGATTCATGTTGCAGGATACTTTAACTAGGACGTAAAAGCAGCCCTGACTTTAAAAACCCAGGGCCAGGTCAGACACATGAAGACTATGTGGGTAATTCTTAAGACCAAACTGAGAGAGTAAAGAGCTGCTTTAGGTTTCTGGAGACAGGAGGAAGGTTCTGTGACTCTGAGCTTTGACTCTTCTCCCTTATCCCTGGTCCTAGACTGATCCCAGTCCACCCAGTCCAGGACTCCATGGTCTCAGCTCAGCTCTCACCATAATGATGATCATCAAGACAGAAAATCCTGTCTGTTTCTGAATGGGATGATGATTAGAAGGTTTTGGTTCATCCGTCATCCTGACCTCAACACTGTCCAGGTGTTTGGTGTATGTAGATCATATTGTTGCTCAGAGCTGTAATGTTGCAGATCGATCTACATCCCTTAAATCGGTAAAGAGGTTGCAGAGGTATGGGTCAGGTCCCAGATATGGATGATTTATTTTGTCCTCATAAATCACCGTTGTAACTTTTCAGATTGTTAATAGGTTACTCATTAAGAAGTGGTTGGAGAGAAGAGAAATGTGGTCATAACAGGTTGGGTTTTCTATCAGCAAGCAACACCTTTGGTAGTAAAAATGTTAAGATAAACTGGTATAAAAAGAAAAATCTATCAAATCCAAATAATGATGTTGCCTTTGGCGGCTTTAAAGGGGTTTTCCATGACCTTGAACCAGGAGAGGTCTGTTTTATGATCTCATTGGCTGCTCAGCTGGGTATTTGTCACCAACACTTCCTCCTCTACCACTCACCTTAAACCTTCAGACAGCAGTGATTGTAAAAGGGGCCATAAACAGTCAGAAGGCGTCTGATCTGCAACATGGAAGGCTGGTTCTGCATTGTTCTCATGTGGGGTAAGAAAACCTCCTCGCCTCTCTGGTTTCTGCTGCAGATGATCTGTTTCCATTAGCAGTCAGAGTCGTTGATTAACGAGCAAAATGACCATTTAACTTTCAGTTAAACTTTCACTGTTCTTGGTCCCACTGTGTCCAGATGAGGAAATACACTTTGGGAAGCGGCTGAGAAGCAGCTGTAGCGAGGATCAGGAAACTCTCACTAGAAGTTATCTCAGAACAAACGTAATGGACTCATGTCCTCACCAAGGGTAGTGGGACAAAAGTATTCAACTATTCACCCCAGTTAACTGGAGATCGATTGACTTAACTCAGTCATGATATTTGATGTTTGATGTTTTCATATCTTTGCAAAGAGAGAACATTTCATCAGACAACCCGTATTGCTCTGTATTCAGCCCCGTTCTGCCTGGGCAGAGTGGGTCCCCCCCTACCTACAGCAATGGAAAGTAGTCAGAGACAAATCAAATTACAATTTGGTTAAACAGTAACATGCTACGCATAAACCTTGAGAATCTGTTTTTTGTTTTGGAGGAAGAAGGCGTGTCTTGTTCACTAACACTCTCACACAGTGGCCAGGCCACACAATGTTAATAGGATAAATTAATATATGAAAAAAGAGAAATCTAAATATTCCAAACACATCCAGTCCGTTCTTAAGAACCCAGGAAAGTCTGGACTCTGGGAGAACAGGAGCACGCAGCATTAATCTGGGTCAATCAGAACAGATGCGTACTGATGACATCACCACATTCAAAGCTCCTCCTGTTATCAATAGTCTCTACATAATAATAGATTATGACTTTATTATTTACTGGGGGAATAAAAATGAACAGTCAGATAAACACAAATCAAATGAACATTTTGCTGAATAAAACAATCAAACCTCCATCAGAGCCAGCGGTGCTTCACACACGGCTATGCAGAGAGAGGGCTGCTGCAGGTGGGCTAATGTTAGCCCTGGCTGCTGCAGCCCTGGCTGCTGGATGCTGCAGGTGGGCTAATGTTAGCCCTGGCTGCTGCAGCCCTGGCTGCTGGATGCTGCAGGTGGGCTAACGTTAGCCCTGGCTGCTGCAGTCCTGGCTGCTGGATGCTGCAGGTGGGCTAACGTTAGCCCTGGCTGCTGAAGGTGGGATAACTATAGCCCTGGATGCTGCAGACGGGCTAATGTTAGCCCTGGATGCTGCAGACGGGCTAATGTTAGCCCTGGATGCTGCAGACGGGCTAATGTTAGCCCTGGATGCTGCAGACGGGCTAACGTTAGCCCTGGATGCTGCAGACGGGCTAACGTTAGCCCTGGATGCTGCAGACGGGCTAACGTTAGCCCTGGATGCTGCAGACGGGCTAACGTTAGCCCTGGATGCTGAAGGTGGGATAACTATAGCCCTGGATGCTGCAGACGGGCTAATGTTAGCCCTGGATGCTGCAGACGGGCTAATGTTAGCCCTGGATGCTGAAGGTGGGATAACTATAGCCCTGGATGCTGAAGGTGGGATAACTATAGCCCTGGATGCTGCAGACGGGCTAATGTTAGCCCTGGATGCTGCAGACGGGCTAACGTTAGCCCTGGATGCTGCAGACGGGCTAATTTTAGCCCTGGATGCTGCAGACGGGCTAATGTTAGCCCTGGCTGCTGCAGTCCTGGCTGCTGGATGCTGCAGGTGGGCTAACGTTAGCCCTGGCTGTTGGATGCTGCAGGTGGGCTAATGTTAGCCCTGGCTGCTGCAGTCCTGGCTGCTGGATGCTGCAGGTGGGCTAACGTTAGCCCTGGCTGCTGCAGTCCTGGCTGCTGGATGCTGCAGGTGGGCTAACGTTAGCCCTGGCTGCTGCAGTCCTGGCTGCTGGATGCTGCAGGTGGGCTAACGTTAGCCCTGGCTGCTGCAGTCCTGGCTGCTGGCTGCTGCAGGTGGGCTAACGTTAGCCCTGGCTGCTGGATGCTGCAGGTGGGCTAATGTTAGCCCTGGCTGCTGAAGTCCTGGCTGCTGGATGCTGCAGGTGGGCTAACGTTAGCCCTGGCTGTTGGATGCTGCAGGTGGGCTAATGTTAGCCCTGGCTGCTGCAGTCCTGGCTGCTGGATGCTGCAGGTGGGCTAACGTTAGCCCTGGCTGCTGCAGTCCTGGCTGCTGGATGCTGCAGGTGGGCTAACGTTAGCCCTGGCTGCTGCAGTCCTGGCTGCTGGATGCTGCAGGTGGGCTAACGTTAGCCCTGGCTGCTGCAGTCCTGGCTGCTGGCTGCTGCAGGTGGGCTAACGTTAGCCCTGGCTGCTGGATGCTGCAGGTGGGCTAATGTTAGCCCTGGCTGCTGAAGTCCTGGCTGCTGGATGCTGCAGGTGGGCTAACGTTAGCCCTGGCTGTTGGATGCTGCAGGTGGGCTAATGTTAGCCCTGGCTGCTGCAGTCCTGGCTGCTGGCTGCTGCAGGTGGGCTAACGTTAGCCCTGGCTGCTGCAGTCCTGGCTGCTGGATGCTGCAGGTGGGCTAATGTTAGCCCTGGCTGCTGCAGTCCTGGCTGCTGGCTGCTGCAGGTGGGCTAACGTTAGCCCTGGCTGCTGGATGCTGCAGGTGGGCTAATGTTAGCCCTGGCTGCTGCAGTCCTGACTGCTGGCTGCTGCTGGTGGGCTAACGTTAGCCCTGGCTGCTGCAGGTGGGCTAACGTTAGCCCTGGCTGCTGGATGCTGCAGGTGGGCTAATGTTAGCCCTGGCTGCTGCAGTCCTGACTGCTGGCTGCTGCTGGTGGGCTAACGTTAGCCCTGGCTGCTGCAGGTGGGCTAACGTTAGCCCTGGCTGCTGGATGCTGCAGGTGGGCTAATGTTAGCCCTGGCTGCTGCAGTCCTGGCTGCTGGCTGCTGCAGGTGGGCTAACGTTAGCCCTGGCTGCTGCAGCCCTGGCTGCTGGATGCTGCAGGTGGGCTAATGTTAGCCCTGGCTGCTGCAGTCCTGACTGCTGGCTGCTGCTGGTGGGCTAACGTTAGCCCTGGCTGCTGCAGGTGGGCTAACGTTAGCCCTGGCTGCTGGATGCTGCAGGTGGGCTAATGTTAGCCCTGGCTGCTGAAGTCCTGGCTGCTGGATGCTGCAGGTGGGCTAACGTTAGCCCTGGCTGTTGGATGCTGCAGGTGGGCTAATGTTAGCCCTGGCTGCTGCAGTCCTGGCTGCTGGCTGCTGCAGGTGGGCTAACGTTAGCCCTGGCTGCTGCAGTCCTGGCTGCTGGATGCTGCAGGTGGGCTAATGTTAGCCCTGGCTGCTGCAGTCCTGGCTGCTGGCTGCTGCAGGTGGGCTAACGTTAGCCCTGGCTGCTGGATGCTGCAGGTGGGCTAATGTTAGCCCTGGCTGCTGCAGTCCTGACTGCTGGCTGCTGCTGGTGGGCTAACGTTAGCCCTGGCTGCTGCAGGTGGGGCTGCCGTTTCCCTCGGAACTCCCCAGTTTTGCCACATTCTTCTCAACATGAGAACTTTTTTTAAATTCCCCAGTAAATTAGTAAATGTTCCATATAGGGGAGCTTAAAGTATAATATCCTCGCCTCAAATTATCTTAAAACGTGCTTTTATTGAACAACAGGATCAGAAAAGAGAACTTTAAATTTAATAATCTGAGCTCTTTGAGCGCTAACCTGGAAGCTGCTGCTGCCGCAGTGCATGCTGGACGGCTGTCAGTCTGGAGAACGGACAGGTCTGCTCTGATGCATGCTGGGTAAAGAGGGCGGGGCCAGAACAGCATCTGGGGACTTTGTCTGTTCTCGGTCTGCTGTTCTTGTGAATTGGAACAGTATGAGGGCTGAGGCTGATGACGTTTCACGAGGACACGATGACGCACAATTACACAGATTGAGAAACAGCCCTTTAGATTATCATCATGGATGCAGCGTCAACAGGTCAGGCCAATATGGACCCACCTGCCTGAGGAATGTATCTAGCACCTATGGATCTATGAGCGAGCTCTCAGGGTAAATCAGAACAAAGCCAGTTATAGTAGGCTGCTGTTATCTTGTAGATTTATGAGATCAGTAAAGTTCAATTCAATTCAATTCAGTTTATTTATATAGCGCCAAATTCACAACACATGTCATCTCAAGGCACTTTACAGTTCAACCAGATCATACAGTCAAATTGATACAAAGTTTTCTATCTAAGGAAAACCAGTTGATTGCATTGACTCATTGACTCAAATACAATCCCCCACACTAAGCATGCTTGTAGCGACAGTGGAGAGGAAAAACTCCCTTTTAACAGGAAGAAACCTCCAGCAGAACCAGGCTCAGTGTGAGCGGCCATCTGCCGAGGCCGACTGGGGTTCAAGGAGACAGAAGCAGAGATACAAAAAGCAGCTGTAAAAGGCGGCCCCGTCCAGGAAACACGCAGCCAGGCAGACGAGCTCCAAGGCAGCTCCCATGCCAGAGGATGAAGAGAGCACATCCACCCAGCCACGGCCAGAGAAACAGGACCACACCTGAAGACAGGCCGATCTCCAACATCTACAAACAAGGGTGCTGATGGAAGCAGCACAGCTGATGTTTCTTTCCTGGATGACGTCACAGCCAAACAGGAACAGACGAGGCAAAGCTACCCTGAGGAAAAGCAGAGAGAGCAGAAGGTTAGAGATTGAACAAACAGATTCTGCAGAATAGGAGAACAGAGAGAGAATGAAGCAGAATGATGAAATGGGGGTCCCTATGTCCTCCAAAAGTCTAAGCCTATAGCAGCATAACTATAGAGAGAGAGCTCAGGATAACCTGAGCCACCCTAACTATAAGCTTTATCAAAAAGGAACGTTTTAAGCCTAGTCTTAAAAGTAGACAGAGTGTCTGCCTCACGGACTAAAAAAAGTAAAAGTTAGATTGCTCCAGGAGCAACATTGTTGTTTCCAAGCAGCTGCTTCATATAATCACTAAAACAAACGGTTCTTGATGAATAGATTCAAATTCAGGGTGTTTAGAAAATAACATTTAGTATCTTAGAAAGCGTTACAGTCTGCTGGGTTGTACTCAGTCAGCCCTCAGGTTGACTTACCTTAATGTGATGAATATGTGATAGTGAAGCTGATGGATGTGCTTCTTTACAGCAATTCCTTTAGCCTCTTCTGTAACAAACGTCAACTCAGCATCTTCCACCACCACGGACTGTACGGCTCCTGCAGACCTTAATACCACTGCGGTTCGTCTCAACGCTCCTGTTCTGACTGAACCAACCTCTTCAGCGACTTCAGTCCTCCTTACTGACCCTCCTACTGCTGAGGAAAGCCAGAAACCAACTCTAGCAACACCAAGACCACCTACTGCCTGGTCTACATCTACCACCTTATCACCTGAGACAACTGCCTCCTCTACTACAAACCAAGGCAACCCTTTCAACAATGATGCTACTACTGACTACCAGACTACTACAAGTCCGGATCATGTCACTAAAGAAGCTACAAATACAGCCCCCCCACCCACCCCGGCACAAACTACACCTGAGGATTTCCCAGCATCAATTCCTCCAACCCCAGAAGCAACTTCTCCTTGGAAGACACCAACAACTGCTTCACCCAGTGAAACCATCCACACCACAGGCAGTCAGACCACTGGTTTACCTTCAGCATCAAGTCCAACTCCTGAACCATTGAGTCCTTGGCCAACATCTACTGCTGTGACAGTTCCTACATCTCAGGATCCTACATCTACTCCACCTACTCCACCTTTTACTGGGAACCCAGACAATGATCCCACAACCACACCCTTCAGCCAGACCTCTGGGGTTACAGCCTTCCTGCCAACCACTGTCCAAACTACCACTAATACTACTACTAATAGTCCCACTACCACTAATACTACTAATAGTCACACTACTAATACTACTACTAATAGTCACAGTACTAATACTGCTTGGCCCACATTCTCGTCTAATCCTCCTGCTACTACTACTGCTACTACTCCTATACCTGAGACTGATCCTCCAGATGTTGCTGCTACAACTGGGGTTACATCTAATGTTCCTCCTGCTTCTCCTAGTCCTACTACTCCCATTACTACTACTTCCTTTAATACTACTACTACTACTAGTAGTCATCTTAGTACAACTACTCCAGCTATTATTACTACCGTTACTACTATTACTTCTACTACTCCCATTACTATTAGTAGTATCAATACTGCTACTACCTCTACTACAAAGGTTATGAGTACTAGTCCTGAGACTGATGCAACAACTACAATAACTAATACTACTACTCTCTGGCCCACACCTCAGACGGATCCTACGACTGATAATACTAGTCCCTCTACTAATGATACTACTACTCTCTGGCCCTCACCTCAGACGGATCCTACAACTGATAATACTAGTCCCTCTACTAATGATACCACTACTCTCTGGCCCTCACCTCAGACGGATCCTACGACTGATAATACTAGTCCCTCTACTAATGATACTACTACTCTCTGGCCCACACCTCAGACGGATCCTACGACTGATAATACTAGTCCCTCTACTAATGATACCACTACTCTCTGGCCCTCACCTCAGACGGATCCTACGACTGATAATACTAGTCCCTCTACTAATGATACTACTACTCTCTGGCCCACACCTCAGACGGATCCTACGACTGATAATACTAGTCCCTCTACTAATGATACTACTACTCTCTGGCCCACACCTCAGACGGATCCTACGACTGATAATACTAGTCCCTCTACTAATGATACTACTACTCTCTGGCCCTCACCTCAGACGGATCCTACAACTGATAATACTAGTCCCTCTACTAATGATACCACTACTCTCTGGCCCTCACCTCAGACGGATCCTACGACTGATGATACTAGTCCCTCTACTAATGATACCACTACTCTCGGGCCCACACCTCAGACGGATCCTACAACTGATAATACTAGTCCCTCTACTAATGATACTACTACTCTCTGGCCCACACCTCAGACGGATCCTACGACTGATAATACTAGTCCCTCTACTAATGATACTACTACTCTCGGGCCCACACCTCAGACGGATCCTACGACTAATGATACTAGTCCCTCTACTAATGATACTACTACTCTCTGGCCCACACCTCAGACGGATCCTACGACTGATAATACTAGTCCCTCTACTAATGATACCACTACTCTCTGGCCCTCACCTCAGACGGATCCTACGACTAATGATACTAGTCCCTCTATTACTACTCTTTGGTCCACAGTATCAACTAATACGATTAGTACTACTAATCCAATTACTACCTTGTCCACCAGCATCACTACAACTGCTGCACCACTGAACTGTTCCAATAATGGAGTGAAAGACGGAGGTATTTGCTTCTGTCCTGACGAATGGACGGGAGAGACATGCTCCCAAGGTAAGACCTGCTGACTGTGGACGTCATACTGTCTCATTTTGTACTTTTGTCAGGCAACTGACCAGAATCATAACCACAATTCTTTGTATGAGCCTTAACATTAGCCCACCTTCAGTTAGCCCACCTTTAAATTCAAACCTAACTTGGCCTCTAATCAATCTCATCAACATTAATTCCTTCCAGGAGAGGTTAAAAAGGGTTATCGGCCTGTATTAATACATCACCTTCTCAGGTCCAGGTACCTCACAGAACTTTACATTCAGTAGGTCACCCATTGACACACTGATGGTGATAAGGTATACTGCAGCCACAGCTGCCATCCAAAGGCACCACCAGATCCAGGAAAGTATCGTACCCAAGGACACAACGACTGAGACGGACGGAGTAGCGGTTCAAACTGGCGTCCCTCAAGTTGTAGTCTTTCTGACTTTATCACAGCTTAGCAGCTGTTATCTTCCGTAGACCGGTGCAGATAAATCCAGCTGCGCTAAACCATTAAAAGCAGCAGAGCCTCCAGGCTGAATATTTCCAAACAATCAATGAGTAAAATAAGGAGATTTTACTGTAGATAACTGAAAGAAACAAAGATCTGGTGATCATTTCATCTCCTAAAGGCTGCACTGCGGAACCTGCTGTCTAATTATCTCTTAACGAGGTCACCCCGATCTGCTGGAAGGGTAAACCAGGCAAAAATAGTAAATATATAAAAGATGATTTAAAGGATCAGCGGTCTGAGATATATCCACTGTCGCTGTGCAGATCACAGGAACAGGAGAAATCCTGCAGTGATGCAAAGATTGAAGTTTAAATCAGCAGGTTAACAAACAGGAAACCTGAATGAACTTCCAGCTTCAGTGTTTTCAATGAGACTTTTTTTAATGGAACATGTTGAAACGAACAACGTTAACTTTCAGAGAACAGAGTTTAAACTGCTGCCAGCTTCCTGTTTGGAAGCAAACGCTGTGAAGATTAAAGTAACATCTTTCATAAATGCTAATCTTTCAGCTAAAGGCTTCAGCTCCAACTGAAAGCAACACGTTTCCTGAACTCCTGGTTGCTAATAGTTTCTCCTCTGATGTCTGTCATCAGTCGGTCCAATCAGAATCACAGCTCTTCTTCTCAATGTCTTCGTTTAGCTAATTTCTGCAATCAGACGACTCTGCAGGGATTGACATTTCCAAATACAACCGTCGGCTGGTTTGCATCTTCCCATGAAAACTGTCCTGAAGGAACCAGCAGAGGTGAGAGAAACATCTCCAGATCAGACACTCCTCAGGTCTGAAGCAGTGAGAGCCTCAGCATGTCCTCTCATCCTCCCAGCTGGAACACCTCAGGCTTCTACCAGATGTTCCTTCAGGGATGGAAGCCCACAGTTTGATGCACCGTTAATCATTGACTGTCAACAGACACTCAAAGACATCCAGGCAAACGTGAGAAGAGCTTCACAGACAGTTTGATGAGAGAAGCTGCAGAATTCCTCAGAAAGGATTGTTTCTGTCCTCCAGCTATCCAGTCCAGCAGACTTGGAGTTACTGGCCTCCAGCGCTCAGCTCCTGACATCCAGACCTGAAACTCTGAAAGCTGAAGACGTCACAGTAGCCGCTGACATCGCCAATAAGCTGCTGCTGTCCCCAAACGCCACTGAGGTAGGTTGCAGCGAATGCAGTCCGTCCTCAGATCTCTGATTGTTGGAGCCGCATGGAGCCGCTGACCCGGCTGGGTTCTGGTTCTGGTTCTTGTTTGCAGTCGGTCCGAGTGGCGGCGGTCGCTACAGTGAGCCAGCTGCTCAACGCCGGGGAGCTGGAAGAGGAGAGCGACACAACCCAGGGGTAAACGTCTTTCCTCTGTGCAGACCTGCTGGATCGGGGGTCTGGGTGGACCCTCAGACCACCACAGAACCAGAGCACCACTCTGAGGGGACTCTGGGTAGAGCGCCCCCTTCAGCAGGCAGAGGAACAGATTTTCTGTCTTTAAACTTCATAAAATTGTTTTTGGTCTTCATCAGTTCTACGAACGTTGCTTTAAGGTCTTAATTATTAAAACATGGAAGAAACAGCAAATATTTCCCTCAGATTGAAGCGATCAGCTGATCTCCAAGGTTGCAGTGACCTTCAGTTTCCCCCGTGTCTCATGTTCAGGCTCACAGTGACTCTGGATCAGCTCTCTCTGAACCTCAGCCGGACCTCCAACACGTCCCAGGTGGTCCAACCCAACCTGGTGGTCCAGTCGGCTCAGATCCAGGCTTCAGACACTCAGGGAGTCCAGTTCACCACCTTGGCAGGTCAGTGGGTCCATGCATCATGGTGAGAGCTGCTGACAGCAGATAAATGCAGCTTCAAATGTTTCATTGAGTTGATTCATTACTCATTCAGGATTAATCAGACTTTCCATAAAGAAAAGTTTGGAGCAGACTTCGTGACTCTAATGTTACATTCACACTGAACGCGATCTGGACGTCAAAAACTCTCTAACACAGAAATCTGGACTCTGGATCTGGATCAGTTGCTCTGGTTGTTTATCTGCTCTGTTCTGTAGCTTCCAGCCAGAGAGCAGCTCGGCTTTATTTACTTTATGAGTTGGAAAAATAGTTTGAAGAGGTTTTTAAGTGAGAAAGTCCACCTCCAAACATCCTCTGTTCATCAGGTGATCAGGATTATAATCCCACTATAATCTGCGGTTCTTGTTGGGAGCTCCAGACCTCCAGCATCCCGCCAGGAGGCAGCGCTGGGAATCCCTGCTGGAAGCTGTGGGGGATTTCCTGCTGCCGCTCGTAGCGGCTGGAAGTGAATAGAAAAAGTTTTTAAGGTTTGAGGTAAAAACTGCAAGAACCAGAATAAACAATCCAATATTTTTTATCAGGTTTTAAAATGTTCTGGCAAACTGTCCGCCGAGTTAGGAGGAGGAAGCAGTGTTTCACCAACACTGTTTACAGTGCAGGTGGGGAGCTGCTGACCTTGACTAGGGATGTTGTCGAGGGGTGGAACGAGTACTTTGAGGATCTCCTTAATCCCATCTTCACATCTTCCGAGGAGTAGGTAGAGGATGGGGACTTAGAGGCGGACTAGCCCATCAGCCAGGCTGAAGTCACTGAGGTAGTTAGAAAGCTTCTTGGTGGCAGGGCCCCGGGGGTGGATGAGATTTGTCCTCATTACCTTAAGTCTCTGGATGTTGTAGGACTGTCTTGGCTGACATGTCTCTGCAGTATTGCGTAGACGTCGGGTACAGTACCCCTGGACTTGCAGACCGGGGTGGTGGTCCTTCTCTTCAAAAAGAGGGATTGAAGGGGGAGCTGAAATTACAGAGGGATCACACTCCTCTGTCTCCCCGGTAAGGTCTTCTCCAGGGTGCTGGAGAGAGAGCATCCGGCCGATGGTGAACCTTGCATCCAGGAGGAACATCAGGTGCTCGAGGGTTCGTGGGAGTTCGACCACACCAGTCCACATGTGTTTTGTGGATCAGGCTTTCGACCGTGTCCTTCGTGGTGCCCTGTGGGGGGTGCTCTGGGATTATGGGATCCGGGGCCCTCTGGAAACTGACAGCAGCAATCCAGCAGCGGTCTCAGGACACCTTGTAGAGAAGCCTAGGAAGAACCAAAGAACCAACCAAGCCCAGCAATCCCTCATCCTGACTCTCAACCTTCTCTTTCAGGCTTGTCTGGCAGTTTTGTAGCCAACCGGACTCAGCTGAACACCAACGTGTCAAAGGTCACTGTGGACAGCGGTTTCATTGCCGATGCTCTGATTTACATCCAGTTCCCATCAGGTGGGTTTCCTGCAGCAGAGACCATCTCACCTCCATTCAGCAACGGATGACCCTACATCTGTTACCCCACACCCAGCAGGGGGCGCTGAACGGCGGCAAAAGGAGACCGACGTCTCTCTGGGGTTCGTCCTCTACCAGAACAGCCACTTCTTTTCATCAAAGCTCTACAGGAGGCAGAAGGCTAGCATCAGGGTGCTGTCTGCTAGCGTCAGGGATCCAGAGCGCAGCATGGTGCCACAGTCTGTGGAGATGCATTTCCGACTAACAGTAAGAACACTGGTGGAGGACCGTTTCCAACACCTCTAATGCGTTTAGGGTCTGATCTGTCAGAGGTTTGAGGAAACTTCTGGCTGCTTCTGTTTCAGTTGCCAAAAAATATATCTCTGCATGACTTCTCCTGCGTCTTCTGGGACTACAGCCTGAAGGACTGGAGCACCCAAGGCTGCTCCAAGGGAAATGCTTCAGAAGATGTTCTGAGATGTTTCTGCAACCACACAACCAACTTCGCAGCTCTCTGGGTGATTCTCACACACCACTACCAGGATTGCAGCAGTTCTTCACAGAGTTCTATGTCATCCCTACTGACTGCCAGAGGACGGTGCTGAAAGCGCTGAATGTTACCTTCGTGCATGCGCAGTTCAAGTAATTAAACCAACAGAGTCACACCTGTAAAACCCTGAGTGACCACTCAGAAGCTATATATGCCGCCTCATCCAGGGCTCCATTCCTTACCTCTTCTCGAATGCGGTTTGCCATGTTTGGCATTAGAGTTTAGCTTTTTGGACCATTCTTGGTTGTTTCCCTGTTCCTGGAAGTCCGGTTGCCTACTGGTTGGAGCTACGACAATTTCTCCCTCCTAGGGCTGCAACAGGTTGATCTTTGTATGGACCTGCAAGGTCTGCATCCTCGTTGTTGGTGACAGCAGCGTTTGGACCCCCTCCCATCTCACTGCTTCTTACTGTGTTTTCTGTCTTTATTGTAGCTTGGTGACTGTTGTTTTGTTATGACTGGTGCCGCAGCATTTTTTAACCAGTTTGGCTGACCTTATTGTTGAGGTTTGAATATGACTATGGCTATGGTTCAAACGTTATCTTTTTTTAGTTAAATGATCTTTGCTTTTTCTATCTGGTGACGGTAGCGTCTCGTCCCCTATTGGGAATTTGCCTCTCAGGCTACATTCTGGCTTCTTCCCCAAATGTCCTTGTTGGTCCTCAAGGTCAACTCGGCTGCCTTGTTCCATCTCAGACATCCACCTTTCTCAGGATGCAGTTGTACTCTGTCCACAGGGTAAGCAACATACTCAAGCTGGTCATCTGATCCAGTTTTGGCATCACCTTCCTGCAGATGCAAGGCAAACTGACTTCTGTCACCTGTGTTGTGCCCCTGGGTTTGCTTCTCTTCCGCCCTGTTCAAAGATGGCTTTCATCTAAACACCATCCAGCACATGCATCGGACACTCACAATGACGTGGATGTGCCTTAATGCCTTGGGAGCATGGTGAGACAGGTCTTTCTTGTACAACACCTCTGTTGTATACCACATTAACCATTAGGGAGGCAACGGGTCTGTAGAGCCTTGAAGGTGTCAGGAATCTCCTAAAATGGGCCACTCTTCATCTGTCCATCGGACGTCCAATGTATTTACCCGGGGTGCATAATCAGGTCGCAGACTCTCTCTCTCGCCAGGCCCATTTCCAGGGGGGTGGTTTCTTCACTGCGATGTGGTGCACATGATTTGGGGCCGCTTTGGTCAAGCAGAGGTGGATATGTTTGCCATAGAGGAGTTAACTCAATGCCCTCTGTGGTATTCCCTGAGGGGGGCTTCGGTCGCATTGGGTCAGGATGTGCTAGCACATCCCTGGCCTCGGGTTCTCCTGTGTGCTTTCCCACCCGCCGATTTGGCCTACTCCACAGAGGGTTTTCGAGGAGGGCCACAAGCTTCTGCTCTGTTATGGCCAGCGTGGCCGTGGTTTGATCTGCTTTCTCAGTTGGGGGGACAGATATAGCACCCCAACCCTCAAAGTCTCCAGCTGTGGGTATGGCCACTGGAAGGCTGTAAGATCATTAAGCACCACTTTGAGTTCTAAGGCCCCCTCCGCTCAATGCAAAAATCGATGCCGTCTATTTTCTCAGTGGTGGTTGGCCCTCAATGAGGACCCAGTTTCCTGCCCAGTGCCTACGGTTCTAGAGTTCCTCCAGTCTCTGCTTGCTAAGGGTCATTCTCCTTTGATCCTTAAGGATTATGGGTCTCAGGTGTGACTCTGTAGGTATAATTACTCAAAGTGTACGAAGGGAACATTCAGTCCGTCCAGCCCTGCCTGCTGGTGGTCATCCAGGATTTAAAGAACCGTAGTAACTTTCTTTTGGAGTTCTGACTAGATGTGCTTCAGTCCTACAGAAACGACTATGAGTATGCAGAACCCCTGAGCGTGATCTCCATCGTGGGACTGTCCCTCTCCCTGCTGGGCCTGGTTGTTACCATCATTCACCACCTCAAAGTGAAGTAAGTCGGTATGACACTGCTGCACATTCACCGTTCCTCCTGCTGTTGGATAAACACCAACCAGGAGAGCTTCAACCTTTTCTTTCTTCCAAACAGCTCATCCAGTTGTCCCCATCCTCATTAACGGGGGAGAGATTTCTGATCCTCAGGCCCAGATGAAGGTCCTGGTTCATTTATGGCCTGCTATGGTGTGGACAGCTACACCTGTCCAGGTGTATTTCAGGGATTTTTGCTAAATCACCAGCAGTTAGGCTTCCTCACCATTGAAGGAAACCAAACGCAGGCTAAGATGCTGCTGAAGGGTTTTCATCTTTGGGTTTACATTCAGGGCCCGTTACCGCGGTAACCCCTCCATCCAACTACAGTGCACCCATCCTCCCCCACAGTCTGCATGTGTAATGTTAGCTAAATCTACCTCCAGCTACTCTGAGGTTCTCATGTTGGAGAACATCATGGAACATACAGGAGCTGCTATGCAGGAAGTGCAGCTTCTGTCAGGCGTGACGTCCATCTTTATAGAAACAGGAAACCAGAAAAGTTCTGTTTGCAGTTTGGTCCAGAACATAAAGGACACAGTAGACGTCTAGTAGAGGGTTCTCTGATCAGATCAGACCAGATGTTCCCAGATGTTCTCCATTCAGTCCAACTGAGAAACCTTGATCTGTTTTTCATGGAAGAACAATCATCCGTCTGCAGATGTTCAAAGGTGGCAGAGAAACAGCCATAAAGACCCAAACAGGACCGGCAGCCAAAGGCCCAAAAAGTAGTGATGGAGGCGTGAAGATAAAAGCTCAGCACACTTTCTATGACCACGCCTCCTTTCTCCTCCCCCTCGCACGTTTTCACTACTTTCTTCTGTCTCTCTGCTCAGTTTTCTAAAGAAGCCGCAGAACCAACAAACCAATGTGAACTCCAAGATGTCTCTGCTGTGCATCTACCTCAGTCTGCTGGCCTTCATCATCACCTTCCTGTCTGGAGTCCAGAACTCCGCCCCTCAGAGCAGCAGGGAGGAGCAGAACCTCCTCCTGGACTCTGACCAGCACATAGAGCCGGATGCAGGCTCCTGCACGGCGGTGACGGCGCTTCTGCACCTTTTCCTTCTGGCCACGTTCTCATGGAACAGCGTGTACGGCACCCAGCTGGTTCTGCTGGTCCGCTCCATGCACCGCAGCCTGCCGCCGTACTGGACTCCTCTCAGCGTGGGCGTCGGATGGGGTACGAGGGTCCAATCAGATTCTACCAACCTCAAACATCTACCAGAGAGCCGGAGCAGGTTTTTGCTTCAATCAGTTCTGCTTGTTCTTCCTGGCCAGGAGTCCCAGTGGTTGTCATGGCGATCACACTGGCAGCCACCTACAGGATGGACCAGCCTCTGGGATACAGACAGGAGGAGTTGTGAGTGGTCTGGTTTGAACCGGTTCCTCAGGCCTTTAGATGCTGAGCAGATGTTTGATCTGCTGTGTTCTGGTTCTGCAGCTGCTGGCTCGCTGCTCTGGATCAGGAGAAACGCTTCAGCTTTAGGAAACCCATGTTCTGGGCTTTCCTCCTTCCTCTGGGCCTGGTTCTGATCTACAACACGGTGCTGTTGGTCCTCACCTCTCTGATCACCTGCAGGGTGGACTCCAGGCTCACCAGGTAACCTGCTGCCCCCTGCAGGACACAGTCACAACCTGAAAGCAGATTTCAGATCAACCTTTTGTTCTTCGATAGAAACATTAGGATTGAAACACCACAGCGGCTAACTGCTAAAGCTAATAAATATGTTTGCAGGAAATATTTAGATGGTTGATCTTTTTACAAACACGGCTCTGATAATTATGATGATAAAGATGAAAGGTCTGCCTGGAGAAACATTTAGATTTTCTAACATTTCTAAAACACTAAGGATCCTCCTGGTGAGAAACCGTGAACTTTTCCAGCTATCAGCTTGTTATTTTTAAAACCAGAGAGATGTGAGGCCAATCTATTTAACGTCTTTCTAGATTACAGCTCAGAGGAACAGCAGCGCTCAGATTACTGTGAAATAATGAAGGAACTTTCTGATCTGGGAGGTGATGCTTCACCTGCCTTTCTGCTCGGAGACGAATCTAAAGCGTAGTTTTAGACGTAGCCTTTAAGCTAAGGCGGGAAGAGATCAGTTCTCTGACCTCATTAGCATCATGCTCAGCTAAATCCCAGAGGTCAAACTCTCACCTCTAGTGTTTCCAACACGTTGACTCTAACCAGTCTGACCTCTGACCTCTGTTTCTGTCCACCTGTCAGCACCAAACGCTCCTCTCTGACCAAGAAGATCCTGGTCAGCTTCTCTCTGTCCGTGCTGCTGGGATTATCCTGGACTCTGGGATACTTTGTCCTGGTTACCGCGGGAACCGCCCGGGAGGTCTTCAGCATCCTGTTCTGCCTCTCCACCGCCACACAGGTAAGATGTGACCAGACTGAAGAGGTTGAGCTGCTGTTGGAGATCGTAGCTGACACTGTCCTGTTTCAGCGATGTTTTCCTGGCCTCTGAGGTCACCATCTTGGTCTGTTTGGGCCTGACAGCCGCACGTTGTGTGAGTTGGGTCTTACCTCCCCTCTGTAGGGAAGGATGGTGTTCCTCAAGGTATGAACACCTGCAGCCTCTGGTGTTCTTCTGTAGTGGGGGAAAGCATTCAGCTATGCAGTCCAGTTAAACACAGATCGATGGATTTTTACTCTATGTTCATTTTAAAGACAGAGAAGATGTCTTGATGTCCAGCCCTGCTTTATCTCAGTAACTTTTACACAGTCAGGTGTTTGGCAGCAGCTCCAGTCTTCCTGCTGCTCAGCTCTGACCTGAAGGTCTGAGCGCCGTAACGATGGCCGTGAGACGTCTGCAGCCATTTTTAGATGTTTCTGATGTTTAACCAGATTTAGGTCTAGACTCCAGAACATCCGTATTGGTTCTGATCCAGTCCTGCCAGTATGCTGTTGTGGGAAAAGACGTCTTCAACTATTTAGTCCAGCTAAATAAACGGAGATTGATGGATTAATATCTGTCGGCACTTTATTTCGATATCTTTGCAAAGAGAGAACAGTTCATCAATCGGCCTTATTGCTCGGTAATCAAACCTGTTCTGATCTGAGCAGCGTTCGTTCCTCCTTAAGTACAATAACGGAAAGCAGTCAGAGTCAAAACTAATTACAGACACTTTGGTTAAACAGTAACATGTTATGAATAAACCTAAGAAAGAATCTGGATTGTTATGGAAGAAGCTCTGCCTGCTCTACAAACACCATCCTGCAGAGAACGGTGCGGCCTTCAAGGTGAAACAGACTGAGGGAAAACTTTTATAGAGTAAATAAGATAAATTAAGATATGCATTAAGATCAACTAAATTTTCTGACCACAGTTCATCCTTTCCATTATAAAAGGATATTATCCTTGTGTAATCGATAATAAAAAAGGAATATTTGTTGAATATATGTAAAGAAAATTTAAAACTATTTGCTGAGAATTTAAAAATAATATTATTATTTTTAGTTCTTATCATTATCAGTTACCCTTTTTGTTTCACTGCAAAGAGAAAAGGTCAAATCAGTCGATAAACGGACTCCTCCATGTCTACAAAGTCTAACGATTAAACTAGTTCCTAAACGCAGCAAACCTCAATATGAGTGAAACAAAAGCTCAATGACAACCTGGATAACTGAGGGAGATGCCACTCTAGATTACCAATGTCTCAGTAATATTAGATCTGTTCTGGTGATTCCTGCAACCTTCGTTTCAGTGCTTAGAGAGAAACTCTCGTATAGATTATATTTATTTATTTTTTATAGAAAAAAAGAGAACTTTGTTTGAGCTAATTCTTCCACTATTTGATTTCTAATAATCTTTAGATCTGTTAGAAATCTTTCGTATTTGAAACGTTGTTTTTGAAATGTAATATAAACTGTGCCGACAAAGATTCATCTCACCGTCTCAAAAAGAAAAGTTTGGTTTTGATCCTCCTGCTGACCTCCTGCTGACCTCCTGCTGACCTCCTGCTGACCTCCTGCTGACCTCCTGCTGACCTCCAGGGACCTGGATGCCAGAAGTCCTCCCTCCCTCAACCTTCTAACGGGGCATTGATTCTGGAAGGCTGCTTCCTCCAGGAGGTTCCTTCTGACAATCACTGACCTCAGAAAACATCAGTCGTAGGAGAATCCTGCCGACAACGCCAAACTGTGGTGGAAAAAAAAGTATTCAACTATTTACTCCAGTTAAACAAACAGATAGATGATCGTCCACCATGGTTGTTGTTTTTCTCGCCATTTCTGTGCAGAAAGACGCAGAATAGTGACCTTTGTTGAGTATTAATGGCGAACAGGTCGGATGAATGCGACCTGGCCGTTCAGACGCAGGATTAGATTCATATCAGATTCAGGACCACAGAACCAAGTGGTCTGGGTCGGATTGGAACAAATCGATGTGTGTTGTTCAAACTGTCAGTCAGAGGTCAGATCCAGGTCCCATAAGGGCGATAAAATCAGATTATGGTCCCTTCAGGCTGCAGTGTGAATCAGAACCGCTCCTTTCTGGATGGACTGTTGGCAGCTCAGTCATGGATGCTGACCCCCCCCACCCCCCTGTACGTGTGTCTCCAGGGCCTTCAGATCTTCATCCTCTTCACGGCCAGGACACCCAGCTTTCAGGCCTCCGTGGTGAGATCTGTTCGCTACATCGCCTCAGCTGCCGTCCCTTCCAGGTCCACCAAGTACTATCTGTGGAAGAACTGGAGACAGACCAGCACCTCAGAGACCTACAAGGACATCACAGAAACCACGGTCTAGGACCAGGAACTCTGGTTGGATCAGAACCAACCGGCTGAATATTCTGGCAGAACAAAAAGCTAGAAGACAAACAGCAGGTAGATCCCTCAGATCAACCACCTGATGGTTGGGTTAAAGCAGGATCTAAGCAGAACCCGGTCAGAACCAAAGGAACCTGATCAAATGGATGGATGATGGATGGATGGATGATGGATGGATGATGGATAGATGGATGATGATGGATGGATGATGGATGGATGGATGATGGATAGATGGATGATGATGGATGGATGGATGGATAATGGATGGATGGATGAATGAATGATGGATGGATGATGGATAGATGGATGATGGATAGATGGATGATGATGGATGGATGATGGATGGATGGATGATGGATAGATGGATGATGATGGATGGATGATGGATGGATGGATGGATGGATGGATGGATGGATGGATGGATGGATGATGGAATGATGGATGGATGGATGATGATGGATGGATGATGGATGGATGGATGGATGGATGGATGGATGGATGGATGGATGAATGAATGATGGATGGATGATGGATGGATGATGGAATGATGGATAGATGGATGATGATGGATGGATGATGGATGGATGGATGGATGGATGGATGGATGGATGGATGGATGAATGAATGATGGATGGATGATGGATGGATGATGGATAGATGGATGATGATGGATGGATGATGGATGGATGGATGATGGATAGATGGATGATGATGGATGGATGATGGATGGATGGATGGATGGATGGATGGATGGATGGATGGATGGATGGATGGATGGATGATGGATGGATGGATGGATGGATGGATGATGAACATTTATCGTTTTTATTTCTGGTTAAATCTTGACAGAAACTAATGTTTGATTTTTTTGTAACTAAATGTTTTGTTGTTTTAATAATCAGACTGATTCAGCAGGTTCTGGATAAATCTGGGTTCCTGACTTCAGGAGAATGTTCTTGGTTAGGTGATGATGTCATGTGATGATGTCATATCTCTGTGTTAATAAAGTCCTGTTTAACTGGACCTTTAACGGAGCGGCTGGTTCTTCATCCCTTCCAGCAGAGGGCGCTCTCCCCTCACTATAAACTCCTTCCTCCTCACGGTTGGTTTTCTTCTGCTCAGGATTAATCCAGAACCAGATTACTGCTGTGGTTCTGTGTCGACCCGGTTAGCAGATTTACAGCATGTAGCTCAGCCGGTCCTGTTTCCAGAACCAGGCGGTCTGGTCTGACTTGGGCCAAGTGGGATGGGTTCTGAAGGCCCCCTGGTCCAGCTTGCATGGTTCTGAAGGTCTCCTAGTCCAGCTCCCATGGTTCTGAAGGCCTCCTGGTCCAGCTCCCATGGTTCTGAAGGCCTCCTGGTCCCGTTCCCATGGTTCTGGAAGCCTCCTGGTCCAGCTCCCATGGTTCTGAAGGCATCCTGGTCCGGCTCGCATGGTTCTGAAGGCCTCCTGGTCCGGCTCGCATGGTTCTGGAAGCCTCCTAGTCCAGCTTGCATGGTTCTGGAAGCCTCCTGGTCCAGCTTGCATGGTTCTGGAAGCCTCCTGGTCCAGCTCCCATGGTTCTGAAGGTCTCCTAGTCCAGCTCCCATGGTTCTGAAGGCCTCCTGGTCCGGCTCGCATGGTTCTGGAAGCCTCCTAGTCCAGCTTGCATGGTTCTGGAAGCCTCCTAGTCCAGCTCCCATGGTTCTGAAGGCCTCCTAGTCCAGCTTGCATGGTTCTGGAAGCCTCCTGGTCCAGCTCCCATGGTTCTGAAGGCCTCCTGGTCCAGCTACCATGGTTCTGGAAGCCTCCTGGTCCAGTTTGCATGGTTCTGGAAGCCTCCTGGTCCAGCTTCCATGGTTCTGAAGGCCTCCTGGTCCAGCTCCCATGGTTCTGAAGGCCTCCTGGTCCAGCTCCCATGGTTCTGGAAGCCTCCTGGTCCAGCTCCCATGGTTCTGGAAGCCTCCTAGTCCAGCTTGCATGGTTCTGGAAGCCTCCTGGTCCAGCTCCCATGGTTTTTGGAAGCCTCTTGGTCAGGCTCCCATGGTTCTGGAAGCCTCCTGGTCCAGCTCCCATGGTTCCAAAGGCCTCCTGGTTCAGCTCCCATGGTTCTGAAGGCCTCCTGCTCCAGCTCCCATGGTTCTGAAGGCCTCCTGCTCCAGCTCCCATGGTTCTGAAGGCCTCCTGGTCCAGCTCCCATGGTTCTGGAGGCCTCCTGGTCCAGCTCCCATGGTTCTGGAGGCCTTCTGGTCCAGTTTGCATGGTTCTGGAAGCCTCCTGGTCCAGCTCTCATGGTTCTGAAGGCCACCTGGTCCAGCTCCCATGGTTCTGGAAGCCTCCTGGTCCAGCTTGCATGGTTCTGAAGGCCTCCTGGTCCAGCTCTCATGGTTCTGAAGGCCACCTGGTCCAGCTCCCATGGTTCTGGAAGCCTCCTGGTCCAGCTCCCATGGTTCTGAAGGCCTCCTGGTCCAGTTCCCATGGTTCTGGAAGCCTCCTGGTCCAGCTCCCATGGTTCTGGAAGCCTCCTAGCCCAGCTCCCATGGTTCTGAAGGCCTCCTGGTCCAGTTCCCATGGTTCTGGAAGCCTCCTGGTCCAGCTCCCATGGTTCTGAAGGTCTCCTAGTCCAGCTCCCATGGTTCTGAAGGCCTCCTGGTCCGGCTCGCATGGTTCTGGAAGCCTCCTAGTCCAGCTTGCATGGTTCTGGAAGCCTCCTAGTCCAGCTTGCATGGTTCTGGAAGCCTCCTGGTCCAGCTCCCATGGTTCTGAAGGCCTCCTGGTCCAGCTACCATGGTTCTGGAAGCCTCCTGGTCCAGTTTGCATGGTTCTGGAAGCCTCCTGGTCCAGCTTCCATGGTTCTGAAGGCCTCCTGGTCCAGCTCCCATGGTTCTGAAGGCCTCCTGGTCCAGCTCCCATGGTTCTGGAAGCCTCCTGGTCCAGCTCCCATGGTTCTGGAAGCCTCCTAGTCCAGCTTGCATGGTTCTGGAAGCCTCCTGGTCCAGCTCCCATGGTTTTTGGAAGCCTCTTGGTCAGGCTCCCATGGTTCTGGAAGCCTCCTGGTCCAGCTCCCATGGTTCTGAAGGCCTCCTGGTCCAGCTCCCATGGTTCTGAAGGCCTCCTGGTCCAGCTCCCATGGTTCTGGAGGCCTCCTGGTCCAGCTCCCATGGTTCTGGAGGCCTTCTGGTCCAGTTTGCATGGTTCTGGAAGCCTCCTAGTCCAGCTTGCATGGTTCTGGAAGCCTCCTAGTCCATCTTGCATGGTTCTGAAGGCCTCCTGGTCCAGCTCTCATGGTTCTGAAGGCCTCCTGGTCCAGCTACCATGGTTCTGGAAGCCTCCTGGTCCAGTTTGCATGGTTCTGGAAGCCTCCTGGTCCAGCTCCCATGGTTCTGAAGGCCTCCTGGTCCAGTTCCCATGGTTCTGGAAGCCTCCTGGTCCAGCTCCCATGGTTCTGGAAGCCTCCTAGTCCAGCTACCATGGTTCTGGAAGCCTCCTGGTCCAGTTTGCATGGTTCTGGAAGCCTCCTGGTCCAGCTCCCATGGTTCTGAAGGCCTCCTGGTCCAGCTCCCATGGTTCTGGAAGCCTCCTGGTCAGGCTCCCATGGTTCTGGAAGCCTCCTGGTCCAGCTCCCATGGTTCTGAAGGCCTCCTGGTTCAGCTCCCATGGTTCTGGAAGCCTCCTGGTCCAGCTCCCATGGTTCTGAAGGCCTCCTGGTCCAGCTCCCATGGTTCTGAAGGCCTCCTGGTCCAGCTCCCATGGTTCTGGAAGCCTCCTAGTCCATCTTGCATGGTTCTGAAGGCCTCCTGGTCCAGCTCTCATGGTTCTGAAGGCCTCCTGGTCCAGCTCCCATGGTTCTGAAGGCCTCCTGGTCCAGCTACCATGGTTCTGGAAGCCTCCTGGTCCAGCTCCCATGGTTCTGGAAGCCTCCTAGTCCAGCTTGCATGGTTCTGGAAGCCTCCTGGTCCAGCTCCCATGGTTTTTGGAAGCCTCTTGGTCAGGCTCCCATGGTTCTGAAGGCCTCCTGGTCCAGCTCTCATGGTTCTGAAGGCCTCCTGGTCCAGCTCCCATGGTTCTGAAGGCCTCCTGGTCCAGCTACCATGGTTCTGGAAGCCTCCTGGTCCAGCTCCCATGGTTCTGGAAGCCTCCTAGTCCAGCTTGCATGGTTCTGGAAGCCTCCTGGTCCAGCTCCCATGGTTTTTGGAAGCCTCTTGGTCAGGCTACCATGGTTCTGGAAGCCTCCTAGTCCATCTTGCATGGTTCTGAAGGCCTCCTGGTCCAGCTCTCATGGTTCTGAAGGCCTCCTGGTCCAGCTCCCATGGTTCTGAAGGCCTCCTGCTCCAGCTCCCATGGTTCTGAAGGCCTCCTGGTCCAGCTCCCATGGTTCTGGAGGCCTCCTGGTCCAGCTCCCATGGTTCTGGAGGCCTTCTGGTCCAGTTTGCATGGTTCTGGAAGCCTCCTAGTCCAGCTTGCATGGTTCTGGAAGCCTCCTAGTCCATCTTGCATGGTTCTGAAGGCCTCCTGGTCCAGCTCTCATGGTTCTGAAGGCCACCTGGTCCAGCTCCCATGGTTCTGGAAGCCTCCTGGTCCAGCTTGCATGGTTCTGAAGGCCTCCTGGTCCAGCTACCATGGTTCTGGAAGCCTCCTGGTCCAGTTTGCATGGTTCTGGAAGCCTCCTGGTCCAGCTCCCATGGTTCTGAAGGCCTCCTGGTCCAGTTCCCATGGTTCTGGAAGCCTCCTGGTCCAGCTCCCATGGTTCTGGAAGCCTCCTAGTCCAGCTCCCATGGTTCTGAAGGCCTCCTGGTCCAGTTCCCATGGTTCTGGAAGCCTCCTGGTCCAGCTCCCATGGTTCTGAAGGTCTCCTAGTCCAGCTCCCATGGTTCTGAAGGCCTCCTGGTCCGGCTCGCATGGTTCTGGAAGCCTCCTAGTCCAGCTTGCATGGTTCTGGAAGCCTCCTAGTCCAGCTTGCATGGTTCTGGAAGCCTCCTGGTCCAGCTCCCATGGTTCTGAAGGCCTCCTGGTCCAGCTACCATGGTTCTGGAAGCCTCCTGGTCCAGTTTGCATGGTTCTGAAGGCCTCCTGGTCCAGCTCCCATGGTTCTGAAGGCCTCCTGGTCCAGCTTCCATGGTTCTGAAGGCCTCCTGGTCCAGCTCCCATGGTTCTGAAGGCCTCCTGGTCCAGCTCCCATGGTTCTGGAAGCCTCCTGGTCCAGCTCCCATGGTTCTGGAAGCCTCCTAGTCCAGCTTGCATGGTTCTGGAAGCCTCCTGGTCCAGCTCCCATGGTTTTTGGAAGCCTCTTGGTCAGGCTCCCATGGTTCTGGAAGCCTCCTGGTCCAGCTCCCATGGTTCTGAAGGCCTCCTGGTCCAGCTCCCATGGTTCTGAAGGCCTCCTGGTCCAGCTCCCATGGTTCTGGAGGCCTCCTGGTCCAGCTCCCATGGTTCTGGAGGCCTTCTGGTCCAGTTTGCATGGTTCTGGAAGCCTCCTAGTCCAGCTTGCATGGTTCTGGAAGCCTCCTAGTCCATCTTGCATGGTTCTGAAGGCCTCCTGGTCCAGCTCTCATGGTTCTGAAGGCCTCCTGGTCCAGCTACCATGGTTCTGGAAGCCTCCTGGTCCAGTTTGCATGGTTCTGGAAGCCTCCTGGTCCAGCTCCCATGGTTCTGAAGGCCTCCTGGTCCAGTTCCCATGGTTCTGGAAGCCTCCTGGTCCAGCTCCCATGGTTCTGGAAGCCTCCTAGTCCAGCTACCATGGTTCTGGAAGCCTCCTGGTCCAGTTTGCATGGTTCTGGAAGCCTCCTGGTCCAGCTCCCATGGTTCTGAAGGCCTCCTGGTCCAGCTCCCATGGTTCTGGAAGCCTCCTGGTCAGGCTCCCATGGTTCTGGAAGCCTCCTGGTCCAGCTCCCATGGTTCTGAAGGCCTCCTGGTTCAGCTCCCATGGTTCTGGAAGCCTCCTGGTCCAGCTCCCATGGTTCTGAAGGCCTCCTGGTCCAGCTCCCATGGTTCTGAAGGCCTCCTGGTCCAGCTCCCATGGTTCTGGAAGCCTCCTAGTCCATCTTGCATGGTTCTGAAGGCCTCCTGGTCCAGCTCTCATGGTTCTGAAGGCCTCCTGGTCCAGCTCCCATGGTTCTGAAGGCCTCCTGGTCCAGCTACCATGGTTCTGGAAGCCTCCTGGTCCAGCTCCCATGGTTCTGGAAGCCTCCTGGTCCAGCTCCCATGGTTCTGAAGGCCTCCTGGTCCAGCTCCCATGGTTCTGGAAGCCTCCTGGTCCAGCTCCCATGGTTCTGGAAGCCTCCTAGTCCAGCTTGCATGGTTCTGGAAGCCTCCTGGTCCAGCTCCCATGGTTCTGGAGGCCTTCTGGTCCAGTTTGCATGGTTCGGGAAGCCTCCTAGTCCATCTTGCATGGTTCTGAAGGCCTCCTGGTCCAGCTCTCATGGTTCTGAAGGCCTCCTGGTCCAGCTACCATGGTTCTGGAAGCCTCCTGGTCCAGTTTGCATGGTTCTGGAAGCCTCCTGGTCCAGCTCCCATGGTTCTGAAGGCCTCCTGGTCCAGCTCCCGTGGTTCTGAAGGCCTCCTGGTCCAGCTCTCATGGTTCTGAAGGCCTCCTGGTCCAGCTCCCATGGTTCTGGAAGCCTCCTGGTCCAGCTCCCATGGTTCTGAAGGCCTCCTGGTCCAGCTCCCACGGTTCTGGAGGCCCCCTGGTCCAGCTCCCATGGTTCTGGAAGCCTCCTGGTCCAGCTCTCATGGTTCTGGAGGCCCCCTGGTCCAGCTTCCATGGTTCTGGAAGCCTCCTGGTCCAGCTCTCATGGTTCTGAAGGCCTCCTGGTCCAGCTCCCATGGTTCTGGAAGCCTCCTGGTCCAGCTCCCACGGTTCTGGAGGCCCCCTGGTCCAGCTCCCATGGTTCTGGAAGCCTCCTGGTCCAGCTCCCATGGTTCTGAAGGCCTCCTGGTCCAGCTCCCACGGTTCTGGAGGCCCCCTGGTCCAGCTCCCATGGTTCTGGAAGCGTCCTGGTCCAGCTCCCATGGTTCTGAAGGCCTCCTGGTCCAGCTCCCATGGTTCTGGAAGCGTCCTGGTCCAGCTCCCATGGTTCTGAAGGCCTCCTGGTCCAGCTCCATGGTTCTGAAGGCCTCCTGGTCCAGCTCCATGGTTCTGAAGGCCTCCTGGTCCAGCTCCCATGGTTCTGAAGGCCTCCTGGTCCAGCTCCATGGTTCTGGAAGCCTCCTAGTCCAGCTCCCATGGTTCTGAAGGCCTCCTGGTCCAGCTCCCATGGTTCTGAAGGCCTCCTGGTCCAGCTCCCATGGTTCTGAAGGCCTCCTGGTCCAGCTCCATGGTTCTGGAAGCCTCCTAGTCCAGCTCCATGGTTCTGGAAGCCTCCTAGTCCAGCTCCCATGGTTCTGAAGGCCTCCTGGTCCAGCTCTCATGGTTCTGAAGGCCTCCTGGTCCAGCTCCCATGGTTCTGGAAGCCTCCTGGTCCAGCTCCCATGGTTCTGGAAGCCTCCTGGTCCAGCTCCCGTGGTTCTGGAAGCGTCCTGGTCCAGTCCATGGTTCTGGAGATGGTTGATGGACGTGTGATGAATGAGAGCTGCAGCAGCTGATCCAGAATCAGTTCCCTCCCTCCCCCTCCCTGTCTGTGTGGGGGAGGGGGCGGGGCCTGTGGCAGCAGAAGGTTCATTGTCTGTGCAGGGAGGGACGAGCGAGCTCCACAAAGACTGCTGCTGGGAGGGAGAGAGACACAAAGAGGGGGAGGCCGACTCTTTCTTTCTTGGTGTGGGGGAGGAGGGGGGAGGATTAACCGGCTCATCTGCGACACACGTTACACACACACACACACCCTCCATCCATCCTCCATCCAAGCACGGGCTTCATCTGGATCAGCATCAGCAGCAGCATCAGCAGCAGCGCCGCCTGCAGCAGACAAAGAGGCAGACGGGAGGAAGAGCTGCAGTCTTCCTCATCTGAGGATCCAGACAGGAAGAGAGACTCCAGACCGACGGAACCGCCAAGCGGGCCTCAGCATCCGCCCTCAGTCATGGCCGACCACATGTTCCTGCTGCTGTGTGTGTGAGGGCCCATCAGGGTGGGTGTGTTCCTGTCTGCGTCTCTCCGGCCCGCAGAGTCCACGCCATGGGGAACGCCGAGAGCATGGAGAGCCAGCTGGCCGTCATCCGGTCCAGAGCCGCCCCGGTCCGACTGCCAATGCCCGACCCGGCCGAACTGGAGGAGAGATTCTCCATCGCTCTGGTGAGTGCACCCCCCCGCACAGATGAGGGTCTATTATGCATGCATGGCAACACACATGTGACAGAAACATAGAGCTGAGGCACACAGAATGCACACAGCTTCCAGATATACTGGAACTAGATCAGAACCCTGGCTGTGTTTACAGGTCGGGGTTTACTCGTTTGGTTCTGTTCCTCATTCAATGTGTCGCCTTAAGGAACTTTCCTAGAACAGTTCTGGTTCTACGAGCCGGTCCTGCGTTGTTCTGTCGATCCTAGATCCAACACGGTTAACTCGGACTAGGTTCCTACCACAGCTGGTTGCTCCGAGTCCGGACTTTGCAGCAATCCCAGCAACAGCTCAGCAGCAAAGGTTGAAACAGGTCAACCAAGGAAAGGGGAGCCTGGTGTGAGTCCGTGGTGCCGCAGGTGGGGGTGCGGTTGGATTGCATCATGGCGGTATCAGATGGTTCAGGAGCGGTCAGTGTTTTATTTTGGCGAGTCACTGATTGGAAGATGGAGAAGAGTGAGAAAAGTTTAATTTCTGAAAAACATGGCGGAATGGAGGGCTGGGCGGAGCCACGGCTCTGAGTGGAAACTTTAACACTGGGTTATTCTGTTCATGGTGATGGGGACGCATCCAACAGTGGACTGGTTTCCAGTCTACCACCATTAAATGGTGCAACTATATCCCAGTTCAGCATAGATTTATGTTTGACAACCAAAGTTTAACTTGAAGAATCTGAAATGAGTTCAAACCAATTTAACAGTTAATCCCTGAGGAACAGAAGCTGATTTAATGGGGTTTGTTTTCTCTCAGGTTTTTCTTTAGACTCGTTTTTAGGGTCTCGGTTTTTCTAGTGTTTGGTTTTGTTTTTATTGAAGTTGATTTCTCCTAAATTTTTGGAACGGTTCTTCCTTATGTGTTCACTTTGCTTTGTATTTTCATGTATTGTAACAATGAACAAGTGAATTAGATTTAATATTTATATAACTGGGACACAACGCAGAGGACCGAGCAAAACAACTGGGGAACGGCAGCTGGAGCAAAGGACACGGGTGAACTGGATCGACTCGTTACCAACGGCTCTGACCGCCGGAGAAACGGTGGTGCAAACACGACAGAACCAACCCAGAAATACGGGAACCAACTAAAGACAAAAACCAACCAGAAACATTCCAACATGAGCAGGAGAAAAAGGTTAACATTTAGAGTTAGTCAAAGCAAAACAGATAAAAACATTATTAGATTGAATAAAACATCCTAAAATGTTTGAGGGAACCTCTGCCCTCATCCTTTCATCTCTTTTAAGATCCAGTTGACCTTCTCGGCTGAAGCCATGTTGGATTCAAATGTTTTTGTTCTGGCTGTTTCCGTAGCGGTCTGATGCTAGAGTATGAAGACAGTAGTGAGTAGGTCCGTCTGTGTTTTGAGGAAAGTAATTCACCTCTAATATAGCATTAGGCTGACTCAATGGAAACCTTATCATGCAGGTTTAATGAATGAAATGGATTCAGATTGAAAAACTAAAACTATTAGATTGTAATGTGGGCAGGTGGGCTCTCCTCATCCTCCGCAGGAAGTCCAAGCGCTTCTGGGCCCTTTGGACCAGTGAGGTGGTGTTTCCAGTCCAGGTGAGGGTGTCTGTGATGAATGACCACCTCTACAGCTGAGCTGTTGATGAGCAGTGGAGCGTGGTAGGCCGCTTCTTCCTGAAGTCCACCATGATCTCCTTGGTCTTCTCCACCTTCAGGATCAGGCTGTTATCTCTGCTCCACCAGCTGCTCCACCTCCTCTCTGTAGTCCAGGTCGTTGTAAAACTAGGCTAGCATGTTTTGTTATAAGCTTTTAAAGTTATCCGAGAACCAGCTGGTTGATTTAGAAGAGAAGTGAATAAAATGCATAATTTCCTGTTTGTCATCGTGCAAAAATCCTCTTTGAACTCAGAGGTTGTTAAAGTCCTACTCTGCTGTTGGAGTTCTGGACCCCAGGATTCCCAGGAACTCCGGTCCTGTTGAATCGGTTCAGGCTCAGTGAATCAAAGCTCCTTCTGTCTTTCAGAATTCGATGAACCTGCCTCCAGACAAAGTGCGTCTGCTGCGTTCCTATGACAACGAGAAGAAGTGGGAATTGATCTGCGACCAGGTAGGTTCCTGCTGGCATTGCTTCACACCAAACAAGCATCTGGAGATGAAATCTGAGGCTGGCAGAGTCGCCTAGAACCTCGCTGTGGTCCATTTGGACCCTTTAAATCTCTCAAGCACTTTTCTACTCAGGCCTTTTATTTAAAGCGTGAAGCAGCACTGAAGGTGAGGTGGAGATAGCAGCCAATCAAAATGGCCCTTCACAGTCAAAGCTAGCCACATGGCAGCCAGATCCCCTCCAACTTCCAGCCACTGGCCTTCTCCTGAGCGTGAATGTTTTAACTCTGACTCCACCCTTTCACTGAATTACAGGGTCTGACCAGCAGATGGCGCTTCTCTTTAGATCTTAATGTCCACAAATCATGACAGAAAGAATATTTTAGATGTTTAAAAAGGAATTGTAGGGAACCAACAAAGGACCAGCAAGGACCAACCAAGGACGAACCAAGGACTAGCCAAGGACAAGTGAAGGGCCTGCCAAGGACCAGCCAAGGACAAGTGAAGGGCCTGCCAAGGACTAGCCAAGGACAAGCCAAGGACCAACCAAGGACCAGCCAAGGGCCAGCCAAGGACGAGTGAAGGGCCTGCTAAGGACGAGTGAAGGGCCTGCCAAGGACCAGCCAAGGGCCAGCCAAGGACGAGTGAAGGGCCTGCCAAGGACTAGCCAAGGACCAACCAAGGACCAGCCAAGGACGAGTGAAGGGCCTGCCAAGGACTAGCCAAGGACCAGCCAAGGACGAGTGAAGGGCCTGCCAAGGACTAGCCAAGGACCAACCAAGGACCAGCCAAGGATGAGTGATGGGCCTGCCAAGGACTAGCCAAGGACAAGCCAAGGACCAACTAAGGACCCACCCAAGGACCAGCCAATGCCCAGCCAAGGGCCAGCCAAGGACATGTGAAGGGCCTGCCAAGGACTAGCCAAGGACCAACCAAGGACCAGCCAAGGATGAGTGAAGGGCCTGCCAAGGACTAGCCAAGGACAAGCCAAGGGCCAGCCAATGACCAGACAATGTCCAGACAAGGACCAACCAAGGACCAGACAAGGACTAGCTTGGGGGTCATCAAGGAAAGTGGTTATTTTTTTGAATGGCTGCTACTCTGAGCTGAATGAATGAGGAAGAAACGATTCCCTTCCTTATGAAGCTCGATCCATTCTGAATTTTATGAACCCTTCATCCAGCACTGAGGAATAGAGGAGCATTAAATCATTTATTTAGTTATTTTCTGTAATCTTCCAGTGAAAGCAGCATTTTAAGGCCTTATCCTGGTCATCTTCTTAAGCACACCACCATCTGAGGGGCAGTTGGTCTTTAAATGTCCTTTCTGTGCCGCTCTGGAGCCTTTTTTTATTCGCTGATGTTTATTAACTTTAGAGGAAGGTCAATCAGGGCTGTTAGCTGATCAGAGGTAGTAACTAGTTACAGTTACTGTAAGTTTTACTCTACCCACCATCTGTAACTTGAGCTAGGGTTAGGGTAGATCCATTGAAACTAGAGTAAGCAGGAAAGTTTGCGGAACCGCCTCTTCCATGAGAGGCTACTACCTCTGATGGTTGCCATGACGCCAGCATCCTCAGCTGTTGATCTGATGTGATGAACCTTCAGTCGACCAATGAAACAGTCCCGCTGTGATGATAAAAACAAGCGCATGGACTAACCCTAAACCTCTCAGCGTCGGGCTCCAGGAGAAGCCTTCATCACGCCTCAGCCAAGTCATCGTCAGTTTGCTGCTTTGTTAGCGGTTAGCTAGCTGGCTGTTAGATCCTAATGTTGCCGCCTCCTCAATCCTCCAAAGAGCTGAAGGCAGACTTAGCATGCATCCCCCACCGTGCTTTTCTGCGTCCGCAGGAGAGGTTCCAGGTGAAGAACCCGCCTCATACCTACATCCAGAAGCTGAGAGGATTTCTTGACCCGGCGGTGACACGGAAGGTGAGTGGAAGCACTTCCTGCATGATTCCTGTAAACTGGAGGTTTTAAAATGTCCGTCCTTCTGCCGTGACCCTAAATGACCTCTGAGAAGCTCACCTGTCTCTCTCTGTCTGCAGAAGTTCAGAAGACGAGTTCAGGAGTCGACGCAGACTCTCAGAGAGCTGGAGATCTCTCTGCGTACCAACCACATCGGGTACCCGTCCTCCACCTTGCGTCTCCATGGAGACCACCTAGCGTATCCCTGCGGCCGTTTAATGTCGTCTGTCTCTGTCCTCAGGTGGGTCCGAGAGTTTCTGAATGAGGAGAATCGGGGTCTGGATGTTTTGGTGGAGTATCTGTCCTTCGCTCAGTACGCAGTCACGTGAGTTGGACCCTGTTTCCTTGGTTACAGAGTCCTGCTGAAGTAATCAGATGTGTCGTTATTTTGAATGAAGGTTGAAACGGGAATAACTTTAGCAAACCGCCTCGTCTGATCAGGTTTGATGGCGAGCTGTCGGACGCTGGCAGCGAGGTGGGTTCCATCGACTCCCCCTGGAGCCGCTCCATAGAGGATCTCCATGGTGACTGCAGCCTGCCGTCTCCCTCCTCGTCGGTTTCCCGCTCCGCCCGGCACTCCATCAGGTACAAGGCAGCCAAGCCCATCACTGGCGTCTCCAGGAAGTGAATCCACAGCTCAGGTGACCGCTTTGTTTCCACAGCTCTGCTCTGGTGACTCGGTCCAACACGCTGCCAAGTCGTCGAACTCTGAAGAACTCGCGTCTGGTCTGCAAGAAGGACGATGTCCATGTTTGCATCATGTGTCTGAGGGCCATCATGAACTACCAGGTAGAGAACAACCTTCATTGTCAGATGTTCATGCAGTGAGGAAAAGCTGAACCATCGTCCTTTTCCTCAGTACGGCTTCAACATGGTGATGTCACACCCGCACGCCGTCAATGAAATCGCCCTCAGCCTGAACAACAGGAACCCCAGGTACCTGAAACAAACATGGCTGCCCCGCAGCAGGTGGGGGAAGACGTGACGGACTGTGATTGTCTGACCTTCCTCAGGACCAAGGCTCTGGTTCTGGAGCTGCTGGCCGCCGTGTGTCTGGTCAGAGGAGGACATGAGATCATCCTGTCTGCCTTCGACAACTTTAAGACGGTAGAAACCAGAACAGAGCAGAACCTGACGCTCAGCCGGACCGCCTCCGGTTAATAAACCGCTGGTCTTTGCAGGTGTGCACTGAGTCCATGCGCTTCGAGAAGCTGATGGAGCATTTCAAGAATGAAGACGACAACATCGACTTCCTGGTAACAGGGTTCTTCTTCCTGCTGTGACCTTCTCTCCATGTCCCGGTAAATGAAGTCTCTGCTCTCTGTTGCAGGTGGCCTGCATGCAGTTTATCAACATCGTGGTGCATTCGGTGGAGGACATGAACTTTAGGGTCCATCTGCAGTACGACTTCACCAAACTCAACCTGGAAGAACACTTGGAGGTAATCAACCGGCCAATCAGGCCACTCACAGCTGCTCTTAGCCAATCAGCTGAAGGTTTAACCGTCGCCTTCTCCTCAGCGATTGAAGCATACGGAGAGCGACAGGCTGCAGGTCCAGATCCAGGCCTACCTGGACAACGTGTTTGATGTCGGGACACTGCTGGAGGACGCCGAGACGAAGACGGCTGCTCTGGAGAGAGTCGAGGAGCTGGAGGAGAACCTTGCTACTGTAAGGAGCCAATGGTTTGGGACCCGTTGGGTCTCTACCCTTCAGTTTGTGAACGCCGTCTGACATGTAGGGGACCGGAGAAGCCTGGAGACCTTCTAGGTCCTTATTCACCCAGCCCCCAGTTAGCAGATGCTAATAGGGGCTGGGTGGGCAGCAGGAACACTCACTGGTTTCCAGAACCAAGGCATGTGTGGATCTCAGTTGGGTTTCTGTCTGCAGATGTCCGAGCGTCTACTGGACGTGGAGAATGAAGCAATGGTGAAGATTGTAGAACTGGAGAAGCAGCTGATGCAGACCAACAAAGAGCTGGACCAGCTGCGGGTCAGTGCCGCTGCATCCACTCTATTTCCACTGATCCTCGCCGTGACCTTCAGCTTTAAGCTTCCTGTCTGTCTTGCAGGAAGTGTGCGCCAGCGCTAACACTCAGGTTCACACCTTAAGGCGCATCGTCCGGGAGAAGGACCAGACCATCCGTCGGCAGAGTCGTCTGGAGCGTCAGGCTCAGGAGGCCCAGCAGGCTGGAGGACCTGGAGCACCTCAGCCTCAGAGAGGAGAGGGAGACGGGGGGGTGGCAGACTCTGCCTCCCCCTCCCCTCCGCCTTGCCCTACCTTGTCTCCCAGGTAAGAGACACGGACTGTGAATCCCTGAAGACTTTCACTCCAACATGGTCCTGATGGCCTCCTTAATGTTGCAGCCCTGAGACCGTGGCCTATCACAGCATGGGGCCGGGAATGGGCGGGGCTCCAGGTATGCCAGTCCCCCCCCCTCCACCTCCTCCACCACCGATGCCAAGTACAGGTTAGTTTCACCTCCACCAATCAGAGCCTCTTGTCCTTATTGGAACGGAGGTCCAATAACAGCCTGATGGGACCGAGAGATCTGAACCTACAGAGGGCGGCTTTCCAGGACAGCTCTAGGTTAGATAGGAAGGTTAGACGCCAGATGAAGACAGGCCCGTTTGAGCCACGAAGCGCTGTTGCTGGGAGGAAGACTATGGACTGATGAAGGTCATCCAGAAGGCGGAGGGACACGGAGAAGCTGGGTCCATGGTTGGCTACCTCAGCACGCTCTGGTCCGGCCTGGCTGGTCCCGCTTGGTCCGAGGTTCATCCTAGAGTGAGGTCCCAAAACGTGAGTCCAGACTGAACCAGATCTGAACCTGAACTAACAGAACCGGGATGAATTGGACCAAAGGAGAAGAAGAAAGATGGAACGCTGTGAGGAACATCTAGACCAGACCAGCAGGTTCCGTAGGGAGAAACAGGAAACGGTTCCGTCTGTAAACAAGATTTCTACTTTAACTTCAGAACTAGATGAGAAACTAAATGGAACAACTTCTAAAACATTGTCTCTGTCTCTGTCCTCAGCGTCCAACGGGCCGTATCCTGCGCCTCCTCCTCCTGCTCCTCCTCCACCTCCCCCTCCGCCTCCTCCACCTTGTAGGAGCAGTGAGCTCTCGACTGCCCCCCTGCCTCCTCCCCCTCCACCTGTGGCCCCTCCTCTCCCAGGGTCGGGGGGGTCACCCACCGTCATCTTTAACTCGGGGCTCGCAGGTATGACTCCTCCCCTTTTGGGTGGGTCTGTCTCCATGGTAACCATGTATCACACTAATGACTGTTCTCTCTTCATTCTGCTGACAGAGGGTCCACTCAAGCTGTTCTGTACGTCGCTTCTTTTTCTATCACTCCATCCCGTCTGCTCCATCAGCAGGCCACTGGAACCACTGGAACCAGTAGAACCAGCGCTGCTTCCCCTGGAACCAGTAGAACCAGTGCTTGTTCCCCTGGAATCAGTAGAACCAGTGCTTGTTCCCCTGGAACCAGTAGAACCAGTGGTGTTTCACCTGGAACCAGTGGAACCAGTGCTTGTTCCCCTGGAACCAGTAGAATCAGCGCTGCTTCCCCTGGAACCAGTAGAACCAGCGCTGTTTCCCCTGGAATCAGTAGAACCAGTGCTTGTTCCCCTGGAACCAGTAGAACCAGTGGTGTTTCACCTGGAACCAGTGGAACCAGTGCTTGTTCCCCTGGAACCAGTAGAATCAGCGCTGCTTCCCCTGGAACCAGTGGAACCAGTGGTGTTTCCCCTGGAACCAGTAGAACCAGCGCTGCTTCCCCTGGAACCAGTAGAACCAGCGCTGTTTCCCCTGGAACCAGTAGAACCAGCGCTGCTTCCCCTGGAACCAGTAGAACCAGCGCTGTTTCCCCTGGAACCAGTAGAACCAGTGCTTGTTCCCCTGGAACCAGTAGAACCAGCGCTGTTTCCCCTGGAACCAGTAGAACCAGTGCTTGTTCCCCTGGAACCAGTAGAACCAGTGGTGTTTCACCTGGAACCAGTGGAACCAGTGCTTGTTCCCCTGGAACCAATGGAACCAGCGCTGTTTCCCCTGGATCCAGTAGAACCAGTGGTGTTTCACCTGGAACCAGTGGAACCAGTGCTTGTTCCCCTGGAACCAGTAGAACCAGTGGTGTTTCACCTGGAACCAGTGGAACCAGTGCTTGTTCCCCTGGAACCAGTAGAATCAGCGCTGCTTCCCCTGGAACCAGTGGAACCAGTGGTGTTTCACCTGGAACCAGTAGAACCAGCGCTGTTTCCCCTGGAACCAGTAGAACCAGCGCTGCTTCCCCTGGAACCAGTAGAACCAGCGCTGTTTCCCCTGGAACCAGTAGAACCAGTGCTTGTTCCCCTGGAACCAGTAGAACCAGTGGTGTTTCACCTGGAACCAGTGGAACCAGTGCTTGTTCCCCTGGAACCAGTAGAATCAGCGCTGCTTCCCCTGGAACCAGTGGAACCAGTGGTGTTTCACCTGGAACCAGTAGAACCAGTGCTGTTTCCCCTGGAACCAATGGAACCAGCGCTGTTTCCCCTGGATCCAGGGGAAGCAGCGCTTGTTCCCTGGAACCAGTGGAACCAGTGGAACCAGCACTGCTTCCAGTGGAACAGCGCTGCTTCCCCTGGATCCAGGGGAACCAGTGGAACCAGTGCTTCCCATCATTCATCCGTAGGCAGACGTCAGGCTGCAGCTCAGAGCGTTAAGAGACGTCCTGTTAGATGAGTTCAGACAGGAAGTGATGTAGAAGGTCCCGTTTTAACGGCCAGCAAATCATCTGAATGTTGCCATTCGGTAGAACAGCTGTGCAACTTTCCAGTTGCCCTGATAGAACCAGAACTAGAGCAGCTTTGATTAAAACAAATCTAGATTAAACCAGGAAGTCTTGGTCTTCTTGAAAGACCTCGTCTTTCCTCCGTGAGACGTTCTCAGAAACGCTTTTAGCTGCAGCCTGTAGCTGCGGATTCATGGTCCTCCCTTCCTTCCTAACCACCTGCATTGTGTCGTCTGCAGCCGTAAAGATCAAGAAACCGATCCAGACCAAGTTCAGGATGCCAGTTCTGAACTGGGTCGCTCTGAAACCCAGTCAGATCAACGGGACCGTCTTCAATGACATCGACGATGAGTCCATCCTGCAGGTGAGGCGGCAGAAACCGGCTGAGACCAGAACGTCTTCTTCTTCCTCCTAAATGCTGTGTGTCTGCCAGGACCTGGACATGGAAGGCTTTGAGGAGCTGTTCAAGACCAAGGCCCAGGGTCCGGCCGTGGACCTCACCCTGTCCAGACAGAAGCTTCCGCAGAAGGCTCCATCCAAAGTATCTCTGCTGGAGGCCAACAGAGCCAAGAACCTGGCCATCACCCTGAGGAAGGCCGGCCAGGCCCCGGAGGTCATCTGCCGCGCCATTCACACGTAGGTCACCCAGAGAAAGCCTCTACTGGTCCCAGTACAGCCCAGTGAGGCGACCAGATGATCCAGGGCTCTTGATGAAGGACCTCTTTCTGCAGGTTTGACCTGCGGACGGTTCCCGTGGACTTTGTTGAGTGTCTGACCCGCTTCATTCCAACGGAGGCTGAGGTGAAGCTCCTACGGCAATACGAGAGGGACAGAAAACCCGTAGAGGCTCTGAGCGACGAGGATCGGTTCATGATGCAGTTCAGCCGCATCGAGAGGCTCAGTCAGCGAATGATCATCATGACCTTCATGGGGAACTTCTCAGACAACATCCAGATGTTGACTCCGGTAAGGAAAGCTTCCAAACCCCAGAACGGCGAAGGTCAGGGTTCAAACTGACGGCCTGTTTCCTTCCAGCAACTTCATGCCATCATCGCTGCGTCAGTCTCAATTAAATCATCTCAGAAACTGAAGAAGATCCTGGAGGTCAGTCTGGTCCTGCTGTCCAACAGCGGAGCGTCAGATCAGTTGTTGATGTTTGTTCTTCTCTGCCTTAGATCATCCTGGCCCTGGGGAACTACATGAACAGCAGTAAGAGGGGAGCCGTGTACGGATTCAAGCTGCAGAGTTTAGATCTGGTAACGCAGACGTTCTGAAGATGTTCTCGGCGCCAACATCCAGGCCTCCTTTAGGAAGGGTCATTAGGACAGAGGGAGACCCGGTGGGAGGGTTCTGCTGCTGCGGGTCAAAGCCAGATCCAACCGGTTCCCTTTGTTTACAGACAGCAGATAAACGGGATCAGACAATAGGTGGTTAAATAAACGGAGATCGATGGATTTCCCTCAGTCGCCATTTTTTTAACAGTTCATCATGGTAATCAGAACTGTTCTGATCTGGGCACAGTTTTATTTTGAGTCAAAACAAATCCCACTTTAACAAACCTTGAGAAGGAACTTTGCTTGTTGTGGGAATAAGTATGTTTCATCTAAAATCCCCCTCAGACATTTTCTCAGCTTTGCAGGTGAAACAAGCGGAGTGAAAACATTTTCCCTGGATAGCCCGTGACCATGATGGTGGTGCTACCGTTTCACGTTTGGTGCAGAGGTCACCAAGGTGACAGAGTTCTGTTTGGTTCCAGCTGCTGGACACGAAGTCAACAGATCGGAAGCAAACGCTGCTTCATTACATCGCCAACGTGGCGAGAGAGAAATACCCCGTGGTGACGCTGTTCTACAACGAGCTGCACTACGTGGACAAAGCAGCAGCAGGTGAGTCCGTCAGCCAATCGGAGCTCTGCACAGAGCAAAGGCCGCGGCTGACTCACCTGTCGGTCTGTCTCAGTGAGTCTGGAGAACGTTCTGTGCGACGTGAAGGAGCTGCAGCGCGGCATGGAGCTCACCTGGCGGGAGTTCAGTGTGTCGCACAACGCCACGCTCAAAGACTTCATCAGCAGGAACGAGTCCCGCCTCAACAAGCTGCAGGAGGACGCACGCATCGCGCAGGTGGGACGGTGTTCAGAGGGGTCAGTGGGAGGGACCTCTGCCTGCTCAATTAAAGCTTCTTTCTGCTCCGCCTTCCTTCAGGACGCCTTCGAAGACGCAGTTAAGTTCTTCGGAGAAAGCTCCAAGACGATGCCGCCGTCCGTCTTCTTCCCCATCTTCGTCCGCTTCATCAAAGCCTACAGGGTAGGTGGTGCAATGTAGCTCGTTTACCGGAAGCCCCTCCCACATTTCTACACCAGTGGTAAAGGCTGACAGAAGGACTGTGTTCAGGCAGCGGAGGAGGAGAATGAGCAGAGAAGGCGGCAGGAGCAGATCCTCCTGGAGAAGCTGGAGCAGGAGGAGCAGCAGGAGGAGGAGACCAAGGTGAGGAGGTCCATCTGTTCATTAGCCTCTGATTAATCGCTTCACAGCCTCTGATTGGTCGGTCGGTTCATTAGCCTCTGATTGGTCGGTCGGTTCATTAGCCTCTGATTGGTCGGTCGGCTCATTAGCCTCTGATTGGTCGGTCGGTTCATTAGCCTCTGATTGGTCGGTCGGTTCATTAGCCTCTGATTAATCGCTTCACAACCTCTGATTGGTCGGTCGGTTCACAGCCTCTGATTGGTCGGTCGGTTCATTAGCCTCTGATTGGTCGGTCGGTTCATTAGCCTCTGATTGGTCAGTTGGTTCATTAGCCTCTGATTGGTCAGTTGGTTCATTAGCCTCTGATTGGTCAGTTGGTTCATTAGCCTCTGATTGGTCAGTTGGTTCATTAGCCTCTGATTGGTCAGTTGGTTCATTAGCCTCTGATTGGTCGGTCGGTTAATTAGCCTCTGATTGGTCAGTTGGTTCATTAGCCTCTGATTGGTCGGTCGGTTAATTAGCCTTTGATTGGTCGGTCGGTTAATTAGCCTCTGATTGGTCAGTTGGTTCATTAGCCTTTGATTGGTCGGTCGGTTAATTAGCCTCTGATTGGTCGGTCGGTTAATTAGCCTCTGATTGGTCAGTTGGTTCATTAGCCTTTGATTGGTCGGTCGGTTAATTAGCCTCTGATTGGTCGGTCGGTTAATTAACCTCTGATTGGTCGGTCGGTTCATAGCCTCTGATTGGTCGGTCGGTTAATTAGCCTCTGATTGGTCGGTCGGTTCATTAGCCTCTGATTGGTCGGTCGGTTAATTAGCCTCTGATTGGTCGGTCGGTTCATAGCCTCTGATTGGTCGGTCGGTTAATTAGCCTCTGATTGGTCGGTTCACAACGTCTGATTGGTCGGTCGGTTCATTAGCCTCTGATTGGTCGGTCGGTTAATTAGCCTCTGATTGGTCGGTCGGTTCATTAGCCTCTGATTGGTCGGTCGGTTAATTAGCCTCTGATTGGTCGGTCGGTTCATAGCCTCTGATTGGTCGGTCGGTTAATTAGCCTCTGATTGGTCGGTTCACAACGTCTGATTGGTCGGTCGGTTCATTAGTCTCTGATTGGTCGGTCGGTTCATTAGCCTCTGATTGGTCGGTCGGTTAATTAGCCTCTGATTGGTCGGTTCACAACGTCTGATTGGTCGGTCGGTTCATAGCCTCTGATTGGTCGGTCGGTTCATTAGTCTCTGATTGGTCGGTCGGTTAATTAGCCTCTGATTGGTCGGTCGGTTAATTAGCCTCTGATTGGTCGGTCGGTTCATTAGCCTCTGATTGGTCGGTCGGTTAATTAACCTCTGATTGGTCGGTCGGTTCATAGCCTCTGATTGGTCGGTTCACAACGTCTGATTGGTCGGTCGGTTCATTAGCCTCTGATTGGTCGGTCGGTTAATTAGCCTCTGATTGGTCGGTTCACAACGTCTGATTGGTCGGTCGGTTCATTAGCCTCTGATTGGTCGGTCGGTTCATTAGCCTCTGATTGGTCGGTTCACAACCTCTGATTGGTCGGTCGGTTAATTAGCCTCTGATTGGTCGGTCGGTTAATTAGCCTCTGATTGGTCGGTCGGTTAATTAGCCTCTGATTGGTCGGTCGGTTCATTAGCCTCTGATTGGTCGGTCGGTTAATTAGCCTCTGATTGGTCGGTCGGTTAATTAGCCTCTGATTGGTCGGTCGGTTCATTAGCCTCTGATTGGTCGGTCGGTTCATTAGCCTGTAATTGGTCGGTCGGTTAATTAGCCTCTGATTGGTCGGTCGGTTAATTAGCCTCTGATTGGTCGGTCGGTTCATTAGCCTCTGATTGGTCGGTCGGTTCATTAGCCTCTGATTGGTCGGTCGGTTCATTAGCCTCTGATTGGTCGGTCGGTTCATTAGCCTCTGATTGGTCGGTCGGTTCATTAGCCTCTGATTGGTCGGTCGGTTCACAACGTCTGATTGGTCGGTCGGTTAATTAGCCTCTGATTGGTCGGTCGGTTCATTAGCCTCTGATTGGTCGGTTCACAACCTCTGATTGGTCGGTCGGTTAATTAGCCTCTGATTGGTCGGTCGGTTCATTAGCCTCTGATTGGTCGGTCGGTTAATTAGCCTCTGATTGGTCGGTCGGTTAATTAGCCTCTGATTGGTCGGTCGGTTCATTAGCCTCTGATTGGTCGGTCGGTTCATTAGCCTCTGATTGGTCGGTCGGTTAATTAGCCTCTGATTGGTCGGTCGGTTAATTAGCCTCTGATTGGTCGGTCGGTTCATTAGCCTCTGATTGGTCGGTCGGTTAATTAACCTCTGATTGGTCGGTCGGTTCATAGCCTCTGATTGGTCGGTTCACAACGTCTGATTGGTCGGTCGGTTAATTAGCCTCTGATTGGTCGGTCGGTTAATTAGCCTCTGATTGGTCGGTCGGTTCATTAGCCTCTGATTGGTCGGTTCACAACGTCTGATTGGTCGGTCGGTTCATAGCCTCTGATTGGTCGGTCGGTTCATTAGTCTCTGATTGGTCGGTCGGTTAATTAGCCTCTGATTGGTCGGTCGGTTAATTAGCCTCTGATTGGTCGGTTCACAACGTCTGATTGGTCGGTCGGTTCATAGCCTCTAATTGGTCGGTCGGTTCATTAGTCTCTGATTGGTCGGTCGGTTAATTAGCCTCTGATTGGTCGGTCGGTTAATTAGCCTCTGATTGGTCGGTCGGTTCATTAGCCTCTGATTGGTCGGTCGGTTCATTAGCCTCTGATTGGTCGGTCGGTTCATAGCCTCTGATTGGTCGGTCGGTTTATTAGCCTCTGATCGGTCGGTCGGTTCATAGCCTCTGATTGGTCGGTCGGTTCATTAGCCTCTGATTGGTCGGTCGGTTCATTAGCCTCTGATTGGTCGGTTGGTTTATAGCCTCTGATTGGTCGGTTGGTTCATTAGCCTCTGATTGGTCGGTTCATAGCCTCTGATTGGTCGGTCATTTAATAGCCTCTGATTGGTCGGTTGGTTCATTAGCCTCTGATTGGTCGGTTAATAGCCTCTGATTGGTCGGTCGTTTAATAGCCTCTGATTGGTCGGTCGGTTCATTAGCCTCTGATTGGTCGGTTCATAGCCTCTGATTGGTCGGTCGTTTAATAGCCTCTGATTGGTCGGTCGTTTAATAGCCTCTGATTGGTCGGTCGTTTAATAGCCTCTGATTGGTCGGTTGGTTCATTAGCCTCTGATTGGTCGGTTCATAGCCTCTGATTGGTCGGTTGGTTCATTAGCCTCTGATTGGTCGGTTCATAGCCTCTGATCGGTCGGTCGGTTCATAGCCTCTGATTGGTCGGTCGGTTCACAGCCTCTGATTGGTCGGTTCATAGCCTCTGATTGGTCGGTCGTTTAATAGCCTCTGATTGGTCGGTCGGTTCATTAGCCTCTGATTGGTCGGTCGGTTCATTAGCCTCTGATTGGTCGGTCGGTTCATTAGCCTCTGATTGGTCAGATCATACTTCCATCAACTTAACCAGCAGTTTACAGCTCGGTGAGGATGGAGCTGCCCGAGGTCCAGGTCTGGTTCAAAGGGAAGCACCGCTGGTTCCACTGGTTCCAGAATAAGCTTATCTCTGCTCCAGTAAACGGGTCAAACCTGAACCTCACCGAGCTAGAACTAGAACTCACCGTTTCCCAGCAGAACCAGTGGACAGATGGAGGCAATGTCCCTGATCTCTCAGCTGCTGGTTCCACTGGGCCAACGATTTTAACTCTTCATGTGCGTCGATAAACGGCGTCCAATCATTGGCGCGGCAGCCCATCGTACCACCAGCCAATCAGCATGTTTAAGGTCAAGCTCCCAGTCCGGCCTTGATGGACGGGTTCAGACCCTTGCTGTGTAGCAGCGTCTCGCCCAGAGTGAGAGCTTCCTTCCTGAGGTTTATGGTTTCGGACGTTCTGTAGCAGATAGGTTCAGAGATCATTGGTGTTCATTGGTTAGAGGATGACCTGACCCCCCCCCCCTCTGCCTGCTCTAGTCTCCATCTCACAAAGGCAAACGGCAGCAGCAGGAGCTGCTCACTGAACTCAGACGGAAACAAGGCAAAGACAGCCGCCATGTGTACGAGGGCAAAGATGGCGCCATCGAGGACATCATCACAGGTAAGAGTCACTGAGGGGTGACGCACGTCGCTAGGTGTCCGTAGGCTGTAACCACAGCTGCTCTTGTTTTTCTGGCTTTCAGCACTGAAGACAGTTCCTTTTACGGCCCGGTCGGCCAAACGCAGCTCCCGCTTCTTCTGTGACCCCACCCACTCTGAGGAGCACTACTGAGAGCCAGAGCGGACCGGGCCGACTCTGAAGCAATGGGACCAATTAGCACTTTGAACATTTCTGATCCACCACGTCATGCTTTGTTTACCGGCCACAGACTGAGAACCCAGACCTCCTGCTGCTCTCTGGTTCCCAAGGCTTAGACCAGGATCATCAGTGCTGAGGGGTTCCAGAGGTCTGAGGCCATGCATCTGGTCCTTGGTCTGACCTGCTGTGGTTGCTAAGGGGGCCAGACACCTGTAGGTGGACATGAGTCTGGTTCATCGTTGGCACCACATCAGGCACCATCCAAACATTCCTGAATCTCCAGAGTGGACCTCTGCCTTCGGCCTCATTGCATAATGAAACTTTAACCATGGTGCTAATCAAAGACACTGGGTTAGTGTCTCATCTTTGAGCAGAACTAGGAAAAAACGCAGTTCTACAAAGGCTCGCCAATGCAGACTGACCAGAACCAGCCATCATCTCTGGACTCGGCAGGTCCGCCACTATCCTGCTGGTTGATCTGGGTTCCTTTGGTCCTCTTGTACAGGGTTTCCATCTATTCATTCATTGTCCTCTTCTACATTCTGCCTGATTTACTGGCCTTACTACCCTGGATCCACACAGTCACTCTCCAAGGGTTAGAAACAGATACCTGCCCTCCAAAGTCCAGTCACCAGGCCTTGTGACCCAACCGCAGGACAACTCTGCTCATCTGGGCACCTGACCTTGAAGAAACACTTTAATCCCTCAGATTAACTATGGACTGCAGTCCAATGCTGAGACACCAGCAGAGTCAGAACATCTCGGCAGAGATCAGTTGTTCTGAGTCTGAAGGTCCAAAGGTTCCCTGTGGTGAAGGTTCCTGGTGTGAGACTGAAGGTGGTGCTGCAGACCACCACAAATATGAAACCCTTTAATCTGGACCCTTAACAGCACAGATGTTAAATCCTTATCCAGATGTGAAGCACAAAAGGCTACAAACTGCAGCAGAAACGCTGGGAGTGCTGTACCCAGACCCCCCATTAGAACGTACCGTTATCAGGACCCCCCTTTAGAACGTACCGTTACCAGGACCCCCTTTAGAATGTACCGTTACCCAGACCCCCCCATTGGAATGTACCGTTACCCAGACCCTCATTAGAAGGTACCTTTACCAGGAACCCCCTTTAGAACATACCGTTATCAGGACCCCCCTTTAGAACATACCGTTACCCAGACCCCCCATTAGAACGTACCTTTACCCAGACCCCCCATTAGAACGTACCGTTACCAGGACCCCCATTAGAACGTACCGTTACCAGGACCCCCTTTAGAACGTACCGTTATCAGGACCCCCCTTTAGAACGTACCGTTACCAGGACCCCCTTTAGAATGTACCGTTACCCAGACCCCCCATTAGAACGTACCGTTATCAGGACCCCCCTTTAGAACGTACCGTTACCAGGACCCCCTTTAGAATGTACCGTTACCCAGACCCCCCCATTGGAATGTACCGTTACCCAGACCCTCATTAGAAGGTACCTTTACCAGGAACCCCCATTAGAACATACCGTTATCAGGACCCCCCTTTAGAACATACCGTTACCCAGACCCCCCATTAGAACGTACCTTTACCCAGACCCCCCATTAGAACGTACCGTTACCAGGACCCCCATTAGAACGTACCGTTACCAGGACCCCCTTTAGAACGTACCGTTACCCAGACCCCCCATTGAAATGTACCGTTACCCAGACCCCCCATTGGAATGTACCGTTACCCAGACCCCCCATTAGAACGTACCTTTACCAGGACCCCCCTTTAGAACGTACCATTATCCAGACCCCCCATTAGAACGTACCATTACCCAGACCCCCCATTAGAACGTACTGGTACTCAGACTCCCCATTTGAACATACTGGTACTCAGACCCCCCCTTTAAAACATACTGGTACCCAGACCCCCCATTAGAATGTACTGGTACTCAGACTCCCCATTTGAACGTACTGGTAACCAGATACCCCCCTTCAGAACATACTGGTACCCAGACCCCCAAATTAGAACGTACCATTAACCAGACCCTCCCATTAGAACGTACTGTTACTCAGACCCCCCCATTAAAACATACTGGTATCCAGACCCCCTGTTAGAATGCACTGGTACCCAGATACCCCCCTCAGAACATACTGGTACCCAGACCCCCATTAGAACGTACCGGTACCCAGACCACTACAGTCCAGCGATACGCAGACAATCCTGTGGTTACCATGACAGCCAGTATTTAATGGTGATGCTGGGTCGGTCAGGTCAGATGATGGCAGGCGGCGCCTGGATACCTGAGGTCTTCAGCAGCACCATCCATCAGCTACCTTCACCGCAGCGTTTCCTTAAATCATTTAGATCCATTTCTTAAAGAAATTCAGAGCACAACGTTTTGTACGTGTACAGACATTTTCTAGGTTCTATAGCTCTGTGTGTGTCTGTGTTGCCTGTTGCTGTTCTTTTGCACTCGGTGTGAAAATAAAACCAACCCTTCTGAAACGTGTCGTGTTCTTGTTTAGTCAGAAACTACAATACCCATAATGCTTCAGTTTGCCTTTATTTCCATCATCAGAGAAGCTCATTTCTCATCCAGTTTAATCAGTAATAAATGCCTGCAGCCGATCAACCAATGAAAGGCCACTCTCTCTCTGATTGGCTCTTCACTCTGCAGCCTGTGATTGGTCCAGTTATAATCGGCTGCTAACGGCGATCAATCATTAATTAGCCCTTTGAAGATCAGAAGCCCCGCCTCCAGCAGATCATCCAGAGAATGAATGTGACGCTCGACCTTTGACCCCGAGTCCAGTCACCTGCAGACAGACAGTGAGGGTTAGCGTAACCAAACGGCCCACAGGTGAGGAATAGAGGAAGTGGGCGGAGCCCTCACCCTGAAGGTGTTTCCCGCCTGCGGCTGCTGCTGCAGCTCTGATTGGTCCAGACCCAGGCTGGCCGAGGTCACATACAGCTCAGAGTAGTCTGGGCCCCCAAAGCAGCAGGAGGTGGTCTTCATGGCGGGCAGAGAGACCGTCTGCAGTCGTTTACCTAGGGAGGAGGGTCAGCCAATCATCACTTTGGATACCAGAGCAGATAACCAGGCAGGGTGAGCTGGGGCCATCCTGCTGAGTCACTATGATAACTGGATAACTGATGACATCACCACGCTAATCTGAAGGATTAAAGCTCACCATAAAACTGCTGATTAGACGTTTGAAGCAGTGAAAGTTCAGCCGCTTCGCTTCGAAAACAGGAGCTGGAGGCATCAGCTTCTGGTTCAACATAAAGTCCAAGTTCTTTAAGCTCAGATGTTCCTTTAGGACCGCTCTGGTTCAGACTGAGAAGAACCTGAGGCTGAAGGACTAGAGCAGCAGGTCCTACACAGGTCTGCTCTTTGTTCCAGGTTATACCCATCAGATCAAATTATGTTTAAAATAAAAAATACAGTAGGTTGAAAAGGCAGAGTATCCATCCATCCATCATCCATCCATCATCCATCCATCCATCCATCCATCATCCACCCATCCATCCATCCATCCATCCATCCATCCATCCATCCATCCAGATTTCTCCCTTTCTCCATCCAGGCTATCATTTGATCCTTCACGCCCTCCGTCGTTCCCCTGTGGCGCGAGCACAGGTCGGCTGTTGCGCGCCTTTAGCTAGCATGTGCGTTTCCTGTCGCTTGCGCGGTGAATCGATGCAGGGGAAACCGTATCTGATGGGGAAACTCAGCTCTACGTAACACCGGTATTTCCATGTGGAAAACGCTGTTTTGCTGCGGGAGTCCTCCTGACTCTCCATCTCTCTGTGTGTGCTGTACGTTAACACCCACCAGCAGAAACACCCACCTACCCAACTGACAGACGGAATCTCACCATACATCAGCCAATCTCATCCTCCCCTCTCTCATGACAAGGCGCGCACGAGTCCTATCATGAAAAAAGGTTAATTGTGCGACCTGAGTAATGCGCAGTAACGGGGTGTCTGCAATGGTAACTGCGTTATAGTTACAGTCAAAGTAATTAGATTACTCGTTACTAAAACAAGGTAACGGCGTTACTCCCATCACTGTTCATCTGGAACCAGTTTGTGGACTGGTTCCATCAGCCTCCTGGTCATCCCAACGTAGACCATCCGGTTAGGAGCAGGCAGTTCTGCTCAGCAGACCCGAGTCACGTACGAGTGTGAGGGATTGCTGCCGAGTCAATGTCTGATTCTCCTGGACTCGGAGACATTTGTCTCTATAACATGTGACTCAGGAGAGATCTGTAGTAGTTTTGAAACAAACCTCAAAACCAGCAGGAATGCTTCCTTTAAACCTCGTCAGTGACTAGTGAGTCCTACAGGTCCTTCATGTCCTACAGGTCCTTCATTTCCTATGGTTCCTTCATGTCCTACAGGTCCTTCATTTCCTATGGTTCCTTCATGTCCTACAGGTCCTTCATTTCCTATGGTTCCTTCATGTCCTACAGGTCCTTCATGTCTTACAGTTCCTTCGTGTCCTACAGGTCTTTCATTTCCTATGGTTCCTTCATGTCCTACAGGTCCTTTATGTCCCTAGTTTCCTAGAGGTCCACTGTGTCCTACAGGTCCTTCATGTCTTACAGGTCCTTCATGTCATACAGGTCCTTCATGGTCTGCAGGTCCTTCATGGCCTGCAGGTCCTTCATTTATACAGGTCCTTCATGTCCTATGGTTCCTTCATGTCCTGCGGTTCCTTCATGTCCTACAGGTCCATTATGTCCCTAGTGTCCTAGAGGTCCACTGTGTACTACAGGTCCTTTATGTCCTAGGTTCCTTCATATCCTACATGTCCTTAATGCACCACAGGTCCGTCATATTCTTCATGTCCTACAGGTCCTTCAGGTCCTACAGGTCCTTCATGTCCTACAGGTCCTTCAGGTCCTACAGGTCCTTCATGTCCTACAGGTCCTTCATGTCCTACAGGTCCTTCATGTCCTACAGGTCCTTCAGGTCCTACAGGTCCTTCATGTCCTACAGGTCCTTCATGTCCTACAGGTCCTTCATGTCCTACAGGTCCTTAATAATCCTCAAACCTTTGACCAAACCAACTGATTTAGAAGCAGTGACACTGACCGGTGGCGGGGTCGATGTGGATGACTCGTCCTCCATCGTAACACGCCACCCAGAGGCGACCGGCAGCATCAAGAGTCATCCCATCAGGAAGCCCCTCCCCGTCTGCCATGCGGTATACCACCCGACGGTTACCTAGGCAACACAAACAGAACCAGTAGGAAGAACGACATGAGCAAAATGAGGAGGTACCCAAGCAGGTGGACCTCCAGGTGTTGCCATGGTTACCTAGCTGTCCAGTGGAGGAGTCGTAGTCGAAGGCGTCGACGCTCAGCGCCAAGCTGTCGATGTAAAACATAGTCTTCAAGTCGTCGCTCCAGTCCATCCCGTTGGAGATGTCCACCTGTTGGGGAGAGACAGGTGAGGCCCGACTCGTTCAGGTGGATCAGGACTAGGCACCAACAGGTGAGCCTACCTGGCTCAGGACTTTGGTCACAGACAGGTCCGAGTTCACCAGGTACAAGGCTCCTGGTTTCACCTGCGCCGTCTGAGCGTCCTTCCTCATCGTCCCTGAGAGCAACCGCCAGGTGAGCGGGTAACCATGGGAAACGGCTAAACAGACGAGAACAGAGACGCTAACCTGCTAGCAGGCGGCCCAATGGATCCACCTTTCCGTCGTTCAGGCGGTTCTCCGGTTTGTCCTCCTCTACGCTCACCAGTGATGTCACCTTCTGGGACGTCCAATCAACGGCTGCGATGCTGCGGCCAACGCCGGCCACATAACCGCCCGACCTGCGGGGGACGGCGAATCCCACAGTGTCACCTGGGGACCAAGAGTTGGGCTGATGAGAAGCAGGTAGGTGAGAAACCGTCCTACAGGTGAGACAGGAGACGTCTACCTGTCCCCAGAGAAGCGATCTGATTGGTCGCCGGATTCCAGCGGTGGATCTTCTGCCCGGCGATGTCCACAAAGAGCAGGGTCTGATCTGACTCCTCCCACACAGGCCCTTCACCAATCAGAGCGTGCTCCTTCACCACAGACTCCACCTTCACCGACGACATCATCACCTGTCGGCCGGAACCAATCACAGAACAGGAGGAAGAGAGGAGAACGCTGGGGAGGGGGGCAGGGGGGAGGGAGGGAGGAGAAGGTTAGTGGGGGAGAAGGTTAGTGGGGGAGAAAGTTAGTGGGGGGAGAAGGTTAGTGGGGGGAGAAGGTTAGTGGGGGAGAAGGTTAGTGGGGGAGAAGGTTAGTGGGGGAGAAGGTTAGTGGGGGGAGAAGGTTAGTGGGGGAGAAGGTTAGTGGGGGGAGAAGGTTAGTGGGGGAGAAGGTTAGTGGGGGAGAAGGTTAGTGGGGGAGAAGGTTAGTGGGGGAGAAGGTTAGTGGGGGAGAAGGTTAGTGGGGGGAGAAGGTTAGTGGGGGAGAAGGTTAGTGGGGGAGAAGGTTAGTGGGGGAGAAGGTTAGTGGGGGAGAAAGTTAGTGGGGGGAGAAGGTTAGTGGGGGAGAAGGTTAGTGGGGGAGAAAGTTAGTGGGGGGAGAAGGTTAGTGGGGGAGAAGGTTAGTGGGGGAGAAGGTTAGTGGGGGAGAAGGTTAGTGGGGGAGAAGGTTAGTGGGGGAGAAGGTTAGTGGGGGAGAAGGTTAGTGGGGGAGAAGGTTAGTGGGGGAGAAGGTTAGTGGGGGAGAAGGTTAGTGGGGGAGAAGGTTAGTGGGGGAGAAGGTTAGTGGGGGAGAAGGTTAGTGGGGGGAGAAGGTTAGTGGGGGAGAAGGTTAGTGGGGGAGAAAGTTAGTGGGGGGAGAAGGTTAGTGGGGGAGAAGGTTAGTGGGGGAGAAAGTTAGTGGGGGGAGAAGGTTAGTGGGGGAGAAGGTTAGTGGGGGAGAAGGTTAGTGGGGGAGAAGGTTAGTGGGGGAGAAGGTTAGTGGGGGAGAAGGTTAGTGGGGGAGACAATGATCAGTCATTATCATCAGAAGATGCTGATGAAACAGAACCACAGAACTTTGGACTGAATGTTCACAAAAAATTGATGTTCCCCTCCGGTTCCTTTCTGGTTCTTCTTGGTTCCTCTCTGGATCCCCTTGGGTTCCTATGTGATTCTTCTCGGGTTCCTCTCTGGTTCTTCTCGGGTTCCTCTCTGGATCCAGTCTGATTTCCTTTGGTTCTTGTTCTTCTGTTCTTTGGTTCCGTCCATTTCTCTATTGGGTTCTGGTCACCAGGATCTTGCTGGTTTCTGCGTGAACTTCCAGGGATGTCCAGCAGGGTTCTTGATGAGGATCAGAGGGATCTGTGGTCCAATCGGACCCTCTGGGTTCTATGAAGGCGTCTCCTATCTGGTCCTGGACCGGAGCCCATAGGTGGTCCAGTTTTATCTGCTCTGATTGGTCAAAGGTTAACCAGACGGTGACTCAGCACTTCCTCCTCCTCAGGGTCCTGGTTCTGATCCAGTCCTGGTTCCACTGATCTTGTGCTGAAGCATCTCTGACTCCATGTGTTCCGGGTCCTCTGAGCTTTGGAGGAGGTTCTGCTCAGATTGAAGAGGTTCTGACCCGGCTGACTGGGCCAAACTGATCTGCAAAAGGCTGACGGATGTTGGCCTTCATTTGGACCCATTTAAGAGAAACTCAGAGAACACTTCTGGTGAGGTTCTGCTAAGGTCCAGCAGATGTTCTGCAGAGGTTCTGCTAAGTTTCAGCAGAGGTTCTGCTACGTTTCAGTAGATGTTCTGCTGAGGTTCTGCTAAGTTTCAGCAGAGGTTCTGCTACGTTTCAGTAGATGTTCTGCTGAGGTTCTGCTAAGTTTCAGCAGAGGTTCTGCTAAGTTTCAGCAGAGGTTCTGCTAAGTTTCAGCAGAGGTTCTGCTAAGTTTCAGCAGAGGTTCTGCTACGTTTCAGTAGATGTTCTGCTGAGGTTCTGCTAAGTTTCAGCAGAGGTTCTGCTGAGGTTCTGGTAAGTTTCTGCTGTGGTTCTGCCTGCAGCGTGTCCAGCAGCTCATTCTGGGTTCTGACCCAGCGGTACCTGAACGCACCACGGAGCGGTAGATCTGGACGGAACGCGTGGAAATCAGCTGGAAGCGGAACCAGACCACCAGAACCTGAGCAGAACCTGTCGGATTAAACCTGCTGAGCTCGGTTCTGATCAGCTCTCTGGGTTCGGTTCGGTTCTGCAGCGCTGAAAGCAAACGGAACCACCTACCTGCTGGAGTCTCTGCAGACTTTCTGACAGAACCGCCTCGGTTCCAGAACCTGCTGATCGAAGCCCCGCCCCCTCCGATCCCACCCCTTTGGCCCCGCCCCTCAGACAGTAAACAGATGGACCCGGTCCAAATCCAGTCTCTGCTCCTCCACGTTCGGTTCCTCCTCCAGCAGAACCGAACCTATCAGAACTTTCTAAATCACCTGGTTGTAGCTTCCAGTACTGCTGAGGTTCTGGTTCTGTCCAATAAGCTGGTTGTGGTCCAGCAGGGCGTGCTGGTTCTGAAGGAACCGGTTCTGGAACCAGAGTGAACTACAGGTGGGCTGGGTGTCCAGAAGGTATCAGTGCTGATCAACTGGATCAGAACCATCAACAGAACCTCATTGCATCTGAAGGCGGTTCATTCCTGTCCTCTGGGTTTAAAATCAGCTCAGAACCAGAACCAGAACCAGAACCGGCTCCGGTAGAGCTTCATGGGTCCATAGACGGGTCCTGGTCCTGACCTACAGTTCTTGGTTCTGGTTCAGCTGTAATGTCAGTCATCCACCAGCAGAGGGCGGTCTCACCTCAGCCTGGATGGAACCGGAACCAGAGGAGGGGGCAGAGCCTGTTGCTAGGGGCAACAGCACTGGTTGATCTGCTGGTACCGGTGGGGAACTGGACCGTGACACCAGACCGGATGACGGAGCGTGAGACAGAAGGACAGGCGACCAGAGGACTGGGTCAGAATGGATTAGTCCAAGTCCAGGGGTTCCTCAGTCCAGCTGAGGGAAACCCAGGAACCAGAACCGGTCCAGAACCCCGACGCTGATGACCAGAACTGGACTTAGACCTTTCTGAGACGGCCTGAAACTCCAGAACCTCTGACCTCAGGTCCCGCCAGTCTTCAGACGTTACCATAGAAACGCCAGATGCTGAGGGTCCCCGGCTCGTATCGGACGTATCGTCTAAATTCAGCGTCACGGCGGCAGTCTGTCCCGCCGGCGGTCTGTCCCGCCGCCGGTCAGGGATCCTGCAGCCATCGGTTGGTGGGAGGATCTCACCTGGTGGCTTCCTGTTTACCTGGATGAACATCGTATCCAGCTGCTCTGATGGAGTCACAACAATCCAGGACTAACGGACCCGTTTAGACTGGAAGCCGGTCCAGACCTTATCTCCCTAAAACCCATGGTTACCATGGTAACCAGCGTCCTGGTTGCTTAGTGACCAGATCAGCACCAACCTTCCCCTTCTTTAAAAGCTCATTTATTCATACCGACATGCTTTCATAGACCCAAATCCACCAGAACCGCAGCTGTAACCAATCTGGGTCACAAACAGAACTTTTATTATAGAACATCCAGTCTTTAAACCCAAACATCGGGAACCGGGCCGGCGCTCTGCCAGCTCCAGGAGCCCGTGTTCTGATCCACTTTATTCAGACAGGAAGAGTCCTCAGCCAACCACAGGCAGCTTCCTCAGTGACATCACTTCCTGGCAGCGCCGGCCCGGGCGCGGGTCAACCTGTCCATCAGCAGGCGGTCGGAGGCGGAGCATCTGGACAGGACCGCCCCCATCTCCGAGTCGTTGCGGCGCTCGATGGCTGCGTCTGCGGCCCCCTCCAGGTCCCTGACGGACGAAGAAGAGTGAGCAGTGGGCGGGGCTTCGTGTCATTGTTCAGGGGGCGTGGTCTTACCCAACAGCCAGGTGAGCTTTGACCTTCTGCTCAGGTGTGACCTTACTGACGTACTTCTTGGCCTCATGTCTGTTGTTGTTCTTCATGCACACCTCCACAAAGGCCTGAGGAAACAGGCATCAAGGAATCATGGGAAATGCAGTTCTACCTGACAGGGCAGGGGGTGGGGCCTGTTCCTACCAGGTAACCAATAGGAGACTTCTTGCTCCTGGAGAACTTCTCCAGCTCCTCCCACTGCTCCTTCTCAGCCAGAGACTTTAGCTTCAGCCACCAGAACCTGAAGGGGAGGAACCATGGATGAGCTCAGTAGAACGTTACCATCTGCTAGCAGCTAGTGATTGCTGCTAGCCGCTAATAACTGCTGCTATTTGCTTATAACTGTTTCTGGCTGCTAATAATTGCTGCTAGCTGCTAATAAGTGCTGCTAGCTGCTAATAAGTGCTGCTAGCTGCTAATAACTGCTGCTAGCCGCTAATAACTGCTGCTAGCTGCTAATAAGTGCTGCTAGCTGCTAATAAGTGCTGCTAGCTGCTAATAAGTGCTGCTAGCTGCTAATAACTGCTGCTAGCCGCTAATAAGTGCTGCTAGCCGCTAATAAGTGCTGCTAGCTGCTAATAAGTGCTGCTAGCTGCTAATAAGTGCTGCTAGCTGCTAATAACTGCTGCTAGCCACTAATAACTGCTGCTAGCTGCTAATAAGTGCTGCTAGCTGCTAATAACTGCTGCTAGCCACTAATAACTGCTGCTAGCCACTAATAACTGCTGCTAGTTGCTATTAACTGCTGCTAGCTGCTAATAGCTGCTGTTCCTGCTTTTAACTGCTGCTGCTACTGCTATTAACTGCTGCTAGCTGCTAATCTGCTGCTAGCTGCTAATCTGCTGCTAGCTGCTATTAACTGCTGTTAGCTGCTACTCAGCTGCTAGCCGCTAATAACTGCTGTTAGCCCCTAATAGCTGTGGGTAGCCTCTAATAGCTGCTGCTAGCTGCTAATAGCTGCTGTTAGCTGCTACAAGCTGCTGTTAGCTGCTATTAATTGCTGTTCGCTGCTAATCTGCTGCTAGCCCCTAATAACTGCTGCTAGCCACTAATAGCTGCTGCTAGCCACTAATAGCTGCTGCAAGCTGCTGCTAGCTGCTATTAGCTGCTGTTAGCTGCTAATAAGTGCTGTTCGCTGCTAATCTGCTGCTAGCCCCTAATAACTGCTGCTAGCCACTAATAGCTGCTGCTAGCCACTAATAGATGCTGCTAGCCACTAATAGCTGCTGCAAGCTGCTGCTAGCTGCTAATAGCTGCTATTAGCTGTTGTTAGCTGCTAATAAGTGCTGCAAAATAAATAAGCAGCCATTTGTTCTCCGCTCGAAGCCGCTGGCTCTGATTGGCTGCCAGCTGTTCAGATGAAAACATTATTTGAAATAAAAGAGCTGAAATGAAAAAGGACTGAATGGTTTCTGTTTTCATCTCATTGAATCTATCCACGATCATTTCATCGTCTCTGGATTGGAGCTCTCTGATTGGTCACTGCTGAGGACGTCCAGACGGGAGCTCAGCTTCCTGTCTGAAGAGGACGCCATCGCCCAACCCCCTCGGCCCTCTGTTGGGTCCGACCCGTCAGTCAGAGACGGACTGGACCTCAGCGTCCAGCACCAGAAGCGGTTCTGGTGACATCACAGGACTGACCTCTTGTCTGGGACCCTGAAGTCTCTGTAGATCTGCTCCGCCTGCTTGTGCAGTCCCAGCGCCATCAGTGCCTCCATGGTGGCCTGCACAGGAAGTGACATCACTCCTTAACACCCGCCCCTCCCTGAATGGTCACACCGTTACCGACACTCACCTGCAGGGACAGCCCAAGAAGCCCCGCCCCCTTCTCATCATCCAGCTTCCTTTGGTAACGCAGCAGCCGCATCTCGTCCTCCGTGGCCTAGAAGCCCAGAGCAGAGCGGGTCAGAACCGTGTTCTGATGGACCTCCTGAGGACGGGTCGGCAGGTTCTACAGAACCCTGTGAAGTGCCGGATCCAGCAGAGAGCCTCACCTTGGCAGCAAAGTCATTCTTGGCCTTGTTGAACTCATCTACGGCGCTCTGCAGCTGAGCCAAGCGGCCCTCCAGCCTCTGCTCAGGGCACAGGGGGACAGGAGGGGTCAGGAAGACTCTTCTGGTTCTGGAGGTCCAGTGTTCCGGAACCTTTAGACGGTCTCTTTTTGGGTCCAGACCAGACCTCCAGGACTAGAAGGTCCAGAAGGGTTCCTGTATTTGGACTTGAGGACGGACTGGGTAGTTCGGGTCCGAGTGCAGCTCACCTTCTCCCTGTAGCTGGCAGAGACATGGAAGTTCCCCAGCTCCTGGTGGTCGTCATCCTGGTTGTAGAGGTCCTTCAGGGTCTGAGGCTCCTGCAGCTTACAGAACTGGACAACACAGGTGGGTCAGCTGGTACCGGACCAACCAGGAGTTCCAAAAGTCCAGTCAGAACCATCATTATCATTGTATCACTGCAACACTGTAATGCTAACGTAGCAATGTAGCGTTGTAACACTGTAACGCTAACGTAGGATTGTATCGCTGCAACACTGTAACGCTAACATAGCTTGTATCACTGCAACACTGTAATGCTAACGTAGCAATGTAGCGTTTTAACACTGTAACGCTAACGTAGGATTGTATCGCTGCAACACTGTAACGCTAACATAGCTTGTATCACTGCAACACTGTAATGCTAACGTAGCAATGTATCACTGCAACTCTAACGCAAACATAGCAATGTTGCGTTGTAACACTGTAATCCTAACATGGCACTGGCCAACATAGCATTGTATCACTGCAACACTGTAATGCTAACGTAACAATGCAGCGTTGTACCACTGTAACACTAACGTAGCATTGTATCACTGCAACACTGTAACGCTAACATAGCTTGTATCGCTGCAACTCTGTAACGCTAACATAGCAATGTAGCATTGTAAACACTGTAAAGCTAACATAGCAATGTAGCGTTGTAACACTGTAAAGCTAACATAGCAATGCTGCGTTGTAACACTGTAACGCTAACATAGCAATGTATCGCTGCAACACTGTAACGCTAATAGTAGCATTGTAAAGCTGTAACACTTTAATGCTAATAGTAGGATTGTATCGCTGCAACTCTGTAACGCTAATGTAGCACTGTAGCACTTTAACACTAGAGCGCTACCATAGCATTGTAGCGCTGTAACACTGTAACGCTAACATGGCATTGTATCACTGTAATGCTAACGTAGGATTGTAGCACTTTAACACTAGAGCGCTAACATAGCATTGTAGCGCTGTAACACTGTAACGCTAACGTGGCATTGTATCACTGTAACGCTAACGTAGCATTGTATCTCTGCAACACTGTAATGCTAATAGTAGCATTGTAGAGCTGTAACACTGTAATGCTAACGTAGCATTGTATCGCTGCAACACTGTAATGCTAATAGTAGCATTGTAGAGCTGTAACACTTTAATGCTAATAGTAGGATTGTATCGCTGCAACTCTGTAACGCTAATGTAGCATTGTAGCACTTTAACACTAGAGCGCTAACATAGCATTGTAGCACTGTAACACTGTAACGCTAACGTAGCATTGTATCTCTGTAACACTGTAATGCTAATAGTAGCATTGTAGAGCTGTAACACTGGAACGCAGCATTGTATTGCTGCAACACTGTAACGGTAATGTAGCATTGTATCGCTGTACCACTGTAACGCTAACGTAGCATTGTATCGCTGCAACTCTGTAACGCTATTGTAGTGTTGTATCGCTGCAACACTGTAATGCTAATAGTAGCATTGTATTGTTGCAACTCTGTAACACTAACGTAGCACTGTAGGGCTGTAACACTGTAGCTTTAACGTAGCACTGTAGCGCTGTAACTCTGTAACGCTAATGTAGCAGAACAGGCAGGGAGTCTCCAGAACCAGGACTGCCTGACCCAGGGCTCCGTTCTGTTGGATCGACCTGGGATCTGGTCCATCTTCCTGTTTGGGTTATGGCGTCCAACAACCAATCAGCTAAACTTAAAGGGACCCAGTCAGGACCCTGGGATCCGCTAGCAGCCAGGACCCCCTACACCTTCTGGTTCTGCTGAGCCCACCTGTCTGTAGAGGCTGAGGGCCACCGGCTGGTTCCTCAGGGTCATGAAGAAATCTCCTCGGTTCATCTCGTTCTTCAGGTAGGTCACCACGGTGTAGACTGTCCAACAGAGAGACGTCAGAGACCAGCAGCTTAGCTGGAGGACAGGTGGGCGGAGCCTCATAACTCACCCAGGTCGGTGTCGCCGCTCTCCACCGCCTTGCTGAGGGCCAGCTGGCTCCGCTTCATCTTCAGCAGCAGAGGAACCTGTTCTCCAGAACGGGCCTCATAGTCCAAGAGCTGAAACGGGCCACAGGGGGGGTTGCTGAGACAAATACTATAGATGGTGGCAAGGAACCACCGGGAACTTTAGAGCTACAGCGCCACCAGGTGAGCAGAACCACAGCAGAGATGCCTACAGGACTCCCACCTTGATGGCCAGCTCAGGACGGCCACACTCGTACGCCTTGGCTGCGATGTCAGAGTAGGACACCCCAGGACAGTCTCCCACCTTGGAGCAGACGGCTCGAGCGATGGCCTCGTCCGTCAGGTCCTTTTGCTGGACCTGGACCAGGAGGAGGACATGTGAGAAAGTCTGGAGGACATGGATCAAGAGAAGATGGAGGGAAGCTGGAGGTGACCTTGCAGGAGGCCCAGTGCTTCAGGACTCGGCTGACTCCCTGGTAGTCTGGAATCTTCAGGTAGCGACAGACCTCCATGGTCAACGGGTAGAACTGCCGGTAGACCAACCTGGGCAGCAGAGGACGCTTAGACAGGAGACACGGGACAGAAGACGCTAGGAGACGCTGAGCTAAGCTAGTGGACGCTGAGCTAAGCTAGGGGACGCCGAGCTAAGCTAGGAGACGCTGAGCTAAGCTAGGGGACGCCGAGCTAAGCTAGGAGGCGCTGAGCTAAGCTAGGAGGCGCTCAGGTATGAGGAGCTGAACTAAGCCAGGAGACACTGAGCTTAGCTAGGAGATGCTGAGCTAAGCTAGGAGGCGCTGAGCTAAGCTAGGAGACGCTGAGCTAAGCTAGGAGACGCTGAGCTAAGCTAGGAGACGCTGAGCTAAGCTAGGAGATGCTAAGCTAAGCTAGGAGGCGCTGAGCTAAGCTAGGAGGCGCTCAGGTATGAGGAGCTGAACTAAGCCAGGAGACACTGAGCTTAGCTAGGAGATGCTGAGCTAAGCTAGGAGGCGCTGAGCTAAGCTAGGAGATGCTGAGCTAAGCTAGGAGGCGCTGAGCTAAGCTAGGAGACGCTGAGCTAAGCTAGGAGGCGCTCAGGTATGAGGGGCTGAACTAAGCCAAGAGACACTGAGCTTAGCTAGGAGGCGCTGAGCTAAGCTAGGAGATGCTGAGCTAAGCTAGGAGGCGCTGAGCTAAGCTAGGAGACGCTCAGGTATGAGGGGCTGAACTAAACCAGGAGACACTGAGCTTAGCTAGGAGGTGCTGAGCTAAGCTAGGAGGCACTGAGCTAAGCTAGGACGTGCTGAGCTAAGCTAGGAGGTGCTAAGCTAGGAGGCACTGAGCTAAGCTAGGAGGTGCTAAGTTAGGGGACGCTGCGCTACGGGTAAAGGAGGACATCAGGTGGCATACCTGTCTATCAGCACCTGTAGGGTCATCTGTTTGAATCTGAGGTCAGAGGTTAAGGAGCATCAGGCTAAAGTCCAGCAGAAACATGAATGAACCGACCCAGGGAGGCGGAGCCCCAGCTCCCATGATGCACCACTGCAGGATACTGAGTGTGAGTGAGCGGCATCCCCACGCTGCTGTCCCTGACGGCGTTCAGCACCCGCAGCTCCCTGCAGGTCACCACGAACTGCTCCGGACTGAAGTCCGTCAGAAAACACTTGCCGAAGGACGCCGCCTAATGAAAAGACGCCACGTCACACACAGACTGAGCCGCCATGGTTCTGGTACTGGTGTTCTCACCCTCATCAGAGCCTTCTGGGTGTCAGGGTCGTACTCGTGTGCCGCTGCCTCCACACACTGCCGCACGGCGTCTCCCAGGACGTCCTGCTCCTTGATCTCCCTCAGGTACTCATCCGCCTTCTGACTGGACTTCTGCTCAGGCAGACGGGAATCAGAACCGAGGGTCCAGACCCCCTCCGGCGGTCCCTTAGGCGGCCTACCTACCTCGTACTCGCGGTGGGCCTCCAGCAGCAGCGCTCCAGGAGCCATGGAGGCGATCTTGAAGATGTCCTGGCAGACCAGAGGAACCTCCTGCAGCAGCTCCTGGCTGCAGGGAGCGATGATCCGGACGCCGTCCAGCTCCCCCACCAACACCGAGCGCTCCTCCATGGGGAACCTGGCTCACAGTTAAGGAGGACTACAGCAGGCGACCCTAGACCTGCTCCTAGAACCGGTCTGAGCCGACAGGCTACCCTAGAACCGCTCCTAGAACCGCTCTGAGCCAGCAGGCTACCCTAGAACGGCTCCTAGAACCGCTCTGAGCTGGCAGGCTACCCTAGAACGGCTCCTAGAACCGCTCTGAGCTGGCAGGCTACCCTAGAACGGCTCCTAGAACCGCTCTGAGCCGCCAGGCAACCCTAGAACGGCTCCTAGAACCGCTCTGAGCCGGCAGGCTACCCTAGAACGGCTCCTAGAACCGCTCTGAGCCGCCAGGCAACCCTAGAACCGCTCCTAGAACCGCTCTGAGCCGGCAGGCTACCCTAGAACCGCTCCTAGATCCGCTCTGAGCCGACAGGCTACCCTAGAACCGCTCCTAGAACCGCTCTGAGCCGGCAGGCTACCCTAGAACGGCTCCTAGAACCGCTCTGAGCCGGCAGGCTACCCTAGAACCGCTCCTAGAACCGCTCTGAGCCGGCAGGCTACCCTAGAACCGCTCCTAGAACCGCTCTGAGCCGACAGGCTACCCTAGAACCGCTCATAGAACCGCTCTGAGCCGACAGGCTACCCTAGAACCGCTCATAGAACCGCTCTGAGCCGGCAGGCTACCCTAGAACCGCTCCTAGAACCGCTCTGAGCCGGCAGGCTACCCTAGAACCGCTCCTAGAACCGCTCTGAGCCGGCAGGCAACCCTAGAACCGCTCCTAGAACCGCTCTGAGCCGGCAGGCTACCCTAGAACCGCTCCTAGAACCGCTCTGAGCCGGCAGGCTACCCTAGAACCACTCCTAGATCCGCTCTGAGCCAACAGGCTACCCTAGAACCGCTCCTAGATCCGCTCTGAGCCGACAGGCTACCCTAGAACCGCTCCTAGAACCGCTCTGAGCCGGCAGGCTACCCTAGAACGGCTCCTAGAACCGCTCTGAGCTGGCAGGCTACCCTAGAACCGCTCCTAGAACCGCTCTGAGCCGGCAGGCTACCCTAGAACCGCTCCTAGAACCGCTCTGAGCCGGCAGGCTACGCTAGAACCGCTCCTAGAACCGCTCTGAGCCGACAGGCTACCCTAAGACCGCTCCTAGAACCGCTCCTAGAACCGCTCTGAGCCGACAGGCTACCCTAGAACCGCTCATAGAACCGCTCTGAGCCGACAGGCTACCCTAGAACCGCTCATAGAACCGCTCTGAGACGGCAGGCTACCCTAGAACCGCTCCTAGAACCGCTCTGAGCCGGCAGGCTACCCTAGAACCGCTCCTAGAACCGCTCTGAGCCGGCAGGCTACCCTAGAACCGCTCCTAGAACCGCTCTGAGCCGGCAGGCTACCCTAGAACCGCTCCTAGAACCGCTCCTAGATCCGCTCTGAGCCACAGGAATGGATACTGGATGGTGTCGTTACACGCTCCCACCACCAGGAGGAGTCTGTCCCACATCAGGACCACGGAGGGCTGCTGGGACCTGGGCCTGCGGCACCTGGAGGGGACAGAAGCTGCTGAGACACGGTCCAGCTCAGTCAGGGGGACCCAGACGGGTCGGCTAGTGGACCTACCAGACCATCTGTGTGGGCGGAGCTGTCCTTTTGATGTCCACTTCGCTCAGTCTTTCCTGCAGACAGAAGCACCTGTCAGACCCCCACAGCTGAGGCCACGCCCACTAAGAGCTGCTGCTCACCTGCAGGTTGGACAGGCCTGTCCACAGGTGTCCCGCCTCCGTGAACAGAGCCAGGTACTTATAGCTGAAGGAGACGGCCATGTGGACGATGCTGCCAGCCTGAGGACTGAGACCTGGGGGGTACTGGAGACACACAGGGAGGACGTCAGACAGGTGGGGGACAGTAGCTCACCTGTCCGTCCGTCCGTCCGTCCTACCACAGCAGTGCAGGAGGTGTTGTCCAGGACATAGAGTTCAGCTCCACTGGACACCAGGACTTTGGTCTGTCTGTCCTGGGTCAGGACCACCCAGCAGGACGGCTTCCCCTGGAGACCTGAGGGGACAGAGACAGCTGGAGGACACCTGGAGGACACACAGGCCTACCTGAATGTTAAGCTGTCCTCACCTGGGACCTCAGGTAACCTGCGGAGCTTCAGGTCCTCGATGTTGGTCGCCAGGGTGAAGCGGGAGGAGCCTGTTACTATGGCAACGCCAGTTCCATAAGGAGAGTGAAAGACCTTGGCCTCCAGGACCTGGCTCTGGACCACTTCCTGTTTGACACGAGGACACCCGTCAACCGGTTCAGCAACACTCCCGTCCCACAGATTGGACCCCCCTGTCCCGTCCTAAATGGACCCACCTGTCCCGTCCTAAATGGACCCACCTGTCCCGTCCTAAATGGACCCACCTGTCCTAAATGGACTTACCTGTGACGTCCTAAATGGACCCACCTGTCCTGTCCTAAATGGACCCACCTGTCCTAAATGGACCCACCTGTCCCCTCCCAAATGGACCCACCTGTCCCCTCCCAAATGGACCCACCTGTCCCGTCCTAAATGGACCCACCTGTCCCGTCCTAAATGGACCCACCTGTCCTAAATGGACCCACCTGTCCTAAATGGACCCACCTGTCCCCTCCCAAATGGACCCACCTGTCCTAAATGGACCTACCTGTCCTGTCCTAAATGGACCCACCTGTCCTGTCCTAAATGGACCCACCTGTCCTAAATGGACCCACCTGTCCCCTCCCAAATGGACCCACCTGTCCCCTCCCAAATGGACCCACCCGTCCCGTCCTAAATGGACCCACCTGTCCTGTCCTAAATGGTACCACCTGTCCTGTCCTAAATGGACCCACCTGTCCTAAATGGACCCACCTGTCCCCTCCCAAATGGACCCACCTGTCCCCTCCCAAATGGACCCACCCGTCCCGTCCTAAATGGACCCACCTGTCCTAAATGGACCCACCTGTCCCCTCCTAAATGGACCCACCTGTCCCGTCCTAAATGGACCCACCCATCCCATCCTAAATGGACCCACCTGTCCCGTCCTAAATGTACCCACCTGTCCCGTCCTAAATGGACCCACCTGTCCCGTCCTAAATGGACCCACCTGTCCCCTCCCAAATGGACCCACCTGTCCCGTCCTAAATGGACCCACCCGTCCTAAATGGACCCACCTGTCCCGTCCTAAATGGACCCACCCGTCCTAAATGGACTCACCCGTCCCCTCCTAAATGGACCCACCTGTCCTAAATGGACCCACCTGTCCTAAATGGACCCACCCATCCCGTCCTAAATGGACCCACCCATCCCGTCCTAAATGGACCCACCCGTCCTAAATGGACCCACCCATCCCGTCCTAAATGGAACCACCTGTCCTAAATGGACCCACCTGTCCTAAATGGACCCACCTGTCCTAAATGGACCCACCTGTCCCGTCCTAAATGGACCCACCTGTCCTAAATGGACCCACCTGTCCCGTCCTAAATGGACCCAGCTGTCCTAAATGGACCCACCTGTCCCGTCCTAAATGGACCCACCTGTCCTAAATGGTCCCACCCATCCCGTCCTAAATGGACCCACCTGTCCCCTCCTAAATGGACCCACCTGTCCTAAATGGACCCACCTGTCCTAAATGGTCCCACCCATCCCGTCCTAAATGGACCCACCTGTCCCCTCCTAAATGGACCCACCTGTCCTAAATGGACCCACCTGTCCTAAATGGACCCACCTGTCCCGTCCTAAATGGACCCACCTGTCCTAAATGGACCCACCTGTCCCGTCCTAAATGGACCCACCTGTCCCGTCCTAAATGGACCAACCTGTCCCATGCTGAAGTGTCTCTTGAATGTCCCAAACAGGTCGTATATCAGGACTGTCCCGTCCTCCTGAACACATAGGAGCTCGTCATTGACGGACCAACCCAGGTGGACCACCGGACCGCTCTTCCACTGCGAGAGAGAAACAGATGATGTCATCAGAGGACAGGGCTGTGATTGGCTGCTGGCAGAAGGACAAGGTTACTCACAGGGAAGCTGGTGATGGACACTCCTGAGGCCGAGTAGATGTCCAACTGGGGACGGGAACTGGTGGAACGTCTGAGAGGTGCTCTGAGGAGAGCTGAGACACCAACAGAACCAGGAAGCAGAACACAGAGGTTAGGCTGCATCGCCATGGTAACGGCTTCTGCTTCTATTTAGTTCTGAGATCCACAGCAGGTTCTGATTGGTTCTAATGGTTCTGATTGGTTCAAAGCTCCCGTCTCTGATGGACGGTACCTGTCCCTTCAGACTGGGACATGTCTCACGGGTCCAAATCATCCAGAGGTTCTGAGGACCAGACAAAGGAGGGAACCGCCTGTTGCCATGGTGACTGAATGTTTCCTGGACCAGGAACCCGGAGCAGAACCAGAACCCGGAGCAGAACCAGAACCCGGAGCAGAACCTGAACCCGCAGCAGAACCAGAACCCAGAGCAGAACCTGAACGCAGAGCAGAACCAGAACCCGGAGCAGAACCAGAGCCCGGAGCAGAACCCACCGATTGGACCTCCATAGGGCGCTGCAGCCACCAGGCTGTCTCCCAGTCCGTCCCGAAGGCTCCAGAACATCTCATAAAGTTCTGTCTTCCTGGAAAGAGAACAGAGACCCAAACATTTCAGCTACCAGAACAGAACTCTGATCAACAGAACCGGCTGGTACTGAACCAGCCGCTGGTTCTGACCCAGTAAAACCTGGTTCTGACCCAATAGAACCAGGTCCTGACCCAGCCGCTGGTTCTGACCCAGTAGAACCTGGTTCTGACCCAGCCGCTGGTTCTGATCCAGCAGCTGGTTCTGACTCAGTAGAACCAGGTCCTGACCCAGCCGCTGGTTCTGACCCAGTAGAACCTGGTTCTGACCCAGCCGCTGGTTCTGATCCAGCGGCTGGTTCTGACTCAGTAGAACCTGGTTCTGACCCAGCCGCTGGTTCTGATCCAGCGGCTGGTTCTGACTCAGTAGAACCTGGTTCTGACCCAGCCGCTGGTTCTGATCCAGCAGCTGGTTATGACTCAGTAGGACCAGGTTCGGTGTCAGGTTCCGGGTACTGACCGGTAGAAGGCGTCTCCCAGCGGGTTCCAGTTAGCGGTGATGAAGGCCATGCTGAGGAAGAGGAGGGAGGGATTGGGTCTGCTGGTTCGGATGCCCGAACCGAACCGAACCGAACCGCAGGAGCTTAGAATAATAACAGCCGAGGAGTCAGCTGATGCTGCGAGGGCCGCGCCTCCTCTTCCTGTTTCTTCTTCTTCTTCGGTTGGTAAACAGCAGTCGGTGCTCATTAGCGCCACAGACTCTAATGCGAAGGCGCCTCATACATGTATATATATAGATATATATATAGATATATATATAGATATATATATATCTATATATATATCTATATATATATCTATATATATAGATATATATATAGATATATATATAGATATATATATAGATATATATATCTATATATATATAGATATATATATATATAGATATATATAGATATATATATAGATATATATATCTATATATATATAGATATATATATATATAGATATATATATATATATATATATATATATATATATATATATATATATACACACACATTAACGGATTAAAGAGCAAATGTTATATGCATAGATAATGATTAAAAAGAAGTCAATGAAAAAGATATTCCATTCACTACGATTTGACAAAAAGTCTTAATGACAAAAGATAAATAAAAATTCACATAAACTTATAAAAACAATGATCCAAGATGGCCGCCCCCTAGGCACGTCTGTATTAGAGTCTATGATTAACGGCCCTGATGGTCTTTAGATGTCTGCCCTTTGTTGCTGATTGAATCTGAGCTGGAATCTCATTAAAGTATAGATCAGTGATTATATTCTATCTGCTGAAGAGCTACAGCAGGTCTATTGCTTTTATTTCTACAGTAGAATGACTTATTCTCTGACCTGACCTGATCCACTGTGTTCTCTGATGCATCTGTGTCTATTTTAACATATCTACAATATTTACTAAAATATCAATAACTATATCAAAGCTTCCCTTTACCAATAATTCTAGATCTATAACTGGTTCTGCAAACATTCACAGATACTCCCAGTATACTGCTGTCCCAGTGTTCCCAGTATACTGCTGTCCCAGTGTTCTCAGTATAGTGGTGTCCCAGTGTTGGGTTCAGAACCCAGAACCTCAACCCAAAACCAGGACCCAAAACTAGAAACCAGAACCAGAGAAAGCAGAACCAGAACCCAGAACTAAACCCAGAACCAAATGTAGAAACAAACCCAGAACCAGAACCCCGTTTCAGAACCCAGAACCAGAACCCCGTCCCAGAACCCAGAACTAGACCCAGAACCAGTACCAAATCCAGAATCAGAACCTAGAACCAGAACCCAGAACCAAATGTAGAACCAAAACCCAGAACCAAACTCAGAACCCAGAACCAGAACCCCGTTCCAGAACCAGAACCCAGAACTAGACCCAGAAACAGTACCAAATCCAGAATCAGAACCTAGAACCAGAACCAGAACCAGAACCCAGAACCAGAACCAAATCCAGAACCCAGAACCAATGCTCTCAGTCTAACAGAACCAGGGGCGGTTCTGGTTCAGCTGGCGGGTCGGTCTGTGAGGGGAGCAGCAGAGGAACCTTAAATCGAAGGTTTTTCCTCTGGACTCTGGTGCTGAACAATGAGAGGAAGCCGGAGCTGCAGGCTTCCTTCCAGATGACTTCATCTGAAAAACACCAGTGAGCGAGAGACGCCTGCTCACACTGGCTCTCTCTCCTGCTGCATCTCCACGGCAACTGTCCCCTCCCCCTGGGTGTGGTGGAGAGACACTGACACTTCAGGCTGAAGACAGAGAGAGAGGTTAACCCTTCAAGCTACCCTGGATGTGAAGCTTGTTGCTGTCAGAAGGCTCTGGTTCTGGTTCTGGTTCTGGTCCAGGGTTCTGGTTCTGTTCCTCCCTGTGGGTGAGGCAGGGCAAACAGAGCTGCCCTCTGTCAGACAGTGAGCCCTCAGTCAACAGCAGTGAAGGGGTTAAAGGTGTGGACTTTTTCCACAGTGGGAAGTTATCTGGAAAGTTTCCCTGAGAGCAGCCAATCAGAGCGCAGCTCTCAGACTGCAGGCGAAGCAGAGTCTGGCTGTTTTCTCCACTGCAGGAAACTCTGATTTTAACACCGTCGACATGGTGACCACCGAGTCCCACCAGAACCAGGACCTGATGGCCCCCGCAGAGAACCAGGACCTGAACCTGAACCTGGAGATCCAGGTCCAGGACCAGGCCTCGCCCTCCTCCCCTTCAGCCGCTCTGGACCCGGAGAAGCTGAGCCAGGGTCCCGTCAACGCCATCACGGTTCTGACCCTCCTGGACAAGCTGGTCAACATGCTGGACGCCGTGCAGGACAATCAGCACAAAATGGAGGTGAGCAGGTGGGACGGTTCCAGGTCCAAACAGAGTCTGTAAGTAGAATCTGTCCTCTGGGCCCAGAACCAGTCCTCTGGGCCCAGAATCGGGTCTTATTCAACTGTGGCAGATATCATTGGTCCTTTAGTAGAGAGTTCTGTCCTCGCTTCGCTGTCACATGATGACATCAGCTGGTACGGGATCCAGATGTGGAGCTGGGTTCCTCCAGGTTCTGACACGCCCTCGGTGCGCTGCGAGTTCAGGAATGTGGAAACTGTTTCCTGTTTGTGCTGCAGAATCAGGCGTCCCTCGCCAGGAGGGTTAGACCACAGCAACCTGGTCCAACTGGTACCGAGTTCAACTGGAACCCAATAAAACTGGAACCAGATCCCACTGGAACCAGATCCCACTGGAACCAGATCCAACAGGAACCGCATCCAAATGGAAACGGGTCCAACTGGAACCAGATCCAACTGGAACCGCATCCAACAGGAAACGGGTCCAACTGGAACCAGATCCAACTGGAACCGGATCCAACAGGAAACGGGTCCAACTGGAACCAGATCCAACTGAAACCGGATCCAACTGGAACCAGATCCAAATTAAACCCGATCCAACTAAAACCAGATCCAACTGAAACCGGATCCGACTGGAACTGGATCCAACTGAAACCGGATCCGACTGGAACCGGATCCAACTCGAACCCAATCCAACTGGAAACAGGTCCAACTGGAACCACATCCAACTGGAACCGGATCCAACTGGAACCGGTTCCAACTAGAACCGGATCTAAGTGGTGGACCTTCTGTCAGACTGGATCTTCATCAGCTATCAGTGGTTCTGACTGACCCAGAGAGGCCTCTAACCGGGTCAAACAGCTTTTATTGATCTGTTTCTGCTACTGACAGGTGACTGGTTGTGTTTCAGGTTCACCAGGTCCAGATGGAGGACGTGGTCCGAGGAATCCAGGCAGACATGACCAGACTGTCCAAGAGTCACAGCCACACCTCCAACACGGTCAGCAAGCTGCTGGACAAGAGCCGAAAGCTGTCCGTGACCATGAAGGAGGTCAGTGAAGGCATCACCACACCTGGAAGCCCTGCCAGATGTTCAGAGCTTTCAGCCGGGGTTCTGTATAGTTCCCCTCAGCTAGTTGAAGGTCCAGCAGCAGGTCTGAACTTTGACTAGGCCGTCTGTCTCAGACCAGCTGTGGGGTTTGGGATCATGGTTCTGTTACTGAGCTGCATTGGACCAAACTTCAGCTGAGGGACAGGCGCCCTCTGACCTTTGACACTAGCATGCTAGCTTGACATGTGGCGTATTTGGTTTTCCCGGACACACTGCTCTTCTCTTTCTCCCCCACCCACTTATCCCATCATGACCTTTAACCTTTAACCTGCCTCTGAGGGACCTTCCTGCCTCTGAGCTCGTCTGCTAGACGCCTGTCAGACTGTGCTCAGGGACCTCATGTCCTTTCTCCTCAGGTCCGCGAGAGGATGGAGCGTCAAGGTGCCCAGGTGAAGAGGCTGGAGGCAAACCACGCCCACCTGGTCAGCAGGAACAACTTCAAAGTGCTCATCTTCCAGGTAGGTCTGAGCTGGGAAATGTAGTTCACCTGTAGTCCCACTGGGCTCGGCTGCTAGCTTTCAGCCACTTATCCTTATTTGGATGTGAGCTGCTGCAGGAAGCGAAGTGGAAAATCTCCAGAAAGGACAGTGGTTGTCATGGTAGCCATGGACTGCAGCTCTGTGGACAGACTGTCCTGCACAGAGACATTCCCAGAATCCTCCCAGAATATTCCATGCGCTGACCGGTTCCTCCATAGGCTTCCATAGATCATCGAGAGACATGCAGACAGAGCGGCCATCTTGGCTCAGACCTCACCTGCTGGCTAATCCGGACCCAACCTGCTTTAAAACATAAATTACTGCATGTTGTACGATGACAGTGTCTAACTTCCCTTGCTCCTCTTCTCCTGGTAATACGGTAAAGCCCTGGGGAGCGTCCGGCTCCAGGCTGCACGTGATCCAAATGAGCCAATGAGCTGTCAGTCTGGGTTGCTGCTGCTGCTACTTTTAGACACAGCAGGCAAACCTGTGGCAAGCCGGGCGATGGGAAAGAAGGAGAAGACCATGAGAAAAAGAGAGCAGAGAAAGTGTGGACTGCTGGAAGAACTGCGGTGAACTGGTGAAAGAAAAGTGAAATGGCGTGCTCAAAGATGACCCTGAACATTTAGAGGATGTTTGGCTCAACCTGCTGCTGTGAAGCAGGATTCTCCACCATGAACAGAATCAACAATAAATCTGGATCCAGGCTCAAAGTGAGCTCCTTGATATGTGCTTGAGAATGGCTTAGTCTCCGGTTAAACCCAGGTTTAAAGCCTTGCAGGGCAGCCTAAAGCCCACTGCCAACATTAAGACAGAAAAAAGAAAGAAAATAACAACCCATCAGTTCAGGGGTTTGAGAAAATATGGGAATCAGGAAATTATCTATAAACCAAACTGAACGATTGTTGTTCTCTACTTGAAAAACAATTTAGATTTTAAAATAGAAAAATTCTTTATTATTATTATTTTTTTTAATTAAAAAGATTAATGTATAACATGGATGCATAAAGACCTCTTTTATTTCAGTGTTTAAAGTAACATATTATAATTGAAAATGTCTCCGGACCTTTACTGGTTGATGATTTTCTTTAGCTGGTCTTTAATTGGTTACACCTGGTCTAAAGTATCATGGGATGACATCATCATTAGTATTTCATGACAGATTATCCTCATGATTCACATTTCCTGTTTTTCTGGTGTTTTAACAAGAGGAGCTGATGAGGAGCAGAGAAATATTTCTAGATACAGATGGATATATATAAGTGTATCTATACAGGTGAGGGCAGCTGTAGTACTGTAGTCATCAGAGTACTCAGAGCAGTAATCCAAACCATTTCCAGCTCTGGGTTTGTTCCACATGTTTTACTGTCCTGCACTGGGATGGATCCCTGCAGGTAACTGGTGTATAAAACAGGTAGAAAAAAAACCACATTATTTCACGGCTGCGGGAAATATGAACAAAACGCTGCAGGTATGATAGATTCCAAACTATCCAGGTAAAGTGTGGTGTTCAGGGGCGCGGTGTGGTGTTCAGGGGCGCAGTGTGGTGTTCAGGGGCGCGGTGTGGTGTTCAGGGGCACAGTGTGGTGTTCAGGGGCGCAGTGTGGTGTTCAGGGGCGCAGTGTGGTGTTCAGGGGCGCAGTGTGGTGTTCAGGGGCGCAGTGTGGTGTTCAGGGGCACAGTGTGGTGTTCAGGGGCGCAGTGTGGTGTTCAGGGGCGCGGTGTGGTGTTCAGGGGCGCAGTGTGGTGTTCAGGGGCACAATGTGGTGTTCAGGGGCACGGTGTGGTGTTCAGGGGCGCGGTGTGGTGTTCAGGGGCGCAGTGTGGTGTTCAGGGGCGCAGTGTGGTGTTCAGGGGCGCAGTGTGGTGTTCAGGGGCACAATGTGGTGCTCAGGGGCGCGGTGTGGTGTTCAGGGGCGCAGTGTGGTGTTCAGGGGCACAGTGTGGTGTTCAGGGGCGCGGTGTGGTGTTCAGGGGCGCGGTGTGGTGTTCAGGGGCGCGGTGTGGTGTTCAGGGGCGCGGTGTGGTGTTCAGGGGCGCGGTGTGGTGTTCAGGGGCGCGGTGTGGTGTTCAGGGGCGCGGTGTGGTGTTCAGGGGCGCGGTGTGGTGTTCAGGGGCGCGGTGTGGTGTTCAGGGGCGCAGTGTGGTGTTCAGGGGCACAATGTGGTGTTCAGGGGCGCGGTGTGGTGCTCAGGGGCGCAGTGTGGTGTTCAGGGGCACAGTGTGGTGTTCAGGGGCGCGGTGTGGTGTTCAGGGGCGCGGTGTGGTGTTCAGGGGCGCGGTGTGGTGTTCAGGGGCGCGGTGTGGTGTTCAGGGGCGCGGTGTGGTGTTCAGGGGCGCGGCGCGGTGTGGTGTTCAGGGGCGCGGTGTGGTGTTCAGGGGCGCGGTGTGGTGTTCAGGGGCGCGGTGTGGTGTTCAGGGGCGCGGTGTGGTGTTCAGGGGCGCGGTGTGGTGTTCAGGGGCGCGGTGTGGTGTTCAGGGGCGCGGTGTGGTGTTCAGGGGCGCGGTGTGGTGTTCAGGGGCGCGGTGTGGTGTTCAGGGGCGCGGTGTGGTGTTCAGGGGCGCGGTGTGGTGTTCAGGGGCGCGGTGTGGTGTTCAGGGGCGCGGTGTGGTGTTCAGGGGCGCGGTGTGGTGTTCAGGGGCGCGGTGTGGTGTTCAGGGGCGCGGTGTGGTGTTCAGGGGCGCGGTGTGGTGTTCAGGGGCGCGGTGTGGTGTTCAGGGGCGCGGTGTGGTGTTCAGGGGCGCAGTGTGGTGTTCAGGGGCGCGGTGTGGTGTTCAGGGGCGCAGTGTGGTGTTCAGGGGCGCAGTGTGGTGTTCAGGGGCACAATGTGGTGTTCAGGGGCGCAGTGTGGTGTTCAGGGGCGCAGTGTGGTGTTCAGGGGCACAATGTGGTGTTCAGGGGCGCGGTGTGGTGTTCAGGGGCGCGGTGTGGTGTTCAGGGGCGCGGTGTGGTGTTCAGGGGCGCAGTGTGGTGTTCAGGGGCGCAGTGTGGTGTTCAGGGGCACAATGTGGTGTTCAGGGGCGCAGTGTGGTGTTCAGGGGCACAATGTGGTGTTCAGGGGCGCAGTGTGGTGTTCAGGGGCACAATGTGGTGTTCAGGGGCGTGGTGTGGTGTCAGGGGCGCAACGTGGTGTTCAGGGGCGTGGCGTGGTGTTCAGGGGCGCGGCGTGGTGTTCAGGGGCGCAACGTGGTGTTCAGGGGCGCAACGTGGTGTTCAGGGGCGCAACGTGGTGTTCAGGGGCGCAACGTGGTGTTCAGGGGCGCAACGTGGTGTTCAGGGGCGTGGTGTGGTGTTCAGGGGCGCGGTGTGGTGTTCAGGGGCGCGGTGTGGTGTTCTGGGCGCTGTGTGGTGTTCTGGGGCGCGGTGTGGTGTTCAGGGGCGCGGTGTTCTGGGCGTGGTGTGGTGTTCTGGGGCGCTGTGTGGTGTTCAGGGGCGCGGTGTGGTGTTCAGGGGCGCGGTGTGGTGTTCAGGGGCGCAGTGTGGTGTTCAGGGACGTGGTGTTCAGGGGCGCGGTGTGGTGTTCTGGGGCGCGGTGTGGTGTTCAGGGGCGCGGCGTGGTGTTCTGGGCGCGGTGTGGTGTTCAGGGGCGCGGCGTGGTGTTCAGTGGCGCGGTGTGGTGTTCAGGGGCGCGGTGTGGTGTTCAGGGACGTGGTGTTCAGGGGCGCGGTGTGGTGTTCAGGGGCGTGGTGTGGTGTTCAGGGGCGCTGTGTGGTGTTCAGGGGCTCTGTGTGGTGTTCAGGGACGTGGTGTTCAGGGGCGTGGTGTGGTGTTCAGGGGCGCTGTGTGGTGTTCAGGGACGTGGTGTTCAGGGGCGTGGTGTGGTGTTCAGGGGCGCGGTGTGGTGTTCAGGGACGTGGTGTTCAGGGGCGCGGTGTGGTGTTCAGGGGCGCGGTGTGGTGTTCAGGGGCGTGGTGTGGTGTTCAGGGGCGCTGTGTGGTGTTCAGGGGCGGGGCGTGGTGTTCTGGGCGCGGTGTGGTGTTCAGGGGCGCGGTGTGGTGTTCAGGGGCGCGGTGTGGTGTTCAGGGGCGTGGCGTGGTGTTCAGGGGCGCGGTGTGGTGTTCAGGGACGTGGTGTTCAGGGCGTGGTGTGGTGTTCAGGGGCGCGGTGTGGTGTTCAGGGACGTGGTGTTCAGGGGCGCGGTGTGGTGTTCAGGGGCGCGGTGTGGTGTTCAGGGACGTGGTGTTCAGGGCGTGGTGTGGTGTTCAGGGGCGCGGTGTGGTGTTCAGGGACGTGGTGTTCAGGGGCGCGGTGTGGTGTTCAGGGGCGTGGCGTGGTGTTCAGGGGCGCGGTGTGGTGTTCAGGGACGTGGTGTGGTGTTCAGGGGCGCGGTGTGGTGTTCAGGGGCGCGGTGTGGTGTTCAGGGGCGTGGTGTGGTGTTCAGGGGCGCGGTGTTCAGGGGCGCGGTGTGGTGTTCAGGGGCGCGGTGTGGTGTTCAGGGACGTGGTGTTCAGGGGCGCGGTGTGGTGTTCAGGGGCGCGGTGTGGTTTTCAGGGACGTGGTGTTCAGGGCGTGGTGTGGTGTTCAGGGGCGCGGTGTTCAGGGGCGGGGCGTGGTGTTCAGGGGCGCGGTGTGGTGTTCAGGGGCGTGGTGTTCAGGGGCGCGGTGTGGTGTTCAGGGGCGCGGTGTGGTGTTCAGGGACGTGGTGTTCAGGGCGTGGTGTGGTGTTCAGGGGCGCGGTGTTCAGGGGCGCGGTGTTCAGGGGCGCGGTGTGGTGTTCAGGGACGTGGTGTTCAGGGGCGCGGCGTGGTGTTCAGGGGCGCGGTGTGGTGTTCAGGGGCGCGGTGTGGTGTTCTGGGCACGGTGTGGTGTTCAGGGGCGCGGCGTGGTGTTCAGGGGCGCGGTGTGGTGTTCAGGGGCGCGGTGTGGTGTTCTGGGCACGGTGTGGTGTTCAGGGGCGCGGTGTGGTGTTCTGGGCATGGTGTGGTGTTCAGGGCGCGGTGTGGTGTTCTGGGCGCGGTGTGGTGTTCTGGGCGTGGTGTGGTGTTCAGGGGCGTGGTGTGGTGTTCTGGGCGCGGTGTGGTGTTCTGGGCGCGGTGTGGTGTTCTGGGCGTGGTGTGGTGTTCTGGGCATGGTGTGGTGTTCTGGGCACGGTGTGGTGTTCTGGGCACGGTGTGGTGTTCAGGGCGCGGTGTGGTGTTCTGGGCGCGGTGTGGTGTTCTGGGCGTGGTGTGGTGTTCAGGGGCGTGGTGTGGTGTTCTGGGCGCGGTGTGGTGTTCTGGGCGCGGTGTGGTGTTCTGGGCGTGGTGTGGTGTTCTGGGCATGGTGTGGTGTTCTGGGCACGGTGTGGTGTTCTGGGCACGGTGTGGTGTTCTGGGGCGCTGTGTGGTGTTCAGGGGCGCGGTGTGGTGTTCAGGGGCGCGGTGTGGTGTTCAGGGGCGCAGTGTGGTGTTCAGGGGCGCGGCGTGGTGTTCTGGGCGCGGTGTGGTGTTCAGTGGCGCGGTGTGGTGTTCAGGGGCGCGGTGTGGTGTTCAGGGACGTGGTGTTCAGGGGCGCGGTGTGGTGTTCTGGGGCGCGGTGTGGTGTTCAGGGGCACGGTGTGGTGTTCAGGGGCTCTGTGTGGTGTTCAGGGGCGCGGTGTGGTGTTCAGGGGCGCAGTGTGGTGTTCAGGGGCGCGGCGTGGTGTTCTGGGCGCGGTGTGGTGTTCAGTGGCGCGGTGTGGTGTTCAGGGGCGCGGTGTGGTGTTCAGGGACGTGGTGTTCAGGGGCGCGGTGTGGTGTTCAGGGGCGCTGTGTGGTGTTCAGGGGCTCTGTGTGGTGTTCAGGGACGTGGTGTTCAGGGGCGTGGTGTGGTGTTCAGGGGCGCTGTGTGGTGTTCAGGGACGTGGTGTTCAGGGGCGTGGTGTGGTGTTCAGGGGCGCGGTGTGGTGTTCAGGGACGTGGTGTTCAGGGGCGCGGTGTGGTGTTCAGGGGCGCGGTGTGGTGTTCAGGGGCGGGGCGTGGTGTTCTGGGCGCGGTGTGGTGTTCAGGGGCGCGGTGTGGTGTTCAGGGGCGCGGTGTGGTGTTCAGGGGCGTGGCGTGGTGTTCAGGGGCGCGGTGTGGTGTTCAGGGACGTGGTGTTCAGGGCGTGGTGTGGTGTTCAGGGGCGCGGTGTGGTGTTCAGGGACGTGGTGTTCAGGGGCGCGGTGTGGTGTTCAGGGGCGTGGCGTGGTGTTCAGGGGCGCGGTGTGGTGTTCAGGGACGTGGTGTTCAGGGCGTGGTGTGGTGTTCAGGGGCGCGGTGTTCAGGGGCGCGGTGTGGTGTTCAGGGGCGCGGTGTGGTGTTCAGGGACGTGGTGTTCAGGGGCGCGGTGTGGTGTTCAGGGGCGCGGTGTGGTGTTCAGGGACGTGGTGTTCAGGGCGTGGTGTGGTGTTCAGGGGCGCGGTGTTCAGGGGCGGGGCGTGGTGTTCAGGGGCGCGGTGTGGTGTTCAGGGGCGTGGTGTTCAGGGGCGCGGTGTGGTGTTCAGGGGCGCGGTGTGGTGTTCAGGGACGTGGTGTTCAGGGCGTGGTGTGGTGTTCAGGGGCGCGGTGTTCAGGGGCGCGGTGTGGTGTTCAGGGGCGCGGTGTGGTGTTCAGGGACGTGGTGTTCAGGGGCGCGGTGTGGTGTTCAGGGGCGCGGCGTGGTGTTCAGGGGCGCGGTGTGGTGTTCAGGGGCGCGGTGTGGTGTTCTGGGCACGGTGTGGTGTTCAGGGGCGCGGCGTGGTGTTCAGGGGCGCGGTGTGGTGTTCAGGGGCGCGGTGTGGTGTTCTGGGCACGGTGTGGTGTTCAGGGGCGCGGTGTGGTGTTCTGGGCATGGTGTGGTGTTCAGGGGCACGGTGTGGTGTTCAGGGCGCGGTGTGGTGTTCTGGGCGCGGTGTGGTGTTCTGGGCGTGGTGTGGTGTTCAGGGGCGTGGTGTGGTGTTCTGGGCGCGGTGTGGTGTTCTGGGCGCGGTGTGGTGTTCTGGGCGCGGTGTGGTGTTCAGGGGCATGGTGTGGTGTTCTGGGCACGGTGTGGTGTTCAGGGCACGGTGTGGTGTTCAGGGGCGCGGTGTGGTGTTCTGGGCATGGTGTGGTGTTCAGGGGCACGGTGTGGTGTTCAGGGCGCGGTGTGGTGTTCTGGGCGCGGTGTGGTGTTCAGGGCGTGGTGTGGTGTTCAGGGGCGTGGTGTGGTGTTCTGGGCGCGGTGTGGTGTTCTGGGCGCGGTGTGGTGTTCTGGGCGCGGTGTGGTGTTCAGGGGCACGGTGTGGTGTTCTGGGCACGGTGTGGTGTTCAGGGCACGGTGTGGTGTTCAGGGGCGCGGTGTGGTGTTCTGGGCATGGTGTGGTGTTCAGGGGCACGGTGTGGTGTTCAGGGCGCGGTGTGGTGTTCTGGGCGCGGTGTGGTGTTCTGGGCGTGGTGTGGTGTTCAGGGGCGTGGTGTGGTGTTCTGGGCGCGGTGTGGTGTTCTGGGCGCGGTGTGGTGTTCTGGGCGCGGTGTGGTGTTCTGGGCGCGGTGTGGTGTTCTGGGCACGGTGTGGTGTTCTGGGCGTGGTGTGGTGTTCAGGGCGCGGTGTGGTGTTCTGGGCGTGGTGTGGTGTTCAGGGCGCGGTGTGGTGTTCTGGGCGTGGTGTGGTGTTCTGGGCGTGGTGTGGTGTTCAGGGGCGTGGTGTGGTGTTCTGGGCGCGGTGTGGTGTTCTGGGCGCGGTGTGGTGTTCTGGGCGTGGTGTGGTGTTCAGGGCGCGGTGTGGTGTTCTGGGCGTGGTGTGGTGTTCTGGGCGCGGTGTGGTGTTCAGGGGCGCGGTGTGGTGTTCTGGGCGTGGTGTGGTGTTCTGGGCGCGGTGTGGTGTTCAGGGGCGCGGTGTGGTGTTCAGGGGCGTGGTGTGGTGTTCTGGGCGCGGTGTGGTGTTCTGGGCGTGGTGTGGTTGTTCAGGGGCGTGGTGTGGTGTTCTGGGCATGGTGTGGTGTTCTGGGCATGGTGTGGTGTTCAGGGGCGCGGTGTGGTGTTCAGGGGCACGGTGTGGTGTTCAGGGGCGTGGTGTGGTGTCCTGGGCGCGGTGTGGTGTTCTGGGCGTGGTGTGGTGTTCAGGGGCGTGGTGTGGTGTTCTGGGCATGGTGTGGTGTTCTGGGCATGGTGTGGTGTTCAGGGGCGCGGTGTGGTGTTCAGGGGCACGGTGTGGTGTTCAGGGGCACGGTGTGGTGTTCAGGGGCACGGTGTGGTGTTCAGGGGCGCGGCGTGGTGTTCAGGGGCGCGGTGTGGTGTTCAGGGGCACGGTGTGGTGTTCAGGGGCACGGTGTGGTGTTCTGGGCATGGTGTGGTGTTCAGGGGCGCGGTGTGGTGTTCAGGGGCACGGTGTGGTGTTCAGGGGCGCGGCGTGGTGTTCAGGGGCGCGGTGTGGTGTTCAGGGGCACGGTGTGGTGTTCTGGGCATGGTGTGGTGTTCTGGGCATGGTGTGGTGTTCTGGGCGCGGTGTGGTGTTCTGGGCACGGTGTGGTGTTCAGGGCGCGGTGTGGTGTTCTGGGCATGGTGTGGTGTTCAGGGGCGCGGTGTGGTGTTCAGGGGCATGGTGTGGTGTTCAGGGGCGTGGTGTGGTGTTCTGGGCATGGTGTGGTGTTCTGGGCGCGGTGTGGTGTTCTGGGCATGGTGTGGTGTTCAGGGGCGCGGTGTGGTGTTCAGGGGCATGGTGTGGTGTTCAGGGGCGCGGTGTGGTGTTCAGGGGCACGGTGTGGTGTTCTGGGCATGGTGTGGTGTTCTGGGCATGGTGTGGTGTTCTGGGCGCGGTGTGGTGTTCTGGGCACGGTGTGGTGTTCAGGGCGCGGTGTGGTGTTCTGGGCATGGTGTGGTGTTCAGGGGCGCGGTGTGGTGTTCAGGGGCATGGTGTGGTGTTCAGGGGCGTGGTGTGGTGTTCTGGGCATGGTGTGGTGTTCTGGGCGCGGTGTGGTGTTCTGGGCACGGTGTGGTGTTCAGGGCGCGGTGTGGTGTTCTGGGCATGGTGTGGTGTTCAGGGGCGCGGTGTGGTGTTCAGGGGCATGGTGTGGTGTTCAGGGGCGCGGTGTGGTGTTCAGGGCGCGGTGTGGTGTTCAGGGGGTAATCAGGGGTCATCAGACTCTAACTCCTCCCTATCAGACGTACAGTGAGCAGGTAGATGCATCAGAACGTGTGAGAACTTTCTCCTGATGCTGTCCCTGTTCCTGCTGCAGGAGGAGAAGGAGATCCCTACCTCCGTTTTCGTGAAGGAACCTCCTCCGTTCCCTCGGGATGAGATCCCAGAGGAAGGAGAGCCGTCGGCTCCTGGGGTCAGCGACGTGAAACCGGAGGGCGGCTTCCACACCATCGACCTGTCTTCTGACGAGGACGTTGGTCTGGAGGCCGACATGGATGAAGACGAGCCGTGGCCTCAGGATCTGGACAGCATGGACACGTCCACAGCGGATAAACTGAAGAGGTCCAGCCTGAAGAAGGTCAGGGCCCCAGAGAGGCCAGCAGATGTCCAGGTGTTTGATTGGCCAGACGGCAGTAAGCTCCTCCCCTTCTGTGCAGGTGGACTCTCTGAAGAAAGCCTTCTCCAGGCAGAACATTGAGAAGAAGATGACCAAGATCGGGACAAAGATAGTTTCTGCTGAGCAACGTGAGAAGATCAAGCAGAGAACGGCCAGCCTGAAGGTGTCTCCTCTGACCTTTGGGATGAGGAAGGTACAGCGGTCTCCTCTGGTCACCATCTGGTCACCATCTGGTCTCTGAGGGCTTCCTCTGGTCTCCAGACATGATGTTCTTCTGTGTCTCCTCAGGCTCGCAGCAGCTCAGACTCTCAGCCTCCTGATGGAGCAACCAGGGAGTCCCTCTCTGCTGAGGTGGACCTCCAGCTCTCCCCTCCATCCTCCGCCCAGCAGGAGGTCCCCTTCACTGAGGTCCACGCCCAGCTGGCTCCTGCTGACCATCAGGGAGGACTCCCCGAGGAGGAGGCAAAGAGGGAGGAGCAGGAGGAGGCTGTGGTGGAGAACATGGAGGAGCTGAAGGTGGAGAAGGAGGAGGAGGTCAGGGAGGAGGTGAAGGAAGGTTTAGTGGTGGTGGAGGCAGACGTGTCGGTGGTCTCTGAGGGACTCAGTGAGGAGTACGCTCTGTCCTCCACCCTCCCTCATGGGAGAGGAGAAGATGAGGAGAAGAAGGAGGATGCCTAAAGGAAAGGGGGGGTGAGGAGAAACCAAATCCAACCTTCAGAGGTTCTTCTAGGAACCATGAAGACAACTAAAGATTCTTCTGCTTTTCTCCTTAAACTAGAGTTCTCCTAACGTCTCCTCAGATAAAACCTCCAGCCTCTCAGAGATCTGGACCACAGACCAAACAGGAAGAACTTCTTGAGGTGTTCCTTTAGGTCCATAGGACCTCCACCACTTCATATCTTTGAAACCAGAACCTTCCTTTGTTTTCTGTTGAGTCTCAGGTCTGGAGGATCATCTGGAACCTTATGGGAACCAAACCAGCCCCCAGGTTCCTTCAAACCTTCTTCTTTCCATCATCCAGCTTCATTCCCACCAGAGAACCATCATCCAGGTTCCTCTCTACCAGCAGACCATGGATCTCCACCTCCTTCTTGATGGTTGGACGTCCTCTGAAGGTCTCTTCTTCTAATGTCTTTCCTGAAGGTCTTCCTCAGGTTCGTCCACCTTCACCGCAGTCCGGTTAGGTTCCTTCAGGGTGATGCTCCTTCCTCAGATCTCCTCGTTCCATAAAGTTCCCGTCCAGGACCGTTCCATTGGTCCTGATAATGTTGTAGAGCTTCCCTCCAGGGTTCTTCTGATGATCCTCAGGTTCACGCATACTAAGAAGGGAATACCCTGCGTGGTCTCCAAAGTTCCTCTGCAGTCCACCCAGGGTGCTCCTACATTCCAAAGGAGTTCCTCCACATTCCCATTCAGGAGTTTTCCAAAAGCTTCTCCTGCTGAGGTTACTCCAAAGGTTTCTGTCTGCTCCTACCTCGGTGCCGCCACCGTTCTCCTCATGTTCTCCTCATGTTCTCCTCATGTTCTCCTCATGTTCTCCTCATGTTCTCCTCATGTCCATCAGGAACCCAGAGGGAGCTCCATCTCTCCCTGAACGTTCTGCCATAGCCTCTGAACCTCCTTCCTAGAGGTTCTGCTCTGCACCAGTCATGTAGACGGAAGGCCTGGAGGTTCTCCACACAGTGTGGAGAACGTTGGTGTGGAACCAACTGAAGATGGTTCATTTCTCTGGCCAAAGACTGTTTCTTTCTCTGCATCGTTTCCTGTGTTACTCAATCACCTCCTGACCAATAAAAGCTCACCTACAGCTGATTGTTTCCTGTCTTCAGTTCTCCAGATGTTCCGTCACCTGGAACCAAATGGGTCAGAGAAAACGTCACAGAAGGAACCCCATGAAACCAGAACTAGGTTCTGGTTTTCTGAGGAGCTTCTCAGAAGGAACCCCATGAAACCAGAACTAGGTTCTGGTTTTCTGAGGAGCTTCTCAGAAGGAACCCCATGAAACCAGAACTAGGTTCTGATTTTCTGAGGAGCTTCTCAGAAGGAACCCCATGAAACCAGAACTAGGTTCTGATTTTCTGAGGAGCTTCTCAGTCTTCAGTCTGTAGATCCTCCTTCTAGTAGGTAACTGGTTCCTAAAGGCCTTGTACTTTGGTCCATCCCTCCCTCACTGTGGCCTTCAGCTTTGTCGTGGGAGAGGCAGGAAGGGGGAGGGTCTTCACATCAACCAATAGGAGAGCAGGGGTGGTCTCATCAGACAGAGGAACCAATCAGAGCAGGTGAGGCGGGTTCTCAAACGTCTCCCCACACTGAGAGTCTGAGCACAGTGGGGCCAACCTGCTACAGACGGAGGTGCCTGGGTCCAGTCAGGTTCTGGTTCTGGTTCCAGTCAGACGGAGGTGCCTGGGTCAAGTCAGGTTCTGGTTCAGGTTCCAGTCAGACAGAGGTGCCTGGGTCCAGTCAGGTTCTGGTTCTGGTTACAGTCAGACGGAGGTGCCTGTGTCCAGTCAGGTTCTGGTTCTGGTTCCAGTCAGACGGAGGTGCCTGTGTCCAGTCAGGTTCTGGTTCCAGTCAAACGGAGGTGCCTGGGTCCAGTCAGGTTCTGGTTCTGTTTCCAGTCAGACAGAGGTGCCTGGGTCCAGTCAGGTTCTGGTTCTGGTTCCAGTCAGACGGAGGTGGCTGTGTCCAGTCAGGTTCTGGTTCCAGTCAAACGGAGGTGCCTGGGTCCAGTCAGGTTCTGGTTCTGTTTCTGGTCCCAGTCTGTGGTAGAATGGACTCTGAAGCTCCGCCCATGCTCTCCATGGTCTCCATCTTGTCTCTGGTGGCTTGTGGCCTCCAGCTGGTGGCTGCTGGGCTCCTCACTCACAGGTACGGGGGTCAGAGTTCCCGCATCGACAGATGGATCTTGCTGTGGCTGTTCTATGATGTCATCGTCCACCTGACGCTGGTAGGAGGATGTTCTTCTCCCCTCTGTCGTGGTGTTTTCACTTGGCCTTCCTCCACCTCTTCACTCACTGACCTTTGACCCGTGGCCAGGGTCCTCCTTCTACTCCTTCCTTTTAACCCCTTGTGCTGCACCTGGGTTCTCTTTTAGATCCCTGGCTAAGTTGGAATACCTTAAAACTGTAGTTTCTACTTCCTGTCCCTGTAATTCCTGTTCATACCCCCTGTTCCTAGCTCCCTTTCCTAGTTCCTGTTACTAGCTCCTGTTCCTAGCTCCTGTTCCTAGCTCCTGTTCCTAGCTCCTGTTCCTAGCTCCTGTTCCTAGTTCCTGTTCCTAGCTCCTGTTCCTAGCTCCTGTTCCTAGCCCCTGTTCCTAGCTCCTGTTCCTAGCTCCTGTTCCTAGTTCCTGTTCCTAGCTCCTGTTCCTAGCTCCTGTTCCTAGTTCCTGTTCCTAGCTCCTGTTCCTAGCCCCCTTTCCTAGTTCCTGTTCCTAGCTCCTGTTCCTAGCTCCCTTTCCTAGTTCCTGTTCCTAGCTCCTGTTCCTAGCTCCTGTTCCTAGTTCCTGTTCCTAGCTCCTGTTCCTAGCTCCTGTTCCTAGTTCCTGTCCCTAGCTCCTGTTCCTAACTCCTGTTCCTACCATTCCTGTTCCTAGCTCCTGTTCCTAGCCCCTGTTCCTAGCTCCTGTTCCTAGCTCCTAGCCCCTGGTCCTAGCTCCTGTTCCTAGCTCCTGTTCCTAGCTCCTGTTCCTAGTTCCTGTTCCTGGTTCCTAGCTCCTGTTCCTACCTCCTGTTCCTAGCTCCTGTTCCTAGCACCTGTTCCTAGCTACTGTTCCTAGTTCCTGTTCCTAGCTCCTGTTCCTACCTCCTGTTCCTAGCTCCTGTTCCTAGCTCCTGTTCCTAGCCCCTGTTCCTAGCTCCTGTTCCTACCTCCTGTTCCTAGTTCCTGTTCCTAGCTCCTGTTCCTTACTCCTGTTCCTAGCCCCTGTTCCTAGCTCCTGTTCCTAGCTCCTGTTCCTAGCTCCTGTTCCTAGCTCCTGTTCCTAGCTCCTGTTCCTAGCTCCTGTTCCTAGCTCCTGTTCCTAGCTCCTGTTCCTAGCTCCTGTTCCTAGTTCCTGTTCCTAGCTCCTGTTCCTAGCTCCTGTTCCTAGCTCCTGTTCCTAGCTCCTGTTCCTAGCTCCTGTTCCTAGCACCTGTTCCTACCTCCTGTTCCTAGCTCCTGTTCCTAGCTCCTGTTCCTAGCCCCTGTTCCTAGCTCCTGTTCCTAGCCCCTGTTCCTAGCTCCTGTTCCTAGCTCCTGTTCCTAGCTCCTGTTCCTAGCCCCTGTTCCTAGCTCCTGTTCCTAGCTCCTGTTCCTAGCTCCTGTTCCTAGCTCCTGTTCCTAGCTCCTGTTCCTAGCTCCTGTTCCTAGCCCCTGTTCCTAGCCCCTGTTCCTAGCTCCTGTTCCTAGCTCCTGTTCCTAGCTCCTGTTCCTAGCTCCTGTTCCTAGCTCCTGCTCCTACCTTCCTGTTCCTAGCTCCTGTTCCTAGCTCCTGTTCCTAGCTCCTGTTCCTAGCTCCTACTCCTAGCTCCTGTTCCTAGCCCCTGTTCCTAGCTCCTGTTCCTAGCTCCTGTTCCTAGCCCCTGTTCCTAGCTCCTGTTCCTAGCCCCTGTTCCTACCTCCTGTTCCTAGCTCCTGTTCCTAGCTCCTGTTCCTAGCTCCTGTTCCTAGCTCCTGTTCCTAGCTCCTGTTCCTAGCTCCTGTTTGTACTTCCTGTTCCTAGCTCCTGTTCCTAGCTCCTGTTACTAGCTCCTGTTCTGAGTTCATGTCCCTAACTCCTGTTCCTAACTCCTGTTCCTAGTTCCTGTCCCTAGCCCCTGTTCCTAACTCCTGTTCCTAGCTCCTGTTCCTAGCTCCTGTTCCTAGCTCCTGTTCCTACCTCCTGTTCCTAGCTCCTGTTCCTAGCTCCTGTTCTTAGCTCCTGTTCCTAGCTCCTACTCCTAGCTCCTGTTCCTAGCCCCTGTTCCTAGCTCCTGTTCCTAGCTCCTGTTCCTAGCCCCTGTTCCTAGCTCCTGTTCCTAGCTCCTGTTCCTAGCTCCTGTTCCTAGCCCCTGGTCCTAGCTCCTGTTCCTAGCTCCTGTTCCTACCACCTGTTCCTAGCTTCTGTTCCTAGCTCCTGTTCCTAGCTCCTGTTCCTAGTTCCTGTTCCTAGCTCCTGTTCCTTACTCCTGTTCCTAGCTCCTGTTCCTATCTCCTGTTCCTAGCCCCTGTTCCTAGCTCCTGTTCCTAGCCCCTGTTCCTAGCCCCTGTTCCTAGCTCCTGTTCCTAGCCCCTGTTCCTAGCTCCTGTTCCTAGCTCCTGTTCCTAGCTCCTGTTCCTAGCTCCTGTTCCTAGCTCCTGTTCCTAGCCCCTGTTCCTAGCTCCTGTTCCTAGCTCCTGTTCCTAGTTCCTGTTCCTAGCTCCTGTTCCTAGCTCCTGTTCCTAGCTCCTGTTCCTAGCCCCTGTTCCTAGCTCCTGTTCCTAGCTTCTGTTCCTACCTCCTGTTCCTAGCTCCTGTTCCTAGTTCCTGTTCCTAGCCCCTGTTCCTAGCTCCTGTTCCTAGCCCCTTTTCCTAGCTCCTGTTCCTAGCTCCTGTTCCTAGCTCCTGTTCCTAGCCCCTGTTCCTAGCCCCTGTTCCTAGCTCCTGTTCCTAGCCCCTGTTCCTAGCTCCTGTTCCTAGCTCCTGTTCCTACCTCCTGTTCCTAGCTCCTGTTCCTAGCTCCTGTTCCTAGCTCCTGTTCCTAGCCCCTGTTCCTAGCTCCTGTTCCTAACTCCTGTTCCTAGCTCCTGTTCCTAGCTCCTGTTCCTAGCTCCTGTTCCTAGCTCCTGTTCCTAGCTCCTGTTCCTAGCTCCTGTTCCTAGCTCCTGTTCCTAGCTCCTGTTCCTAGCTCCTGTTCCTAGTTCCTGTTCCTAGCTCCTGTTCCTAACTCCTGTTCCTAGCCCCTGTTCCTAGCTCCTGTTCCTAGCCCCTGTTCCTAGCTCCTGTTCCTAGCTCCTGTTCCTAGCTCCTGTTCCTAGCTCCTGTTCCTAGCTCCTGTTCCTAGCTCCTGTTCCTAGTTCCTGTTCCTAGCTCCTGTTCCTAGCTCCTGTTCCTAGCTCCTGTTCCTAGCTCCTGTTCCTAGCTCCTGTTCCTAGCTCCTGTTCCTAGCTCCTGTTCCTAGCTCCTGTTCCTAGTTCCTGTTCCTAGCTCCTGTTCCTAGCTCCTGTTCCTAGTTCCTGTTCCTAGCCCCTGTTCCTAGCTCCTGTTCCTAGCTCCTGTTCCTAGCTCCTGTTCCTAGCTCCTGTTCCTAGCCCCTGTTCCTAGCTCCTGTTCCTAGCTCCTGTTCCTAGCCCCTGTTCCTAGCTCCTGTTCCTAGCTCCTGTTCCTAGCTCCTGTTCCTAGCTCCTGTTCCTAGCTCCTGTTCCTAGCTCCTGTTCCTAGCCCCTGTTCCTAGCTCCTGTTCCTAGCTCCTGTTCCTAGCTCCTGTTCCTAGCCCCTGTTCCTAGCCCCTGTTCCTAGCTCCTGTTCCTAGCTCCTGTTCCTAGCTCCTGTTCCTAGCCCCTGTTCCTAGCCCCTGTTCCTAGCTCCTGTTCCTAGCTCCTGTTCCTAGCCCCTGTTCCTAGCTCCTGTTCCTAACTCCTGTTCCTAGCTCCTGTTCCTAGCTCCTGTTCCTAGCTCCTGTTCCTAGCTCCTGTTCCTAGCTCCTGTTCCTAGCCCCTGGTCCTAGCTCCTGTTCCTAGCTCCTGTTCCTAGCTCCTGTTCCTACCTCCTGTTCCTAACTCCTGTTCCTAGCTCCTGTTCCTAGCTCCTGTTCCTAGCTCCTGTTCCTAGCTCCTGTTCCTAGTTCCTGTTCCTAGCTCCTATTCTGAGCACCTAGCTCCTGTTCCTAGCCCCTGTTCCTAACTCCTGTTCCTAGCCCCTGTTCCTAGCTCCTGTTCCTAGCTCCTGTTCCTAGCTCCTGTTCCTAGCTCCTGTTCCTAGCTCCTGTTCCTAGCTCCTGTTCCTAGCCCCTGTTCCTAGCTCCTGTTCCTAGCCCCTGTTCCTAGCTCCTGTTCCTAGCTCCTGTTCCTAACTCCTGTTCCCAGTTCATGTCCCTAGCTCCAGTTCCTAACTCCTGTTCCTAGCTCCTGTTCCTAGTTCATGTCCCTAGCTCCTGTTCCTAACTCCTGTTCCGAGCTCCTGTTCCTAACTCCTGTTCCTAGCCCCTGTTCTGAGCTCCTGTTCCTAGCTCCTGTTCATAGCCCCTGTTCCTAGCTCCTGTTCCTAACTCCTGTTCCTAGCTCCTGTTCCTAGCTCCTGTTCCTAGCCCCTGTTCCTAGCCCCTGTTCCTAGCCCCTGTTCCTAGCTCCTGTTCCTAGCCCCTGTTCCTAGCCCCTGTTCCTAGCTCCTGTTCCTAGCTCCTGTTCCTAGCTCCTGTTCCTAGCTCCTGTTCCTAGCTCCTGTTCCTAGCTCCTGTTCCTAGCCCCTGTTCCTAGCTCCTGTTCCTAGCCCCTGTTCCTAGCTCCTGTTCCTAGCTCCTGTTCCTAGCTCCTGTTCATAGCCCCTGTTCTGAGCTCCTGTTCCTAACTCCTGTTCATAGCCCCTGTTCCTAGCTCCTGTTCCTAGCTCCTGTTCCTAGCCCCTGGTCCTAGCCCCTGTTCCTAGCCCCTGTTCCTAGCTCCTGTTACTAGCTCCTGTTCCTAGCCCCTGTTCCTAGCCCCTGTTCCTAGCTCCTGTTCCTAGCTCCTGTTCCTAGCCCCTGTTCCTAGCTCCTGTTCCTAGCCCCTGTTCCTAGCTCCTGTTCCTAGCCCCTGTTCCTAGCTCCTGGTCCTAGCCCCTGTTCCTAGTTCCTGTTCCTAGCTCCTGTTCCTACCTCCTGTTCCTAGCTCCTGTTCCTAGCCCCTGTTCCTAGCTCCTGTTCCTATCAGTCATGTCCATGGCGCGTGTTTTGGATGTTTTTTAGACTGCTGTGCTGAACTTCCCTTGGAGTTTCTGTGCTGCTTTGAAGGTCTGTCTGTTAGTCTTCATGAGCCTGAACCATCCTTAGCAACAATGATGTTACGGAGCAGCACCTCCATATCCCAGGTAGAGTCTTTTCTTCAGGTGAACTGTGTTCAGAGGAAGGACATCTGACCTGCTCTACGGTGACTAGATCTAGTTAAACTGTTTAGACCTTCATATCTGGAGGACATCTGCTAATGAGACCCAGACATGAGACACCAAGGTCAGGAAATTTTGACTGACTGCCTTCTGTCCCCAGGAGGGTCCATTTGTCTACATGTCTCTGGTTGGGACGGTGGAGACGTCTGAAGGTCCTCTGGCTGAACTCTGTGAGTCTTCTACCCATGTTTGTGCTGCTTTTATTCAGTCATTCAGCAAACAGCCAATCAGAGAGCTGTACTCAGTATTACAGAGACGCCTTCACTTTATCTCCCTACACCAGAGTACCGCTGCCCTGTGGTACTATCATACTACTTCAGTGCTTTATCATCTCAGCTCTGCTCTAGGAACCTACGTGTCTCACGTGTCTCACCTGTAGGGAAGGAGTACGGTAAAGCAGACCGTCGCTGGTTAGTTTCTGACCCCACCATCGTCTCCTTGGAGATCCTGACGGTCGTCCTGGGCTCCCTGCTGGCTCTACTTCTGATACATGCAGTACTCAAGGACAAGTACTACAGGTAGTACTATAGAATATCGCATCCTACTGTAGTAACACAGGTCCAACTACTAAAGGTGAATAGTACCGTCTCTCACCCTACTGAGAGAAGGCAGGTCAATGAACAGACTTTCCTTCCTTGAGTCTCAAACCATGCAGAGTCAAATTGACCCTTTTTTAAGTCATTCTGACCGAAAATTACCCTTGTACCCACACTGACCCCTACTGAAGAATGTTGACCCTTATTGACCCATTCTGAACCGTTCTGACCAATGCAATGTTTCTCAGACACTTCCTGCAGATCACTCTGTGCGTGTGCGAGCTGTACGGCGGCTGGATGACGTTCTGTCCTGATTGGCTGTTGGGAAGTCCTCACCTAAACACCTCCAACCCGCTCTACCTCTGGATCTACCTGGTGTTTTTTAATGGACTCTGGGTGCTGGTTCCGATCCTGCTGCTGGTCCAATCCTGGTTTGTTCTAAAGGGTCTGCATGGAGTCAGAGGAGACAGCACCTCCTCCCACAGGAAGAAACTGTAGAGACCAGCAGGTGATCCGCATCAGAACCTTCAGGCTCCCAATGTTTGAGCTGATCAGAGATTTCTGGCTCTGATCGGGTCGGACTGATGTAGTTCGGTATCAGGATGGACTAATCAGACGCTTGGATCATCACTAAAACCTTTATTAAACATCATCTCTATAAATAAAACCAATGGCTCAAGGGATCCTGTCCTGCAGAACCAGAACTCTTCCTCCTCCTCTCAGGCCCTCTTGATCATCTTGGCGACCGCCTTGAAGGCTTGGCCCAGACCCAGTCCCTGGGTGGCGCTGCAGGCCTGGATCTCCCACAGCCTGTCTTTGATGTTGGGCAGGTCCAACTTGGTGGAGACCTGAGGAGAAGATGGAGCATCTGTTAATGTTCTGCAGAGGAAACACGTTGGTCCAACTGGTTATACTGCTCCACTCTGTCCGACAGAACCTTGGAAAGCAGAATCTGATTAATAAAATCAGTCTTTGAGGACAAAAAGCAATCAGTGACGTCTACATTTCTGTTTATCTGACTTCTTCCGGCATCCCGGATCTGGTTACTATTTTTCTATTAAAAACTGGGAAGAACCACAAAGACCAGATTAGCTTTGGACCCCAGCAGGTTCTCCTGTGGTTCCACAGCCTAACCTGCATTCAGTAGGAGGTATCACTCCAGCTCGGTGATTTCACCTGCGGTCGGTAGGAGGTATCGCTCCAGCTCGGTGATTCCTCCTGCCATCAGTAGGAGGTATCGCTCCAGCTCGGTGATTTCACCTGCGGTCGGTAGGAGGTATCGCTCCAGCTCGGTGATTTCACCTGCGGTCGGTAGGAGGTATCGCTCCAGCTCGGTGATTCCTCCTGCCATCAGTAGGAGGTATCGCTCCAGCTTGGTGATTCCACCTGCCATCGGTAGGAGGTATCGCTCAAGCTCGGTGATTTCACCTGCGGTCGGTAGGAGGTATCGCTCCAGCTCGGTGATTCCTCCTGCCATCAGTAGGAGGTATCGCTCCAACTCGGTGATTCCTCCTGCCATCAGTAGGAGGTATCGCTCCAGCTCGCTGATTCCTCCTGCCATCGGTAGGAGGTATAGCTCCAGCTCGCTGATTCCTCCTGCCATCGGTAGGAGGTATCGCTCCGGCTCGGTGATTCCTCCTGCCATCAGTAGGAGGTATCGCTCCAGCTCGCTGATTCCTCCTGCCATCGGTAGGAGGTATCGCTCCAGCTCGCTGATTCCTCCTGCCATCGGTAGGAGGTATAGCTCCAGCTCGGTGATTCCTCCTGCCATCAGTAGGAGGTATCGCTCCAGCTCGCTGATTCCTCCTGCCATCGGTAGGAGGTATCGCTCCAGCTCGGTGATTCCTCCTGCCATCAGTAGGAGGTATCGCTCCAGCTCGGTGATTTCACCTGCGGTCGGTAGGAGGTATCGCTCCAGCTCGGTGATTTCACCTGCGGTCGGTAGGAGGTATCGCTCCAGCTCGGTGATTCCTCCTGCCATCAGTAGGAGGTATCGCTCCAGCTTGGTGATTCCACCTGCCATCGGTAGGAGGTATCGCTCCAGCTCGGTGATTTCACCTGCGGTCGGTAGGAGGTATCGCTCCAGCTCGGTGATTCCTCCTGCCATCAGTAGGAGGTATCGCTCCAACTCGGTGATTCCTCCTGCCATCAGTAGGAGGTATCGCTCCAGCTCGCTGATTCCTCCTGCCATCGGTAGGAGGTATAGCTCCAGCTCGCTGATTCCTCCTGCCATCGGTAGGAGGTATCGCTCCGGCTCGGTGATTCCTCCTGCCATCAGTAGGAGGTATCGCTCCAGCTCGCTGATTCCTCCTGCCATCGGTAGGAGGTATCGCTCCAGCTCGCTGATTCCTCCTGCCATCGGTAGGAGGTATAGCTCCAGCTCGGTGATTCCTCCTGCCATCAGTAGGAGGTATCGCTCCAGCTCGCTGATTCCTCCTGCCATCGGTAGGAGGTATCGCTCCAGCTCGCTGATTCCTCCTGCCATCGGTAGGAGGCTCGCTCCGGCTCGGTGATTCCTCCTGCCATCAGTAGGAGGTATCGCTCCAACTCGGTGATTCCTCCTGCCATCAGTAGGAGGTATCGCTCCAGCTCGCTGATTCCTCCTGCCATTGGTAGGAGGTATCGCTCCGGCTCGGTGATTCCTCCTGCCATCAGTAGGAGGTATCGCTCCAACTCGGTGATTCCTCCTGCCATCAGTAGGAGGTATCGCTCCAGCTCGCTGATTCCTCCTGCCGTCGGTAGGAGGTATCGCTCAAGTTCGGTGATTCCTTCTGCCGTCGGTAGGAGGTATCGCTCCAGCTTGATGATTCCTCCTGCCATCAGTAGGAGGTATCGCTCAAGCTCAGTGATTCCTTCTGCCGTCGGTAGGAGGTATCGCTCCAGATCGGTGATTCCTCCTGCCGTCGGTAGGAGGTATCGCTCCAGCTCGGTGATTCCTCCTGCCGTCAGTAGGAGGTATCGCTCAAGCTCGGTGATTCCTCCTGCCATCTGTAGGAGGTATCGCTCCTGCCATCAGTAGGAGGTATCGCTCAAGCTCAGTGATTCCTTCTGCCGTCGGTAGGAGGTATCGCTCCAGCTCAATGATTCCATCTGCCGTCAGTAGGAGGTATCGCAGGTTTTCTCAGACTTTATTGATTTCCATCATAAGCTGGATCAGTTAATCATTTGGTTGGTTAAATCTGGTTAAATCTGGTTGGTTCTGTATGACCATCTGACTGACGTTTTTCTAGACACATTGATTCGGTTCGATCTGTGAAGACCCAAACAGTGGTCTGAGTTTTTCGTACCTCACGTATGTTCATGGCATTGGGCAGGTCCTTCTTGTTAGCTAGAACCATTAGAGGAACACCTCGCAGCCTCTCGTCACTGAGGATGCTCTTCAGAGCCTTGTGGGCTTCTGGCATCCGCGCTGCATCACTGCTATCCACCACGAACACCAGAGCCTTGCAATCATCCAGGTAGTACCTGCAAAAGCCTCACATGTTATCTCTGCAGTTAGTTGGTCTGTAGATCAGGTGTTCGGGGCAGTTTTCTTTACTTACTTCCAGTTGGGTCTCATGCTCTTCTGTCCTCCAACATCCCACACCGTCAGAGACGTCTTCTTATCTAGATCAAGATTTCCCACGTTGAAGCCAACAGTGGGAGATGTGTTCACTATCTGAGTGGACAAACAGTCTCATCAAAACGCCTGGAAGCTGTGGGTCCAGCTGATCTGATGAGGTCAGAAGGTTCTAACAGGACACTCACCTGTCCTGTAAGCTGCTTGGCACACAAAGTGGACTTTCCTGCAGAGTCCAGACCCATGACGATCACCTGGACACATCAGGACAGGTTAATATACACAGCAGCCTGTTGGTTCTGGTTCTGATGCTGAAGTTCTTCACCCTGGTCAGAACCGTGATCTACCAGCTGGGTCTGGACCGAGACACTGAACCTCAGTTCTAAGGGATCCAGACCAGGTGTAGCCAGAGACCTATCAGAAACAGGCCAGTCACATGGAAAGGACTATTACTGGTACCGTGACCAGTGCTGATTCTGAAGCTGTAACCAGTACCAACTGGTCTGGGTTACAGTAGAAAACATTTAGCAGCAACGAGAGAACACAGGGTAGGGCAGAATCTGAGGTTCTAAACCATGAAGCTCTTAATGGTTCTTGGCTCTTAATGGTTCTTGGCCGTTTAGTTCCTGTTCTCCTCAGCGGTAGAAAAGAAAGAGTTGGTTCTTTAATCCAGAGCTGAAAACTGAACTTAGCTGCTGGTCCGACATATGAAGGAACAGTTAGAACCCAGGTTTGTTTATTTAGTTCCTTCACTGATAAAGACAATAACCCCAAACTTCCAGAAGCTTCTCCTGTAGGTTCTCTGCAGGTTCCTGCACACAAAGGCTCCAATTCATGGGCTGCGTCTTTCAAGGACGCGGTCTACCTGGACTGGATCCTTTCAGGTCTGGGAAAATAAGGAGACCTGAAGAGTTTTTGCCGTGGATTCAAACAGGTCCAATAAACTGTTTGTTTAGTTATTTCTTCTTTATTATAAAGTGAACAAAGACTACATTAACAAGAATCCAGAGTGGAATAAAGGTTCCAACAGCCGGGAGCAGGAACTAATCAAATCAAATGTAATGATAGAAACCTTAGTCAGTTAAATAACCTGCTGCTGTCATTCTGCACATCTCTGATGTTGCTGCTATTTTTAAATTACTGTAAAAATGTCCATAGCTGCATATTGGTTATTTATTCTCCAGTTTTATATTGTTAAAATACTTTACAGTATTTTATTGTTTATATTTTAACTCTTCCCTATTTTGTTATTCTGATACATTTGTTTTACTATTTTCTATATATTTTTTCTGCTATAAACACCAGAATTACCCCATTGTGGGACAATAAAGAGATTTTCTATTCTATTCTATAAAAGGGGTAGAAAGATATAAGCTTGCTTGGTCTGGCAATGAATCCTGGGTAAACCGAGGCTACAGAGGATACAGCGGACCTTCGAATCTGGCCTTCAGATGCAGCCCATAAATTCCAACAGAGCCATAGTCTGCTCCTGAGGACTGACCCTGTACCATCCCACAGAGAACGTGGGAGTCCATCTTGGTGGTAGATGTCTCAGGGAAGCCTCTGAGGGCCCCAGTCTGGGGCCCATAGCCTCTGAGGGCCCCAGCTGTTCTGGACCCCCATGGGTTCTGCGGTTCCCTCTCCATCAGATGTTTGTAACTCAGCAGTAACTGACTGTGATGTTCTTGACCTCGTTCTCTGTGGGAACCTCTGATCGCTCACTTCTGCATCGAGAACATTGACTAGTAACCCCCCCCCATGAGCAGAAGTTCCTTCAGTATTCCCAGTATTTCCAGTGGAACCAGTTCTAAGGGGCGTCGGCCCAAGTTCGCCCTCTATGGAACGGCTTGTAGAGGCGCTGCTGATCTGATCTTCTACTCTTCACCGTGTGACTCTGTGAACACGTTTCTGGTTCTGTCATGTCGACTCGAACCGTCAGACCCCAGACTACAACCAGGGATGAGGTCCACACCCCCAGCTTGGCTTTAGGTCAAAGGTGAAAGGTTTTTCCTCTCCACTGTCACCATGTGCTCATTCAGGTGATCTGGATGCAATCAGCCGGTTTCCTTAGCAACCTTTGATCCAATCAGGACGGTCTGATTGGATCTTCTCTGGAGGGGTGATCAGGTGACCCTAGTAGCTGATGAAGGACTGAGCTCAGCTAGAAGCTGTTCTGGTTCTGATTGGGTTCAGATCTTCAACAGGGGGCCCACGACCCCTAGAGGATCCACATAGGTACTGCATGGGGGTGGTGAAAGTTTTGGTTGATTAGCCTTTTTTTATATTCCCCCCCTGCACTAATTTAAATGTCTTTAAATCCACATGAACATGAATCCAACAGACTGCAGTAAACAGATAAATGGAGGCAGAAGATGTCTTTCAGTCATCAATGCTCACATTCAGAGACACACATCAAGCTGGGAACCGTTT